TGTTGGTTGATTTGAATAAATGCATGCATGAAAGGCCAGGATCTGCAGGGATCTTCGGAGAAAGAATCTAACAGGTTGGAATTTATAAGAGGTAGCCATAGCCAGCTTGGATCAGTGGATAGAGTGTCAGCATGCGGACTGAAGGGTCCTAGGTTCGATTCCGGCCAAGGGCACATGCCTAGGTTGTGGGCTCGATTTCCAGTGTGCAGGAGGCAGATGATAAATTATTCTCTCTCATCATTGATGTTTCTATCTCTCTCTCCTCATTTCCTCTCTGAAATCAATAAAGAAATATATTTCTTTTAAGAAAAGAAATTTATAAGAGTTAACTGTGCATCAAGAAGATCAAGTTTAGAAGGACAAAGATGGAAGAGATTGATTTAACAGCAGAATGTATTAAAAATTACTGAGAGGTTTTGGTTGACAGCATTTTGTGAGTCAACCATGTGATGTGAGGTAACAACAAATAAGAAAATGGAGAAGAATGTGAAATTTTTTAGATAAGGAAGCTGAGTGTCTGGTTTTACACCAGGAAATTGTAGTTGTTTCTAGGTATTGTGGTTTTAGAGGGACTTAGGCCAGAAGAGCAATCATTCTTGAAAGCATTTTATTTTACTTTCTAAAACATATTTTATTGATTTTTCACAGAGAGGAAGGTAAAGAGATAGAGATTTAGAAACATCGATGAGAGAAGACATTGATGAGGTGTCTCCTGCACAGCCCCCACTAGGGATGTGCCCGCAACCAAGATACTTGCCCTTGATCAGAATTGAACCTGGGACCCTTCAGTCCGTAGGCTGACGCTCTATCTGCTTGAAAGCATTTTAAAAAGACTTGTTGAAAATATCAATATAGACAAATTATCAAGATAGCCAATAGGCTAACACAATAAAGAAGATATAGGGAGAAAGCACAAAAGGCAAAATAAATGATAATGGAGAAGTAACCAATGAAACAAACAAAAAAAAATTATCAGAGTATTTTTAGGTCTATGCAAATGCTTTTTTTTTTTTTTTTTTTGCAAATGCTTTTTAAACATTCATGAAATGAATAAATTTTTGGGAAGTTCTTATTAAAATTGCTAGAGAAAAAATTTAAACAGACCAATTTTTGTAGAAGAAATGAAGTTATTAAGGAACTATTCCTCAAATAAGGTATCAGGCCCAGATTATTTTATAAGGGAATTCTATCAAACCTCCATATATCAGAGAGTTCCAAATCTTTATAATTATTTCAGAGTATTAAAAATGTACAGAAACTTCCTACTTCATATGAAGTAAATGTAATATTGATATCTAAATAGGATAAAGACAGTGCAAAAGGAAAACTACAGACTAACATTTATGAGTACCTATGAAGAAGTGTCATATATAGTACTAATAAATATTTTATTAATAATAGAATCCAACACCATAGTAAAAATATAATTCACTATGATCTGGTGAGTTTAATTCCAAGAATTGAAGGTACCAGGTTTATCATTAGGAAATCCATTAATATCATATAGTACCAGACTAATAGGTTTCAGGGAAAACAATCATAAAAGATGATCTCCATAAATGCTAACAAACTTTCAGAATTCAACATCCATTCCTCATAAAAAAAAAAAAAACAACTCAAGAAAATAAGACTTGATGAATACTTTCTTAATATGAGAAAAATATATATAGTCCTAATGCCAGTAACTTACTAAATTGGGAAGCACTACAACAAAGAAAAACTATTTCTTTTTACAGTTGATGTGATAGTAATCCTGGAAACCACAGACCTATATAATAAAGAGCTAATAGGGAAATGGTCATCACGCCCTCATGCCATCACATCATAATGGCTCAGACACTCAACGCTGGGGAGAGAGAAATGAGGACCAGCCACACACAAATGAGCTCGAGAGAGAGAGGAATGGGGGCCAGCCAAGCTGCAGCCCTGAAGAGGGATTAGGCACCAGCGGCTGGGGCTGGGGCCTGGGAGGGGGATAAGCCGCCCACCCCACGGTCCCAGGCATCAGCTGCAGCCCAGGAGAGGGACGAGCCGCATGCTCTGCGGTCCCTGGTGCCTGTGGCTGCAGCCTGGGCAAAGCTGCCCGCCCACAGTCCCCTGTGGCTGCGGCCAGTCCAGGTGAAGCCGGCCCTGGTCCTGGGTGCCTGTGGCTGGTCAGAGGGAGGGAAGCCTGGGCCCAGGTGCCTGCAACCAGCTGGAGGAAAGAATCCTGGGTCCTGGGTCCTGGGTGCATGGTGAGGCAGAGGCGGTTAGGGACGATCAAGCTGATAGGGAAGCAGTTAGGGACAATCAGGCAGGGAGGCAAGCAGTTAGGAACCAGTGGTCCCAGATTGTGAGAGGCAGCTGGACATTCCCTGAGGGATCCCAGATTGGAGAGGGTGCAGGCTGGGCTAAGGATCTCTCCCCATCCCCTACCCAGCCCGCCAGGCATGCATTCCATGCACTGGGCCTCTAATCCTATATAATAAAAGCATAGTATGCATATTGTCCCCTTGACCAGGAGGTCATCCTGGAGTTCAACCAGGGGACGGGATCTGCTAGGGGAAGGGAGAGAGGCCCAGGTTGGCAACTGGCAGTCACTAGGGACCCTACTAATGCAGGAATTTCATGCATTGGGCCTCTAGTCACTGATAAAATTCAAACAATTAAAAATAAAGTAACAGTTTGTAAGGGAAGTCTTTGTGATGTTTTTGCCACTTTTATATGACAAAATTATTTCAAAATGAACAGTTAATAAAATAAAAAAATAATACCGTGTTTCCCCGAAAATAAGACATCCTCCAAAAATAAGACCTACTTACAGGTTTCCTTCTGAGTGAAATATAAGGCATCCCCTGAAAATAAGGCCCCCCAAGCTAAACATAAGAGATTTGGTTCACTGATTCTGAAAGAAATGGAGTCACAGAAATTCAACAGGAAATTTAGGAATTGGATTGTTATGATGATGTTCCAGAAGATGATGACATGATTGTCATTGAATAAATGAGTAAATTCTTGATACTGCAGGATTCACAGTTTGTCTGGTTTGTGTTGACAACTACCGTACTACCGTACCGTATTCAGGTAATAAATTTCCTTTATTTTCATTTAACAATAAATGTGTATCGTATTCTTCTTCATGGAAAATAAAACATCCCCTGAAAATAAGACCTAGCACATCTTTGGGAGCAAAAATTAATATAAGACACTGTCTTATTTTCGGGGAAACAGGGTACTATGGATTTTGGCCCAGCTGATGTGGCTCAGTGGTTGAGCATCAACCATTGAACCAGGAGGTCACGGTTTGATTCCAGGTCAGGGCACATGCCTGTGTTGCAGGCTTGATCTCCAGTAGGGAGCATGCAGGAGGCAGCTGATTAATGATTCTTTCTCATCATTGATATTTCTCTCTTCCTCCCTCTCCCTACCTCTCTGAAATCAACAAAAAATATATTTTAAAAATACTCAGGATTCTAGCCTGTTTGGCTCAGTGGATAGAGCATCGACCTGTGGACTCAAGGGCCCCGATTTTGATCTCAGTAAGGAGCATGTGCCCAGGTGGTAGGCTCGATACCCAGTGGGTTTCATACCATGTCCTAGCTGTGGGGACATTGGAGAAGTTACATAATCTCTCTGAACCTCATCCATCCATTGGAGATTATACTGACCCTTCTGTGCTTTGTGATGATTGAATTAAATGATGATAATGATGAAAATAGAAATGACCATTTAGCATCAATTGGGCAGCAGTCCTGTACCAGGTATGTTCATTAGCTGTATAAAACACAAATGATATTTAATTCATGGTAGTACTCAGTAAATATCCCCCCCCACCACCACCACTTCTTGCTGATCACAGTGATGCCTGTAGTTTGTCAGTAGCTGATTGATTGTTGCCTTAGTACTGTCTTCCAAAGGACCTTATTTATTCCCACAAATCAACTTAGAGAAAATAAGGAAGATTTAATTTAAGTCCAGGAAGCCGCCAATGACTAATTGCCAACATCACTTTATTAAGGAAGTACTTGGGGCTGAGAAGTCAACAGAAGTTTAACCAAATTATAATTTAATACTTTAGCCCTTTAACTTAATTTTTAGGTTCAGGGTCTTGGGCTTCTACAGAAACCAGACAGAGTGCTGCCTGTACTATGACACTGTTCATGTGCTCCTTTGATATTTTGTGCCCATCTTCAGAACAAATAATCAGAATAAGCACCTGCATGCAACCTGCAAGCTCTGTGCAAGGGACAAGTGGAACATGTAAGGTCATCCAAGGGTTTGGATGAGCTGTATGTCCCTACCTGGGCCTAGCAGGCGTCTGAGGACACTGGACCCTAGCTTTGCCAGAAATAAATGAAAGTGTTCCCTCCCCCCAGTCTTTCCTTAGTTTTCAGGAACACTGCTTACCATAGCCTTCCTTTGGTAAGTTTGTGCAGGTTTTAAGTGACTAGATCCTCTTTGACAATATAAAGCACGGATTATAACTAACTTTGTAGCAATCCCGGATTATAGGCTCAGGAGAATCTTAGGCTCAGTATGAGATGATTTTCCTTAAATCTTATTGTGAAAAAAGCAGCTGGGGAAAGGCAGTTCTGAGCTTGGTTTACTTTTTATTCCTGATCCCCGAGATCAATGCTTATGACTATCTCAGCCCATTGTTGGGTTGCTGGTGGCAGTGATTACACCAAAAACTGGCTGTGGTTGTGGGCCTGGACCTCATTCAGGCAAAACTCACGGAAAGCAGGAGTCATAGTCCTTGACACACTTGTCTCCTTAACTGTGTACACTGCCATCCTCGTCAGAGGTTAGCTGGTCCTTGGAGACTAAAATAAGACTAGGGGATTTTAAAACATGCTATATGCCTGGCCATCTTTCTTCTTTCTTTCCTTAAAAGCTCCTCTTCCCTCTCAGTGTGATGCATTGCCCACCGTAGCTCAACCTCAGATTCGGCCTTGCATGTGCAGGGCGGAGGTTAAGAATAATAGGCAACCTTCCCCTTACTTCCATCTTTCATTTTTTAGCAGCAACTGCAGGCGTACGTGGCCTGGGTGAACGCGCAGCTGAGGAAGAGTCCAGCAGTGAAGCCCGTGCAGGACCTGCGACAGGACCTTCGGGATGGGGTGATCCTGGCGCATCTCATTGAGATTGTTGGTCAGTTGGCCTTGGATTCTATGCTAGCATAAACCATAACTTGACCTCCTTTATCCTTCATATGCCTTTCAGAACAGATGGCTTCTTCTTTAAAACGTATGGCATCAAGTCGAAACTGGTTTGGCTCAGTGGATAGAGCGTTGGTCTGCGGACTAAAAGGTCCCAGGTTCGATTCCGGTCAAGGGCATGTACATTGGTTGCGGGCACATCCCCGGCAGGGGGTGTGCAAGAGGCAGCTGGTCGATGTTTCCCTCTCATCGACATTTCTAGCTCTCTATCTCTCTTCCTTCCTCTCTGTAAAAAATCAATAAAATATATTTTAAAAAAATAAAAATTAAAAATAAAACGTATGGCATCGAGCGTCAGCCCTTGGACTGAGGGTTCACAACTCCCTTCAAGGACACATACCTCAGTTGCATGCTTGTTCCCCGGCCCTGTTCGGCACATACAGGAGGCAACCAATTGATGTGTCTCTCTCACATTGATTTCTCTCCCTCTCTCTTCCACTCTCTCTAAAAATCAATGGAAAAATATCCTTGGGTGAGGATTAACAAAGTAAATAAATCAATAAATATGTATTTGTAAATAAAATCTATGGCACTGAAAGTAGGGAAGCCAGAATACTTTCCCAGCCAAAACTGGTTTGGCTTAGTAAATAGAGCATTGGCCTGCGGACTGAAAGGCCCCAGGTTCAATTCCGGTCAAGGTCATGTACCTTGGTTATGGGCACATCCCCAGTAGGGGGTGTGCAAGAGGCAGTTGGTCGATGTTTCTCTCTTATCGAAGTTTCTCACTCTCTATCCCTCTCTCTTCCTCTCTGTAAAAATCAATGAAATGTATTTTTTAAATAAAAAATAAAATAAGAATACTTTCCCAAAGTTAATTCATTTATTAGTCAATAAACACTGTGTGCCAGGTACTGTGTTGGGATTATGATAATAAACACAGTCTAAACTCTCAAGAGTTCTAGTTGGAAAGACTGGGAAGTGATGGGACACCTAGGAGGGGATCGCCCGGCCCAGTTCTGGAAATTCAGTAGCTTGTCAGAGGAATCGATGTCTGAACCGAGGCTGGAAAAGGAGCACAGATGCTGACTGCCATGTGCTCCATGGAAGGACTGGTCCTTTTGGAGCCTGGGAGTTGTTGACGCTCGCTCTTTTAGATGGTGCCTTAACCTTATTTTCATAGCATTTGTATGTGGCTCTGTTATTATTTTATTTCCATTCACTGAATGATAATTGCTCAGCCATCTCTCCTGTGTACACTGAGCTCTTTAAGAGCAGGTATAGCATTTCCCCCCCCCCCCCCCTGTACTTTTGGTTCCACAACTCCTACCCAAGTGTCTGGCACGTGACAGGTACTCAAACGCAGGTAGTTGTATTAGTCAGCTGACCTCACTGAGAGTCATCAGAGTGTTCATTGATATGATGGTAACAATGGTAATAGTAGTAGCAGCTGCCATTTGTTGAATACTTTCTATCTTGTTTAATTTCACTTAATCATAAACCCTTGAGAAACAGCTAATATTATCCCCATTTTGAGGAAACAAGCTTAAAAAAGATGATTTATAAAAATAAATAAATTCATTGAGCAATAAGAATATATCAAGCATTGTGCTAAGCATGCTATTTTGATTGATGTATGACATGGGTATGATATGAGTGCCACTCTCTTATTTTATGAGATTTAAAAAGGCTAGGCACAAAACTCGTTTGGCTCAGTGGATAGAGTGTCGGCCTGCAGACTCAAGGGTCCTGGGTTTGATTCCGGTCAAGGGCATATACCTTGGTTGTGGGCGCATTCCCGATGAGGGGTATGCAGGAGGCAGCTGATAGATGTTTCTCTCTATTGATGTTTCTAGCTCTCTGTCCCTCTCCCTTTCTCTCTGTAAAAAAAAAAAAATCAATTTTATATATATATATATATATATATATTTATTTATTTTTATTATTTTTTTTTAAAGGCTAGGCAGCTTTACAGATCACGTAACTGTATGTGTTGGAGCAGTGGTACAAACCTAGATCTGCTTTCATTCCAAGCACATTCTAAACATTTAATTTTTTTACTTATTTCAATAGATTATACTTGAAAATATAATCAGATAAAAAATAAACCAGAAGGTACAAAAGGGTATAAAGTCAAAAGCCTTTTTTTCCACCTCTGTTCCTCTGCCAGCTACCTGTTTATTCTGGGGCAATGAGTGTAAGCAGTTTTTTGCATTTCTTTCCAGATATATTCTGAACATATACAAGCAATTTGAATATGTGTCCATTTTTCCAAAACCCAAGTATTTTTGTGACATTCCGTTGTAACTTTGCCTTCTAGAAAAGTTCATTGAATTCACTTCCTTTCCCCATTCCTTATTTAACCCGCCCTCCTCAGGCTTTGGATCCCACTATTCCACTAAAACTTGTATAGTATTTATATATAATCTTACTCTTTCCATCAAATATTCCCTTTCTCTGTATCTGGCTAGATGAGACTTTGCTATTATTTCTTCTTATAACTTCATATATTTTCTATCTTCTAACAGCAGGAGAAAAGCTGAGTGGGGTACAGCTGAGTCCCAGAAACCAACAGGAGATGAAAAATAATGTGGAGAAGGTGCTGCAGTTTGTGGCCTCCAAAAAGATCCGTATGCACCAGACTTCAGCTAAAGGTCAGTGCCTCTTCGCGTTCTTGGTGGGCGAGTACACTCATCTTTGGCTGGCAGTTGCTCAGTGTGTAGTCAAGGGATCCGATTGACAGGAGGAGGATTAGCCCCATGACTTCATGTCATTTTCCCGTAAAGAAACTTATCAGGACAGAGTGATTATCAAAATTTGACTGCTTTGGAAACCTGGGTGAAGACAGAAGTTCTCTATTCATTTTAATTGAATAAAAGTTTGCTTGACGGTGTGTAGGACAATTAATAGAGAAGAAATTACAAAATTGGGATATTAGTTTTAGAATTTCTCACTTAAGTAAAAAAAAAAAAAAAGGAGGATAGCTTATGTTTTTGAAGTTCCTATGGTTTCATGACCAATAATTATTTCACTTCATAATAGCCTACATTTTTTTCCATCCAGTTTTCCTGGATGGAAAAATGCTGGAAAATATTTTCTAGCATTTTTTTCTTTTACATCACAGAATATTCCTGGTAAGATGAGTGGTGAGGGGCTCTGTGACCTCAGCACATGCCTTTTCCTGTAGCCACGTGGCCAGAGGAGACACTTCTCAGGCCCCTTGAGCCCAGGCTGCAAGAAGGAAAGGGTGTTAAGTGTCTTTGGAAAACACAGGCCACTAGTCCTCTCGCCGTTTCTCTAGAACTGACTGTAATCCGGTTCTGTTTCAGCCTCAGTTTCTGGGCCTGGTTACCTGTGACTCTGGTGAGAATGGGGGAGGAGGAGGCACTTCTGTCATGTTTCTGTTACTGATGTTCTCTGAGTTGGGGTCATTCAGGAAGGGTAGAGCACCCTGTAGAAGGTATCAATCAATCCTTTCAAAACCTTGCATATCTAAAAGGCTATGCAACTAAAAACAAAAATAGAATTTTACCAATTTCCTTACATTAACTTTCACCAGACCTATCACATTTTTTCTGTCTGCATTCCTTTTTCTTTTCTAGGGCAAATTTAGAATGCGATAATCTCTTTCATCTGGTCCCCATTAGGAGTGGGCTTGGGGATCTGGCCCATTAAAGTCAACTATTTTTAGGGAACACTGCCACTCAGGACCTCGCAGTCTTTTACCTGGCTTCCTGATTAGTCCCACTGCATTGATGTTTGTCCTCCTCCCATCTGCCCTCCACGTTGCCACCAGAAGGATCTTAGCATGAGTACATACGCTCACGCAGTCCTCTGCCTCGGAAGGGTCCTTCGGATAAAGTCCGCAGTCCTTCCCATGGTTTATCGTGCCCTTCCTGCCCTGACCTCTGCTGGACTCCGTTCAGCTCCTCCACCGCAGAGCTGTGCCATAGAAGCATAATGTGAGTCACATGTGTAATGTAAAAGTTTCTAATAGCCACACTGAACAAAAGAAAAAAGTGTGAAACCAGTTTGAATGATAAATTTATTTAACTCAATATATCCAAAATATGACTTCAAAATGAAAACTATTGAGATATTTTGCATTCTATTTTTTTTGTACTACATCTAAGGAAATATTTTGCATCCTGTTTTTGGGTATGCATGTGCTACGTAAATACAACACTCACAGCACATTTCAGTTCAGACAATAGCTACCTTTTAAGTGCTCAGTGTAGCTGGCGGCTCCCACACCAGACAGCGAGGCTCCAGGACGTCATGCTTTCTCTTGCCTCTAGACTTCGTGCTTGCTGCTCCCTCTTCTCCTCCATCGATGGACCACCATTCATCAACCAAGTCTCAGCTTAGAGCTCCTTCCTCTGGGAATCCTGAGCCCTCCACACTAGACACGATGCTTCTACTCTGAGCCCCCAAGGAATCCTGTACTTTTCCTATCATAACATGTTACTGTACTTCATTGTAATTGCTTTGACTTATTTATTTTTTTAAATAAATCTTTATTCAGATTATTACAAATGTTCCTCATTTTTTTCCCCTCCATTGCTCCCCTCCACCAGGTTCCCACCTGCCCTTTCCCCACCCCCCCATTGTCCTCATCCATAGGTGCACAGTTTATGTTCAGTCTCTTCCCGCACCCCCCCGCTCCCCTTTTCCCCAAGAATTGTCAGTCCACTCCCCTTCCATACCTCTGATTCTATTTATTCAACAGTTAATATTGTTCATCTGATTTTTTTTAATTCCCTTGGTTTTTAGATTCACTTGCTGATAGTTATGTATTTGTTGTTCATAATTTTTATCTTTATTTTCTTCCTTTTCCTAAAGAACCCCCTAATTGCTTTTAAATCTTCCGTGTCCCTGTTGAACACGGCTTTGTGAGGCCAGAGAGCTTGGCTGCCTCGCTGACCTGCATCCTGGAAAGTGTGTGTTCAGTGAATGAGGCCTCAGCCTCCACCTCCCTCTGAGGGCCTCTCGGTCTGTTCTGTCCCCCAGACATTGTGGAAGGAAACCTGAAGTCTATCATGAGGCTGGTCCTTGCCTTGGCAGCGCACTTCAAACCCGGCTCTGGCAGGACAGTGAGCCAAGGACGGGACTTCAGAGCCCCTCTGCAGAGCCACCAGCCACACTGTGCCACGGCTGTGGTCCAGGGAGCAGCTGCCGCTCTGGCTGATGTGTGTCATGACATGTCACGCTCAGGACGGGACGTCTTTCGGTACAGACAGAGGTAAGGGTGGGAATCTGAGAATGGAAACTGGACTGTCTTTTGAAATTTTCCCCTTAACTGCTTATCTGCAGTCGATGAAAACATCACCCAAACAGCCCCACGTTGCAGAGAACAGCACTTTGAAAGAGAAAAGCCCTTTCTTTTGAAGAGTTCTGTTCGCAGTCAGCAGGAAGTGGGCGAATGACATAGGTAATCTGTTGCTCTGGTGCCCAGATTCAGAAAGAGATGCCATTGGCTCTGTGTGTTTTCTTCCCTGGGAGCAATGTTCCATTTCTCCGCGGGAGTTTCTCCCTGGAATGTATCCTGAAGGCCAAGCCGCCGCTGCCGGAGTCACGGCAGGAAATGCCTTGGCGGCTGTGTGTGTGCTAAGCGTGACCCTGAGGTGTTGCAAAGATTGGTGAAGTTATGCGCTTTTGTATCTGTCTTCCCTGCTAGGTTCCAAGTGTCCCTGAGGCAGGGGCTTTGCCTTATTCATCTTTCCTGTAGTGCTCACAAGAGGGCCATCTGTCAGTACTTGTGGGGTTGAAGCGAAGGACTGACCCTTCTCCTTTGCTGGTGTCCTCTGACTTTAGGAACAGCAGCACGGACGAGGAGATCGAGAATCCATACTGGAGCGTGAGAGCTCTGGTGCAGCAGTACGAAGGGCAGCAAAGGTCCCCATCTGAGTCCAGCTGCTCCAGGTAACCGGGCCTCAGATTCTTTACCACTCCAGTTGTAGCTAAAAGCTGAATTCTTTTTTTTTTTTTTTAACATAAAATAGAAACTAATTTTATTTCTCTGGAAGAAGCAGGTATCCGTAGCTGGGGCAGCGACTTTGGCGACAGAGACGGGTGGGAAGAGGGAACAGCACAGGGGAAGAGCTGGGTGGGAGGAAGCTCTAGTATCCCTCCCGGGAAGCTACCCCTTTGGTCTCCTTCCAACCTGGGGCCGTGGGCCCTGGTCCCTGCCAGAGAACGACTGGCACCGATGCTCTCTTCCTGGGCCACTGCAGGCTATTTTAAAAGCTGAATTCTTGAGGAGTCTTGAGGTTCTTAGCCTCATAGTAGCAACACAACAAGCCATGAGGCACCTAAACCCATTCTCTTTCCCTCCTCTTATGTTTGGCCTTAAAGGGGTAGAACCTCAGCACTGCCTCATGGTTTTGTGCTGGCAGGAGGGGGTTGGGGTGGTGCTGTGAATTTCCCACGTGAGGAAGCTTTGGGCAGAGCCATAGTGCCAGTGCTGGGACCAGCCATGGTCCAGCCTGGTGGTTCGGATGTTGTACATCAGCTGCCAGTGTTTATGAGAACCAGTTCCATTGTCAGGGTATAACTAAATTATGGCCTGAGGGGGCTGCATCAAGCTCAGAGCAAAAGAAAATGAGCAGAGTTGTCTTTAGAGCCGTGGTTGACAAACTGCGGCTCATGAGCCACATGCGGATTTTGGCCCCTTGAGTGTGGCTCTTCCACAAAATACCATGGCCTGGGCGAGTCTATTTTGAAGAAGTGGCATTAGAAGAAGTTTAAGTTTAAAAAATGTGGCTCTCAAAAGAAATTTCAATCGTTGTGCTGTTGATATTTGGCTCTGTTGACTAATGAGTTTGCCGACCACTGTCTTAGAGCATTAGAATGTTTCCGACTTTCACTGACAGGGCTGGGAATTGTGAGAGATTAGTACATATTTGAGGGGGCTAATGATTAGAATACATATGTGACTATAGCTGAAAGACTGCCTATGTACCATAGAGCCAAGTGGGGAGACCAAAACAGGACACAGTGCTCTCATAAAAGCCTGATCAGGAAGAGTAACCATGTAAGTTTCTTGATGAAAAAAAAAAAAAAAAAAAAAAAAAGCCTGATCAATGCCAGTATAGTGACAGGAAAAGACTACTTTCCTGGCTTATGTAAATCATGCTCCTAGGAACACCTCCCCAGGCCAAGTTAGCTTATTTACTAACTTCATTTCATTGCTGAATTGTGTTTAATTTATGCTCTTTTGGCCTTTTCTGTCTCCTACCTCAGTCCAGCTTAGGCTGTTCTAGTTAAGCCTAATTGCTCTTTGTCTTATAAGCATTTTATGTGTCTTTGGTGTTTTTCCTCATTTCTTTTTCTCATAATATTCCATCTTAGTTAGATGGACCATTTCCTAGTCTATGGAGGTAACATGCAATTCTTTCCCCATTTTAATATTCTGGTAACCTTGCTCAGCTTTAATGGTCACATTTAATAGATGTGATTTCTTATGTATAAAATTCACAAAACATAAAGTTAACCATTAATCATTTTACTTTTTAAAAACCATCACCCAAGGACATGCTTTGAGAGAGGAAGGGGTGGGGTGGGGGGAGGAGAGGGAAGGGAGAGAGAGAATGAGAGAGAGAGAGAAAGAGAGAGAGAGAGAGAGAGAGAGAGAGAGAGAGGGGGAAGAAAACATCAATGTGAGAGAGAAACATCCATTGGTTGCCTTCCTTCGTAAGTGTCCCAGGCCTGTAAGTTTCCCGTCCACAGGATGATGCTCAACCATCTGAGCCACTCAGGCCCAGCCTTCATTAATCATTTTAAAGTGTACAATTCAGTGGTATTTAGTACTTTTATAATGTTTGCAACCATCCCCTCTATCCAGTTTGAAGACATTTTCATCACCCTGTACCCATGAAGCAATAGGCGTGCTTTTAGTGAGAATCCAAGCCATTTCTTCCTTGCTTGCTTCTTAAGACTGTCACTTGGTACAGAATGTTTCGTTGTATTGCTTCCTGTATGGTCACTGGCCTATTGTTCTTCTGTGCCTGATAGTGCCTGCCAGCGTTGGGGGTGGGGTGGGGGCCGTGTTTGGGGGTCAGGGGGGAGCCCCGATTTCTTCCTGAGAACAGCTGCTTCCTTCCTCTCTGGCAGGACGCAGGCTGGGGCAGCCACCGTGCGCGTGTGACTTAGTGGCTCACTGGAACTCCGACCGCAGTGGGCTGAGGGGACAGTTTCCTGGGAGGGGCTCAGAGAGTCCCTGCTTTCTGACTTTGACTTCTTCCTGATTTTGTTTTTTAGCTGACGGCTCGCTCACCTTGTTAGGGTGTTCAGTTTGCACCCTGCTTTCTGACTTTGACTTCTTCCTGATTTTGTTTTTTAGCTGACGGCTCGCTCACCTTGTTAGGGTGTTCAGTCAGCACCCGCCTTTTCCTCAGCTTGCTCCCGGGGACCCAGCAGGCTTGGGCACAGTCTGCTCCCCCCTCCACCTTTGCTCAGGGGGAGCCCATCTAGTGGCTCAGTGACCACGAAAGCCAGGAGGCCCGGGATGTGCTTGGGAGCGGGGAGAAGGTTAAGATTGGAAGATAGCCCTCAGTATCCCTCCTCCAGGGACACCCTGCCGGCCTGGTGCTTCCAAGACCTTAGGCCAGCCTCTCCCAGTGTCCAGACAAAATGGTCCCGTGGGTAAAAGGCACACTCGTAAACGCCCCGCGGCTTGGGGGGGGGGGGGGGCGGGGGAGACCGCACCTCAAGAAGCTGGCTTCTGCCTACCCCGACCTCCGGAGGGCTCAGGGTGGGGAAGGGAGGGCTCAGGGTGGGGAAGGGAGAGCTCAGGGTGGGGAAGGAAGGGCTCAGGGTGGGGAAGGGAGAGCTCAGGGTGGGGAAGGGAGAGCTCAGGGTGGAGAAGGCAGCGTTTACAGATCGGGGTTCTCAGGGCCAGGACCAGCCCCCCTGGGGATTCTGCCCGCCGGCGGCCCCTCCCTGCCTGGCGGTGCTCCCCATGTCCCCGCCCGGCCGCGCCCCCGCCGGACTCCGCCTGGGTCCGAGCCGGCGCTGCCCACGGCGTGTGGCCGCTGGGGGGGGGGGGGGGAAGGGGGGAAGTGAGGGGGGAGGACGGTCAGGGCGGGGCCGGGAGGGACCGGGAGGCGCTGCGAAGCTGGGTCCCCCGCCCGCTCGCCGCTGCCCGGGACTCGGAGCGTCCGGCGGCCGGAGATGGGCTGAGATGCCCGCGCCCCGGGCAGGACCCCGCCATGCGGCCGCCGGGGCCCGCGGCCTGCGAGGGGAGGCGGACCCGCCCCGCCCGGGCCGCGGCCGCGTCTGAGCTGCCCGCACCGCGCGCCACGCGCCGGAGCATCCCGGTCCCCGGGCCGGTCCCCGGCCTCGCCGCCCGCCCCCGTCCCTCCCGCTGGCGGCCGGCGGCGCGGGTGGTGGACCTGCCCCCGCCCGGGGGGACATGCCCGCATCTGGGGGCGCTGTGCCTCGCAGCCCCCGGCGTCGCCCCGGGAAGCGGGCTTGCTGAGCTCGCAGCCAGGAGGGACCATGGGAGGGATGCAAGTCAAATGGTGAGCGGAGGCCACTCTGGCTTTGGAGGAGGGGGCGTGGGTGGGAGCGGGTCCCGGCCGCAGGATGCCGGTGGCCAGAGGTAGACGGGGATGGAGGGGGCGCTGTATGGGGGAGAACAGGCTGCTGGCCTGGGGTTCTCACTGGAAATGCAGCGGGTGAGGGAGCTGGGGTTCTCACTGTGGAATACAGCGGATGAGGGAGCTGGCGCCAGCATGGGGGAAAGAGTGGCCCTTTATTCTGTCTAGTCTCTGCTCAGGGAAGGCACTTCGGGGGGAACAGGACTCTCTCTCTCATGGCCCTTTACCTATTAAAAAAAATAATTTGACTCTAATTTGCAGGTATCTTTGCTGGGGGACCACTTTCTAATAAATGAAGGTTGTGAGATGTTAAACCTGTGGGAATTAAATGTATCGGTCAGACCTGATTTGTAATCACTTGTTCCCTGATTTGAGAGGATTATGATGGCAGGTAGGGGGATTACTTGCTTATGAAATAGGGCTTCAAAGCACATCAGACAGAACCTATAGCATGTAATTAATGAGTGTGAAAATACTTTTCTCTGACTTGAGGAAGAGGATCTAATGCACCATCCTCATTCATGAGGTTCTTCTGGCCTCGGGATTTTTCTTCCTCGGTCCTTTCTCTTTTAACTTGGCCTTCTAGTTCCATGGCCTTAGCTCTCTGGCCTCACACACTGGCAGCCTCAATTCAAGAAAGAAAAATGTTGTTTTCTTCTGGCTGCTCGGCCACTCCCCCAGTGGGGTTGGTTATGCAGACATCCGCCTCCTTCTGCCCTTATGTGGGAGACAGCTCACTCAGGAGGGAGGAGGTGGAGCTGAGCATGCTCTCTGCTTTTAGGAAAGCAGCATCCTGGTTTGCACCCCCCCCCCCCCCAACCCACTCTCCTCTCACACCTTACCCACTGTGGCCCGTCCCAGTGCAGGCAGTGGGACATGTCAACCACAGCACCTTGTCAGCTGAGAAGGTGTCTTTGTTCTCAAAGAGGAGCAGCTGCTTCAGGCCTCTTTCAGCACGTGGATCCCAATTTCTGTGAGGCGAATGCTGAGGCCTGAGCAGTTATAAATCTGTTTCTTTTTAAAAATATATTTGTATTGATTTCAGAGAGGGAGGGAGATATAGATGCAGCAATGATGAGAGAGAATCATTGATTGGCTGCCTCCTGCACACCCTCTAGTACGGATTGAGCCCGAAATCCGGGCATGTGCCCTTGACTGGAATTGAACCCGGGACCCTTTAGTCCACAGGCTGATGCTCTACCACTGAACCAAACCAGCTAGGGCTTAACTCTTTTTTCTTTATAAATAACACTAGAGGCCTGATGCATGAAATTCATGCAAGGGGCTCGGCCCTTGTAGGCCCGGCTTCCCCAAAAGATCGTCTGGAAGGACGTCCTGGAGGTCACTCAGCTATCCGGTCTAATTAGCATATTACACTTTTATTATTATTGATGGTACCTAGACTAGTGCTTTTCCAGCAGCTCGTGCAGGTTGGCCTGGAAGTCAGATTGCCTAAGTTGTGAAAAGTGGATAAGAGAATTCCATAAATCAACTCCTTTCTATCTATTTTTTTTTTTTTTTTTTTTTTTAGAAATTCCTCTCTCTTTTTTAAAATTACACTTTATTTATTTTTAAATCATCACCTGAGGATATTTTCCCATTAATCTTTTAGAGAGAGAGAAAGAGAAAAAACATTGATGTGAGAGAAACACATTGATTGGGTGCCTCCTGCACGAGCCCCAAACATGGCCTGGGCTGGGAAGGAGCCTGCAACCGAGGTACCTGCCGCCCTTGACCTGAATCAACCTGGGACCCTTCGTTCCACAGGCTGATGCTTTATCCACTGAGCCAAACTGGCTAGGGCGCAATTACCTTTTCTTAAAACCACTTCTTGCCACTCTTCACCCCCCCTTGCTTGTTTGGTTCCTTTTTTTTTAAGTTGAAGAATCAACAACTTTAATTTTTGGTGTCCTAATAAGGATGAGAATGTATTACTGGTGGAGGGCATTCCCACTGAAGCCTTTAAACTTTGGACAGCGACGAGGAGGAGAACCTAGTCCTCAGGTTGCGCCAGGGGCTCTGAATTCTCTAGGCACCTCCTCTGTGCTTGCCTCTTGTTTTCACTGGTGTCTGGAAAGAAGAAATGTGAACGCCTGATCGTGGCTGTGAGGATTAGCCTGCGAGACCTTAGGGGCATGTTAAGTGGGTCAGTGAATTGTAGACACTGTCCCTGTTGTCTAGGTGATGGATCTGGAAAGGCTTCCTGAGAGGGGGCTGGCCTGCAGCCCCCATGGCCCCTGAGAGTGTTTCAGTGCTGATGTTCTCAGGGTGCAACACATAGAAACGGGCTCTGCAGCTGTAAGCTTCAGCCTCACACCCCCATCTTGTTGTATAGCTTTGCTGCTGTTCTGGAGATTTAAAATTGCATTTCCCCCAAAATCCGAACAGTTCCTTTTCAAGGCTAGTAATTATATTAGAATGTTAAGAATTGTTGCGAGTTGCTCATGACAATTTGAAACCAGTGTGGCAGACATATAAGTAAGCCTTTACCATCCACACAGGCGTTCCCCTTTTGACCTATTACCTTTTCCTTATCATGTCCTTGCTTTATTGATATATCGCTGCTCCTTTGTCCATCCTGGTGCTGTCCACACTCCAGCACTTTCTCCTTGGGGAGGTACCTTCCATGCTTTCCTCTCTTTTGGCCATGAGCCCAGTGTGATTACTCTGCTGATATTGCTTGTATATGTGTGAATTAGTATATTGGAAATAGATTTTCCTTAAAGTATTCAAAGATAGTAAAACACATACTATATCAGTCTCTAAACTTGAGCCCAGGATGGTGATGGTAGTGAGTAAAAAACTTGCCCTGGCTAGGTGGCTCGGTGGCTTGGTTGGTTGAGCATCAGCTGTACACCAAAAGGTTGTGGGTTCGATTTCCAGTCAGGGCACATACCTAGATTGCGGGTTCAATCTCAGTTGGGATGCATATGAGAGGCAACTAATCGATGTTTCTCTCCACATCAATGTTTCTCTCACTTTCCCTTCCTTTCTCTCTCTAAAATCAATAAAAACATATTCTCGGTAAGGACTAAAAACAAACACACACACACACACACACCCACACACACACCACCTCAGAAGCTCTTTAAAATGCTAGATTACCAATTCTGATGAATTTCTTCTCAGTGAATTAAGCTTCAATGCAGCATTGTTGTGTAAAAGATTTCCTTGGACTGGATATTTATTCATTTAACACGTTCATTCATTAACAAATATTTGTTCTTACTGTGGGCCAGGTACTATGTTAGGCAGTAGGAGTAAGATGGATAAGAACATGTCTCTGGGCCCTAGCTGGTTTGGCTCAGTGGATAGAGTGTCAGCCTGTGGACTGAAGGGTATTGGGTTCAATTAGGGGGCATACAGGAGGTAGCTGATTGATGATATTCTCTCTCTCTCTCTCTCTCTCTCTCTCTCTCTCTTTCTCCCTTTCCCTTCCCCTCTCTCCCTTCCCCCTTCCCTCCCTCCTTCCCTTTCTGAAATCATCACACACACACACACACACACACACACACACACACACACGAAAAGCAAACTTTAAAAAAAAATGTCTGTGGGGTAAATTATGAAAGTTGGCTTCCAAACAACTGTTCATAAAAATTGTTTCTCTCTCTTTCATGACAGCCTGACTTCACCCAGTCCTATCCACAGTGCAAAGAGCGAATCCATTATCACCCAGTCGGAGGAGAAGGCAGAGTTTGTGATTATTCCCTCTGAAGGAATAGAGAACAGGACAGGTACTACTTCTTGGGTGCTTGGGTTGGTTCAAGGAATAGCTCTCAGCTTGAAGAGTTTGGGGATCCTGGCTACGTACTTATAAGCTCCCTGGCCTTGTGCCTCTTGTGTCTGCAGGCTCAGCTCTACGGGGCTCTAATGCTTTAGAGCCAACAAATGTGGATATCTTCTTGGGGAATGTCACTTCCGATGTCCTAGCTGTCAAAAACCTTGCAGCAGTATAGACAGGCTGTTCCTTGGCCCCGTGCCTATGAATTAGGAAATGACTTTGGAACAGTCGGAAGCCTTATTCAGTAAATAGATTTTGTGATTTCTGTGTTATATAATACAAATAATTTCAGTCCTTCTCTAACTTAAGTTGGGGCCAGGAAAAGGAGGGGTTGCTGAGGTGTCTGTGAGAACATACAGTGGAGAGCAGGTCTACATCGGGTTTGGTATGAGGGCTGCAGAAAGGACCACAGGAGTTCCCTTCGTTTAGACTTCTCCTTCCTCTGTTTCAGTTGCTCTCTTGTTTACTCACATAAACATAGAGGGAATCTGGAAGAAGCAAAACACATGATTTAGATAGAGTTTTATTCACCTATTAGGGGATACCATGAAACTGAAGCCCTCAGAAGAAAAACTGGAATTCATTTCTTCTTTATTCTATTCCCTCTCTAAACCTGGCATTAGTAGCAGAGAATACTACCGAGAACGGTACTGAGTCAGACACCCCTGGGACCCTGAGGAGGGAGAGGGAGAGCATTTATTGAGTGCTTGCTCTGGGCTCCACACCACATGGTCCTGGGCATAAATTACCTCGTTTAATCTTCACAGCAACCCAGAGGGATTAGCCTTACTATACTCATTTTTATGAATGAAATCAGAAGAGATTGTAAAAGCAGGAAAAGAAAAGAAAAGAAAAAAACACAGAGAGAGAGATATTAAATAATTTGTGCAAATATGTTTTACTGGTTCGTTTTCTGTGTGAGACACTGTTAAATGACAGAATGGTCTCCTCTGAATCTCCAGAGCAACCAACAGGACTTTCGTTTTCATGGCCTCTGACAGCTCCCCTCTTTGTACCTGGCAGAATCAAGCTCTGGGAGTGTCCATTCTAGAGAATTAATAGTAAAATCTATATGTCCCATGCCAAGACTCCCAAAGAGGAAGTCTTACGGCTTCCTAAACGTTCTGACGAGGATGTGTTTCCCCAACAGATTAAGTGTTGCTCCCTTGAGCCTAAGGTCTGAGCTAATAGCCAATTCTTTATGTCTCACAACCCCACCTGGTGGCGAGTCCAGGCTGAGCGGCGAGGACAGGTTCAGGAGGCAGTGACCTGAACCTGTGAATGCGAGGACAGCGAATGCTTCCTGCCGGAAACTCTGTTTTCTTCAACATGAACTGTGCTCCCTCCTTTCATGTTGTAGAGGAGACAGACTCTCCAGTATCCCGAGACTGGCGACCAGGCAGCCCCACAGCCTGTCTGGAGACTTCATGGGAAGAACAGCTGTTGGAGCAACAAGAACATCTAGAAAAAGAAATGGAGGAAGCCAAGAAAATGATATCAGGACTACAGGTAGCTCCTTCCCTTGTCGTTCGTTCGTCTTCGGGGCACCCACTGATTATTATTAAATCACTGGTGTCAGTTGAAGATAAACTGGCTCAGTTTTGTGTGAGGTCAGAGTTGAGTGGGGAGTTCAGACAGAGGGAGTAGGAGTCAAAGGGCAGACAGTTCCCTTTATGTGAGTAAAGCTCTCACATGGACCAGGTGGACTCTTGTTTACAGCACAGTTGTCAGGAGTTCTGCGAGCCTGGGAGCCATCAAGCCCTGCCACCTGGTTCTGGCTCTCAGCTCCCCGGTGGGTTCCTGCCCGCTCTGTAGCCACAGCCGTGCAGTTGTGCAGCTCTCACCAAATAGTGGCCCTCTGAAGAGTCAGGGGTTGTCTCCTAGGACTTCTTCAGGAAGAGTGCGGGAGCCAATAATGCCAGGGTCTCTGAATCTAGCTAAACTTTAGAGGATTCAGCTCGCTCCTAATGCGTTTGTGAGTGAATGCCAAGGCTCCGTGATCAGGTAGAGGAGGTTTTCTTTGAGCAACAAAGCCCTTCAGTCTCTCCTATACCTTCAGTGCCAGCTCAGGAAATCTCCCAGAGGCCGGCTGACCCACTTGACTTGGTTTCTACCCTGAAATGACCCCCAAGCCCTCTGACATTGTGCATCTGTCTCTATTTGGGGGAGCCCTTGTAGTGTGCTGATGACCCTGAAATTGTCTAGGGATATTCCTTTCTGTTTGTGCTGGGACCTGCACTGCTCTTGAATTGTCAAATATTTATGGAGACCTAAACAAAGCCCACATTATGTCAGTGGTCTGGCAGCCGGCAGGCGGTGGAGGCGGCGCTGCCAGCCAACCAGCAACAGGGTGAGGACACAAAGAGTTCCTTAAAAAAAAAAAAAAAAGGAGATTGGTGCGATAGTGAAATATTTGCATAATGTATGCCCCAGGAATGGAGAAGGGTTGGAGGAATGTTTACTGCCTAGATATTCCTTCCTGGAAAGTTGTTTATTTCCCACCTATTTTCTTGGTATGTTTAAAATTTTTTTAAAAATATATTTGTATTGATTTCAGAGGGCAAGGAAGAGGGAGGGAGAGATAGAAATATTGATCAGCTGCCTCTTGCACACCCCACAATGGGTAGCTGGCAACCCAGGCATATGCCCTGACTGGGAATTGAACCATGACTTCCTGGCTCATAGGTGGACGCTCAACCACTGAGCTACAGTATATTTTAAATGTCTGCCTTTTAAATAGACATTTTCTGCCTCTATATTAAGGCATGGTTTAATTAACAGTGTATGTGTGTGCTGTCGTTTAAATAATTTTTAGTGATTTTTTTACAGAGAGGAAGGGAGAGAGATACTAGATACGTCGATGAGAGAGAAACACCGACCAGCTGCCTCTTGCACACCCTCTACCGGGGGTGTGCCTGCAACCAACCTATATGCCCCTGACCGGAATCGAACCTGGGACCTTTTAGTCTGCAGACCGACGCTCTACCACTGAGCCAAACTGGTTTCGGCTGTGCTTTAATTAGAACTATTAAAGCATAAAAAACTTTGGGGTTACACCCAACCAAGTTTTCCCCAGGACAATGTGATTATATGAACATAGATTACCATCAGTTTGGTTTGCATTTTTCAGTCTGGTGGATTAGACAGAAAAAGAAGAGAATCGATAGGCAGAAAGTCAGCATCCTAATATTCTCTGCAAACAGGAGTTTAAATCACAGCCACGTGACCACAATGAGAATTCTGTTCCCTTATGGAATACAATGGGGCTCACAGCACCCACTGGCGTTTAACCCCTTCAGGGATGAACAAGTTGCGTGCTAAGCCACATCCAGTTTCTGGCTTATTCGTAGGCTCTCATGAGAGCCCATCCAATGCTTTGCCTTTAGGGTCAGTGTTCCTGTAGCATGGCCCTCCCTTAGTTCCCTGCAGCTCTGTGGCTTCTTACACTTGTCTATGCATACCTCTTGCCACAGCTCCATGGGATAACCACATTAATTTGATTTACTAAACTTTTACTATTAATTAGTGCTTGATAGACCAACCAGTGCTTGGATTCTTATATACCAACATTTGTGGTTAGTTTGTGTTATATTTACTGGAAAAGGATCTCTGTAACTCTTCTCTTGACTAGATTAACCTGTTAACCGGGGAGTTCCCTTTTTAATTACACAACGTATAACGGCACATACTCTTTCACTAGGACATGTCAGTACGTCACGCCCAATGGACGTAATTTCATATTATTTTTTTTTATTTATACTTAATTAAAATAAATGAAATATATATTTTTCTGTTTATTTATATATAAAGCACAAAGGAAAACACAAAATTACAAACAAATAGAAAAGAATACCAACAAAAAAATGGAAACATCGAATTAAAAAATTATGAATTTTACAAACAATTATAAAGATTAAAAAATATATATACTGTCCATTTCAGGGCGCAACATATATTTCAAGGACGTATTCATATATCCTCCTTGTTCCAGATATTGTTTACGCTCGGTTAACAGGTTAAGAAAACTCATGATATAAGACAAAGACACATTTTCAAATCTTTCATTCAGCTGATAGGTCTTGTATACCTGCCTGCAAGGGTAGATCCAAGTTTTGTGAGTCCAAAAATATATAGTTTGGGAGGCCATCTTTGAGACTTACTATGTGACCGGTGTGGCTCAATGTCGACCATGGTTTGATTCCTCTTTAGGGCACATGCTCAGGTTGCGGGCTCAATCCCCAGATTGTGGGCTCAATCCCCATGCAGGAGGCAGCTATCGATGATTCTTTCTCATTGGTGTTTCTATCTCTCTCCCCCTTCCTCTCTAAAATCAATAAAAAATATTTTTTAAAAGACTGTGATTACAGATTATGCATCCAATAGTCGATATAGGAACTTGGGAGGGCAGAGCAGGTGAGGGGCCCTTGGGTTTGAGCTTCCTTAGCTTCAGAGTAAATCTTCCCCCTCCATATTCTGATGAAAACAAAGTCTGGGGTGGGGAGTGGAAATGAATGCCCATATTTCTCCACAAGTATGTTTTCCTTCTTTTTCTATCAGGTTGCCTTCGGGAGTAAAAATGCAGAATTACTCAAACAAACCCAAGTCAGTGCTTTAACTTCTAAATAATTTATTATAATAAAGTTTTATATGCTAAGAAATTCTGCACTGCTTTTAGTTCACTTCCCAGCTGGCAAAATTCAGTTTGAGGGGCTGTGGTTTTGAAATGCCGCTTCTGAGAGGAATGTTTATTTTAGATTGTTTTCTGGGGCCAAAGAGCTTTGGAGAGAGGAACTCCAGAGAGACCCAAGGTGAGTCGTTGGCGGTACCTAAGGATCAGGGTCACACATTACCACGGAGATTTCTAGAGGAAGCCCAGTTGTGATTTCAATAAGGAAGGAGCCTGCCAACCCCAGGCTCAGTTCTCTGATGGGCGGTGCGTTTCTCTCTGTGTTTGTGTCACTCAGGCCTTGCTGCTCAGTGGGTCTTTACCGGAAGATGAGCAGGACAGGCCCTTGGCCCTCTGTGAACCAGGAGTCAATCCCGAGGAGCAACTGGTAAGCGCCATCTTCTGTGACAAAACCAAGTAACCTGGTTAATGTACTTGACTTGCTTTTAGCATTTGACCCCGTTGTCTGCACCTGCTTGAAATGCTCTCTTCCCTAACTCCAGCTCTGCCGGGTTTTCTCTTCTATTTTAGAGAAATTTTCCTTTCTTTTTTTTCTTCCTTTCATTCAGTCAGTCAGCAAATATTTATTGTGTGCTAACTGTGCCCGCTGATGTTTCAAGGTGCTGGAGATACGGGAATGCCAAAACAGTCCCAGGACACTACCCTCGGGCATGACATTCACAGTCCCAAGACACTACCCTCGGGCATGACATTCCGGGGCCTGTTCTGCCTGGGCCTTAAATGCTTGCTCCTCAGGGCCCTCTCCTGACTCGCTTTCTCCTGGGTAATAGGTGCCTTCATGGTTTCACTCACCTCCCACCCGACTCAGATGTCGCCTCAAATATTTATTTCTAGCTCAGTTTTCTCTGTGGGCTTCCAGATTTATATATGCCACATGCAATTGCCTATTGATTACCTCCACTGGTGTATCCTATAAGAATCTCCATTTCAATGAATCCTAAATTAAACAGCTTTTCTCTCCCTTTTCTCACCACCACTAAAACTGCTTGTCCTTTTGGATTCTGTTTTTTAATACTGTCCATCTAGCCAAGTACCCAAAACGAAAATCTAAATGTCAAGTTTTTAATCCTTTCTGACCCTTCCGTCTATAACCAATAAGTCACTAAATTTTGTCAGTTGACTTTTTAAATATTTTCACCTAGTTTTCTCCACTCTCACAGCCACTACTTTAATTCAAGCCTTTATCCAATGTTCTAGCAACCTTCTAACTAGCTTTCCAGATTCCTCTCCTGTCCTTCCTGATTCAGCAAGAATGATTTGCCTTTAAGGGAATTCTCATTTTGTCATCTCTTTGCCTACAACGTTTCATGGATTCCCCATTGCCCTCTCTGGCCTTTCATGATCCGGCCCCTATTTTCCTCTCCAGCTTCATCCCTTGCTATTTCTCTTTGCCTTTGCCCAACCTCCTGCATCCAACACATACTAGCAGTTACTTTAAACTTTGTCCCTGTTCATCTGCTTCCATCTCCCTGGGGATATGCATCCACTAGAGGGAGGACACTGTTTCCTATCCTTTGTATCCACAGTAGTAAATGTTCAATAAATGTTTATTGAATGAATGGCCTCCGAATTTCACAGCATAGGTACTTAAACATCGCTTTTTACCTTATATTCAGATTATAATCCAAAGTCGTCTGGATCAGAGTGTGGAGGAGAATAAGGACCTAAAGGTATGTCAGGACATGTACATTTACCCTTTGAAAAAAAATCAAATTTCAGGAAGTAATAGGGACAGAGTAAGGGATGTAGACTCATGACTCTAGCTGTACCTACGTTTGTATTGTGCCTTTGATTGAAAGAGAGATATGTCCTATATATGCCAAAAGGTAACATCTTTTTAATCTCAGTGATGAGTAATAGGCATCTATGTCATTATACCTTTATGTGTTTAAAATGTTCATTATTTTTTAAAATAACATCAACATACACTGGATCTATTATCAGTATGCTTTTTTTTTATAATTGACATAAACATATTAGTTTCAGATAAAGAACTTATTGATTTTATATATATATATATACACACATACACACACTTTATCTGAAACTAATCACATTAAATAATCACATTAACATTAGTGCTGCAAGGGTTCAGGAAGCCCCAGGTTGGGATGCCAATTAATGCCAGACATTGGGTTACATTTAACACTGGTGGGTCTTGAGCCAGCATCTAGAAGTGTTCTGGAATCTAGAGAAGGCTGTGCGTAGATTAAGTAAGAGTCCAGAGACGAAAGATAATTTTGAAAGGCATTTGGAGTTAGAGGAGCTTTAGCTAAAGGAACTAAGTTCTCCTTGTCTCAGGACCCCTTTCTTTTTATTACCACAAATTGTCCTAAGGCAAGGTGGAGATAACACTTCAAAGGGTAGGGTTTCCATACAGAAGCATTGTCAGAATGGGGAATAGCCTATGGCTGTTCAGGTGTTTGGCCAATAGGAGGCAATAACATGTAGATTAAGATGCCCCGAGCTGTCTGGCAGCAAACACTCAATTTTTTTCAAGTTGGAGGAAATGCCTTTAGCCATTCCCAACAGGTGATAACATATGTGACTCAGCCCTTGTTGAGTCCTCAAGTTCCATCAACTTTTTGATGAAACTCTTGCAATTATGACATGCTGGAATTGGCTTCCGCATCATATAGTTAAAAATTTTTTCTTGTGATGGTATCTTTTAAGATCTACTCCCTTAGCAACTTTCAAATATGCACTACAATATTATCAAATATAGTCTAGTATCTTTTTGTTGTTGTTGTTAATCCTCACCCAAGAATATTTTCCAATTCATTCCTAGATCGAGTGGGAGGGAGGGAGAGAGACACAAAGAGGGAAACATTGATGTGAGAGAGACACATCGACTGGTTGCCTCCTACATGCTCCCCGGCTGAAGCCAGGACCTTCAGTCTGCATGCTGACACTCTGTTCCCTGAGCCAAACTGACTAGGGCAGAGTCCAGATCTTTTTAAATGAATACTTCCAAGAATTCTTTTAGGTCAGTGGATCTTAACACATTGCAGACAGATCATGAGATTTCTTGCTTCACAGTGTTTTACAAAATATCATACTTTAAAAAGAGATTAGCTTGTAAGAACATGTAATAAATAACTTTAAAATATAATTTTAATTTTAAAGTGTGCCTTTAACATTTATGTAAAACGTTTTTGTACTCAAAACGGCCAAAACCGGTTTGGCTCAGTGGACGGAAGGGTCCCAGGTTCGATTCTGGTCAAGGGCTTGTACCTTGGTTGTGGGCACATCCCCAGTGAGGGGTGTGCAGGAGGCAGCTGATCGATGTTTCTCTCTCATCGATGTTTCTGGCTCTCTGTCTCTCCCTTCCTCTCTGTAAAAAATCAATAAAATAATAATTTAAGAAAAGGCCTTTAAAAAGAAAAAAAGAAAAAAGAAAGAAACTTATCTGTCCCCTGGGTAAAGCTACCAATAAAATTACTGGTCCACAATGTGTTAACTTTTTTTTGAGCCAAAAGTATATGCCTAAAATCATTAACCTTCTCCCCAGAAATATGCAAGAGCACATGCACACACACACACACTCATTGACTTGAATTTTTATTGACATTACTTTGGAGCCCATCTGTGGAGTCCAGATTAACTGTTTCCACCTCAGATGTGTTAATTCCAAATTCTTGATGTGATGCATTAAGAAGAGAGTGGGGTCTGAGTTATGGGTGTTCCTCTCCTAAAATCTCTTTCCTAGTGATAATCATATACATATGTTTATTCTATTGTCAAGGAGGGGTAATTACTTAGCACTGCGTTATTGGGCTAAATGTATTTTTGTTTAGTCCATGAAGAACAACACGCTCTTAGAGAATCAGAAGCAGCTTGATACTTGGCTAAACATTAGAAACCAAGATAATAAATGAAGAAATGGGAGTAGGCATATTGAGATGAATTACTTATTTCATGAGAGGGATTTAGATTATTATGATTCCATTTCCTGGTGGTGAAGATTGCTAATTGTAGGAATGAGATCCTATGGGAATGTGTGGTGTCTTCTTTCTTGGCGTTGAGCCTGGATGCCACAGGGCAGAATGGACTGGGTCAGCCTTCAGTGTTCACTGGACCAGACCTTTCTGCCTCAGTAGACAGTTAATTTTTTCAGAGAATGGTTATCTGAGTTTTGTGTTCCCACTGATAGAACGAGGTAATGCTTCGGAAGCAGCCCAGATGCTCTCCATCTGATCTAACTGTATTTGGTTTGCAGAAGGACTTGCTGAAATGTAAACAGGAAGCCAGAAACTTACAGGGAATAAAGGTAAAAAGGAAGACATTTAAATCTTTAAATAAATTATCTAGCCAAAACTGGTTTGGCTCAGTGGATAGAGTGTTGGCCTGAGGACTGAAGGGTCCCAGGTTCGATTCCGGTTAAGGCCATGTACCTGGGTTGCGGGCACATCCCCAGTGGGGGGTGCGCAGGAGGCAGCTGATCGATGTTTCTCTCTCATCAGTGTTTCTGACTCTCTATCCCTCTCTTTCCTCTCTGGAAGAAATCAATAAAATATATATATAAAAAAATTATCTACAAGGTCAAGTAGTCAACTGGTAAGAGTAGGTGCTAAGAGGTTGGATGGGTCCTCTAGTCTTTCTTGTATACATTTGGTGGGGCCTTTGCAGACTCTGTGCTGTCAGGAAAGGGAGAGCTTTGTGGATGGGAAGTGAGATGTAGTAAGGAATATATCCCTTTGTTTTGCTGAGGCTTATTTCTGGCGGTTATGACCCCTGTGCTGCCACTTTCCTCTGTGCTGCCTTATTTGTTTCTGTCTGTAAACAATCAATTCTTACAGTTCTCTTCTTTTTTGTTGTTGTTGTTGTTGTGTGGTAAGGGATTTTATTACTTTGAATAGAATGATCACAGAAGTCTTTTGGGGACATGACATTTTGCTAAAACTGGGATAATCTGAAAAAATTGCAGAGAATGGCATAGCATATACAAAAACCCTGAAGTAGAAAAGAGATTTGTTATTGAGCTAATGCCAATTAAGGCCGTGATGGATTAAAAAAAAAAAATAGGTCAAGCAAGATCAAGTAGAGCAAGAGTTACATTTTATTATGCCAGTCCTGCTCCAAACACCAGCTGAACTATGAGTGCAGGGTCTGAAGCCAAAGGGTTGAGATGTATGCTTTGATCCCATTACATACTGTCTCTGCAATATTGGCTTAATCGAAGAATGTGCTTCCTTAAGTGTAAAATATACATAATTATAGCACTTATTTCATAGGATTGTAATAAAAAGAAATTTATGCCAGTGAAGGGCTTAAAATGCTTCTAATCGTAAGAAGTTCTCTTCATTTTTAGCTTTTTATCAGTTCTAAAGAGGTATATCTTTGCCCTGACCGGTTTGGCTCAGGGGATAGAGCGTCGGCCTGCATACTGAAAAGTCCCAAGTTTGATTCCGGTCAAGGGCATGTACCTTGGTTGCGGGCACAGCTCCAGTAGAGTATACAGGAGGCAGCTGATCGATGTTTCTCTCTCTCATCAATGTTTCTAACTCTCTATCTCTCTCCCTTTCTCTCTGTAAAAAATCAATACAATATATTAAAAAATTAAAAAATAAAGAGGTATATCCTCTTAAAAATTGTAATTTATTTAGTTCTTGAATAGTTAATAGTACTCAAATGGTTTAAAGTTAATAAGGTACAAAAAGATAATCCTTAAAAAGCCTGACTTCTGGCCCTGTCCCCACAATCACCTAGTTTTCTCTCCTGGAGGCAACTTATTAGTTATCAACAAGTCCTATATAATAAAAGCCTAATATGCTAAGTGTCCAGTCGACTGGACAGCCAAAATGTAATAATGCTAATGATATGCTAAGGCCACTCAACAGCTTACTATGACATACACTGACCACCAGGGGGCAGACAGCCGGCTGATTGACCAGTTGCTATGATGTGCACTGACCACCAAAGGGCAGATGCTCTGATTGGTAGGTTAGCTTGCTGCTGGGGTCCGGCCAATCAGGACTGAGTGAGATGCCTGGAGCCCTCCGTCAGTCCCTCCCTGGCTGGGCAACGCCCTGTGTCTCTCCCCAGCCCCAATCATGCACAGGTTGGGTCCCTTGGCCTGGCCTGCACCCTCTTGCAATCCGGGACCCCTCGGAGTATGTCAGAGAGCCAGTTTCAGCCTGATCGCATAGGGGGGTGTCACTCAGCCAGAAGCCGGGCTCATGGCTGGCGGACTCAGAAATGGTGGCAGGAGCCTCTCCCACTATTGTAGCAGCACTAAGGATGTCTGACTACAAGAGGGCGCAGGCCGGGCTGAGGGACCTCTTCCCCTTGAGTGCACAAATTTCGTGCAACTGGGCCTCTAGTCTATATATCAAGCCTAAGCTCCCGTCCGACCAGATGCTATGATTTGCACTGACCACCAGGGGGCAGACACTTAATGCAGGAGCTGCTGATGAATTGGCAGCTGTGGTTCTCAGGTAATGCACCCAGAACCAGAGAGGAGGGAGCCTGATTCTGGGGTGAGTCACCTGCGAACCGCCCTCTTGCAATCCGGAGCCCCTTGGGGAATGCCGGAGAGCCAGTTTCGGCCCCAACCCCACACTGTGCACCGGCCCTCTAGAGCATATATAATTTCTTCCCAAATAATAGTATACAGCAAATACAGCCTAACATGTTGCTTGTGGCTGCACAGTGTGCCACTAAATGTGATTACTTAATCACTTGCTCATACAACCAGTGATATAGCTAATCTCCTTGAATGCATGTTATTTCACCCAAGTGGGAGCATGTCTGTGTATAAATACTGGAAGTGGAAAACAGTGTTCCCCTCTTCCCTGCACTTCCAGTCGTGGGCTGGACTAGAGCATTTTTAGGACTAGAGCCTTAGTCCTTTGAGATACTTCGGAAACAAACGTGTTCCATAGTCAAGTAAGTGTGAGAGCTGCCCTCTGGACTTGAAGAGTCACAGTGAATAGTAACATAGTAAAGGACCTGGGGAGATTTCTCATAAAGAAGGTGGCCCAAAGCAAGTTTAGAATTATTGACCACAGAAGCGCTTTTTCTCCCAAGGAGCTCTGGGAAATGTTCCTCTGATCTGCTGGTGCCAGGGCTTCTTAGCCTGCCTTTGCCATGTCCCGTCCTGGCAGACAGCATGTTCAGTCCTGGGCTCCCACATTCTCCAGAGCCCGCACCATTTCTTTGTGGTCTGTGAAGAGAGGAAAGTCAGGGTCAGTACACTGGAATGCAGCCCCAGTCCATAGTTGCATTGGCGGTCACAGTGGTTGGAGGAATGGCCCTTTTAAGTATGTATAACTCACCTTTTCTTAAGCTTGGGAGAAACCAAGAGTGTCCAAGCTGAAAGATAGCCTAACGTTGGGAAGGTTCTAGATATGGGAGGAGGAACAACAGCCCAAGAGCAGTTCTGAGCATGGAAATATGTATATTCCCAGTCCTGGTCCAGATTAGGCATGGGAGCCCCCAGCAGATGCAGGCTCTGGGAGGCAGGAAAAGGGACCTCAGGGATTCTGGATGAATAGGGTGGCAGGCAGAAACAGGTCCCAGCCTTCTAGGAAATAGGGAGTTGGCAGAGAGGTAGACTATTTATATGCCCAAGATATAGATGAGGAAGCCAGGGTGGGGGGGAGGAGAGTGTGTTGTCCAAGGCCACTGTCACAAAAGTAAGTGGCGAACTTGTCATTTGAATCTAAGTCTTTTTTATTCCCCAAGACCTCTCTCTAGGACGCCACCCTGTCAGGAATGAAGCAGAGGGTAGTGGTGAGTACCAAGTGAAGGAAAATTCAGGTTTCGTGTAGTTTGGTAGGACAATGGATAGGATTGTCCTGTAGATGCCACTGTCCTGGAAGGGGCAGAAAACCCCTGCTTATTCCCGTGGCAGTCCCTGAAGTCACTCCCACCTGTGTTGCCAGGACTAATGCGGGATATGCAGTGAGGGCTTTAATAACTTAGTAATAACTGGCTGGTTGGGTAATTGGGACCTCAGTAATTAGCTTCCCCCTCTCCCCCCAGGATGCCTTGCAGCAGAGGTTGAGTCAGCAGGACACATCTGTTCTTCAGCTCAAACAAGAACTGCTGCGGGCAAACATGGACAGAGATGAGCTACACAACCAGAATGTGAGTTAAATGAACCCTGACTTCACCGAACCCCAATTAGGTCTGCTGCCCTAACCTCTTAATTTCAGGTTGTCCGCTCTCAGTGTCTGCGGTTATTTTATTTCCTGTTAGACTTGAGTCTGTTCCCAAGGGAGAGTCTCCAACACACTGGCCTCAAGCCCTTCGAGTTCAGGACCCTGGGACACAGAGGCTGCCCTGTGCTTCCGCAGTCTGTGTAGAGACACGGAGAGCAGCTGAGTGTTTTGAACACAACCATGCCCTCTCTGCTTCTCACGTGAACTGTGGTTACTAAATAGCTATTTTCCTGCTGGGCGTGGCACGCAGCACCTCCATGCCATTAATTCTTTCTTATCCTTCTTGCAGGTGGATCTGCAGAGGAAGCTAGATGAGAGGAACCGGCTCCTGGGAGAATATAAAGTAAGAATGAACGTTAGTTTGGAAATAATTTCCATCTGACCTTGTTTTATGAACAGCCCATGATGCTGTTGTTCAAAGAGCACTTAACTCTGTTCCCTCCTTGTTTTTGGCAAAGAAATCCTTTGCTGCGATCCCTTGTTCACTAACCCTAACCCTGAAGGTAGGGAGCACGGCTAAGAGAAGGAGCGCAGAACTAGGGTGTGAAACTTCAGTCATTAACCCTTCTATCTAACTAGCATGGATAGCATGTAGTGTCCTTCTACACACAGTAGTTCCCTTTCTCCTTACCCTTCCGAGAACCCTTTGCACTATGCAAGAGTGGTGTGGTGTGCGATGTCTTCCCGGTGCAGCTGGAGGAAAGCACCGTTCCCCCAAGGCTCTGCTTTCCTCCAATGGAGTTGCATCACAAAGGGTGAATTAACTGTTCGATGTTCTTGACTTTGCCACGTCTGACAGCTCTCTCTCCATTGCAGAAGGAGCTGGGGCAGAAGGACCGCCTTCTTCAGCATCACCAGGCCAAGCTGGAAGAAGCGCTCCGGAAACTCTCTGAGGCCAGTTACCAGCAGGTGGGGCATCTTCAGTGCTGACTTCCTGTCCCTGCAGCCTGAAGAAGTGCTTTCCTGACTTAGTCTCTGGTTTGCAGGTGGATCTAGAGCGGGAGCTAGAACACAAAGATGTCCTTTTGGCTCACTGTATGAAAAGAGAGGCGGATGAGGTAACCTCCAACTCGGGGTCTCCCTCCCATATTTACAAGGGCAAAGAGAGGGTTTTGTTTCTGAGTCAGGACTGAACCAAAGCCACAGGTCAGTTTTTTAGGAGGGTTATTTGATGTGGGGGTTATATGAATACAGATTCCAGGATAAGAAAATCTGGTTTCAGATACATCTTTACCACTTTTTAAAATTAAACTTATTGGTGTAACATTGGTACATTTTTATCACTGTGTGACTTTAATTTACTTAGCTTCTGAACCTTAGAAGTAAGGCTCATCTGGAAAGTAAAAATAATAGTGGCCCTCTCTGCCATTAAGAAGAATACATAAAATAACCCAGGTATGAGGGGTGGGAGTATCTGGGGAGAGGTCAATGGGAGACAAAGGAGACATATACTTTCAATAATAAAGAATTTAAATTAAAAAAATAATCCAGGTAGATCCACCTGGTAGATCCACCTGGCTCAGAACTAAGATCAGGAGAAGTGAGTCATTACGTGGTTGGAGTGGCTCAGTAGTTAAGCATCGACCCATGAACCAGGAGGTCACAGTTCAATTCCCAGTCAGGACACATGCCCGGGTTGCTGTCTCCATCCTCAGTAGGAGGCATGCAGGAGGAAGCTGATCAATGATTCTTTTTTTTTTTTTTATCAATGATTCTTATCATTGATGTTTTTATCTCTCTCTCCCTCTTCCTTCCTCTCTCTCTGACATCAATAAAAAGATATTTAAGAAAGAAAGAAAAGTTAGTCATTGCTTTTATTTTTAAATTACTGAAGCAAAGGCCGGAGGTGCTATAGCAGCATTCTCAGGCCCTCCAATGGCCAGGCAGAGTGTAGGCTGGGGCTTCCCAGCTGAGGTTTCCCTTTTGTTTATTCTACATTCAACAGTGCCTAGGAAGGGTCAAGTACAGGGGTGCAGCGATGCATAAAGGGGGAAAAGGCCCTATACATTCTAATAGAGAGAGAGATGAAATAGATATATAATTATTAACTATGTCAGGAAGTGTAAAGAAGAAAAGTAAGACAGGACATCTTGGTTTGGAATTCTCTCACAACAAGTGTCATTTCTTCTTGCTGCTGTAGGTGACCAATTACAACAGTCACAGCTCTCCAAGCAATGGTTTTCTCCCTCCGGTGACAGAAAAAGGGGCTGCTTCCATCACTCCTAGAGGGGTAGGTTCTTAACATTTTAGTCCAGACCTGCCACTTCGCTGAAACCAGAAGAGCACCTTAGCCATCACCAGTGGACTCGCCTTTTATATCCCACTTCTCTATTCTCGCATCTGTTGGGTGTGTAAAGATCTGAGGCACTTGTTATTCGAAATGAAGGACTGGTGGGAAACAGCAGGCCTGTTTTTGTGGAGGAACATTTCCTATAATCCACACCTCCTCCCTCAAAAATAAAAGATCTATCCTGGAGATTTCTTCCCTGTGTCTCCTTAAGCCCAGTGGCCGGGATATAGTGAATAACATGACACTGCAGCATGCCAGCAGCGCCTCACTCTCCCCACAGACCAGCGACCTGCAGCTCGTTCGCGATGCTCTCCGCAGCCTGCGCAACAGCTTCAGCGGCCACGACCCTCAGCACCACACCATCGACAGCCTGGAACAGGGCATCTCCAGCCTCATGGAGCGTCTGCATGCCATGGAGACCCACAAAAAGCAAGAAAAAAGGGTAATCCTTGTTCTTGCTGTTCCTCTTAGGCAAGCTCCCAAAGAAGTTTAATTTTATCCATTTTAATCTAGAGGAAGGCAGGGCTAAAGGATGAGACCTTGCTGAAGGTTAAAGTTGCTTTTCTCTTTGGTTTTCCTCTTCATCATGGTTTGATAATCCAGGGAGGGACTTCATGATAACTCTCATTCCTATCAACTGCTTAACTATCTAAGGAATTGTAGTGCTTGGCCCCACAGCTCTCTCTACTGCTTTGTTTCCCTTACCCTTCTCCCCTGAATGAGCTCGCATTAGATGAGGAAATATATGGAAAATGCTTGAAAATTAGAATCCCTTTTATAAATGTGTATTATTATTGCTAGAACCAATATGTACAGTTTTATGCACCGTGGTAGAAGATGTATATTTTAGGCAAATGGTAGAAAGAGTATATTTTAGGCACACTTTTTAAATTTAAATTTCTTGGTTAAGTTCTCCCGTTGATCATAATTCTTGTGATTTTTGTGTGGCTCTCCAGGTTTGGGGCAAGTCACCCAGAACTCAAGCAGGTAGTGAATACCGGGAGTCCTGGCCCCCTCATTCCAGTAAGTGCTCATTATTGCTCAGGAAGGTCTCCTGGAATTTTAGATCAGACATTAGTACTTTGTGGATCGAATTTTTCTTATATAATTTCACTTTTATAATGTGTTGAAAGAACCCGGGACCTTTCAGTCTGCAGGCTGACGCTCTATCCACTGAGCCAAACAGGTTTCTGCCAAACAAAACAAAATTTAAGACAACAAAAACATATACAAATCAACCTACAACCCAAATAGCACAGAAAATTCCAGTTCTTCCTAGGATCAAGAAGCTTGATTTCCAGGGGGTGAGGATAGGGGGGTGGGAGTGTATTTTTCTTAAAACTTTGAGTGTTTAGGTGATTTGGTTTAAGTCCTGCAAAATCATTGCACCATCTAGTGGTCATGGCTAGGTAGTACTTCTTACCTGCTCTATGCCTACTTGTTAAATTCCTTCCCCTGTTTTCATTCCAACAGGTTGGAAATCTACCCTGCCTCATAATTTGTTTTACTCTATATCTTAACTTTTGATTTAATAGCTTTCACATTTTCTTATATTTTATAGTTTACCCAGACCCAATCTAAAAGTATGTAAATAATTTTCAAAAAACAAATAGTATAAAGCTAGCCATAACCAGTTTTGTATGATACATAGGCAATTAAGAAAACAATAATAAACAATACGTAAAGTATGTCCTGGCCAGTGTTCTTAGTGGTTAGAGCATTGGCCTGCAGACCAAAGGGCCTGGGTTCTATTCCTGTCATGGGCACATACCTTGGTTCAGGCTCCTCCCGCATGCAGGAGGCAACCAGTCAATGTGTTTTTCTCATATTGATATTTTTCACTATCCTTCCCTTTCTCTTCCACTCTCTATAAAAGATCAATGAAAAAATATTAACAACAACAAAAGAGAAACATGAAACCCTGACCAGCGTGGCTCAGTGGTTGAGCCTTGACCTATGAAGCAGGAGGTCACAGTTCGATTCTCAGTCAGGGCACATGCTTGGGTTGCAGGAGGCAGGTGATCAATGATTCTCTCTCATCATTGATGTTTCTCTCTCTCTCTCCCTCTCCCCTCCTCTCTGAAATCAATAAAAATACATTTTTAAGAAGAAAACTGTAGCTGAAACTGGTTTGGCTCAGTGGTAGAGCGTCGGTCTGCAGGAGCATGTGCGTTGGTTGCGGGCACATCCCCGGTAGGGGGTGGTGTGCAAGAGGCAGCTGGTCGATGTTTCTCTCTCATTGACATTTCTAGCTCTCTGTCTCTCTCCCTTCCTCTCTGTAAAAAATCAATAAAATATATTTTTTAAAGAAAACTGTAGAACACAGATGAAATAAATCAAAGAATGGGAAGATACACCAGGTTTATTGATTAGAGTACTCAATATTGATCCATTCTCCCCAAATAATCTATAGCTTCAATCATATTCCAATAAAAATTCTTTTGTAGATATAAACAAGCTGATTCTAAAATTTATATGGAACAATAAAGGGATTGAAATAGTCACACAGGCTGAAGGGGGTTAATTGGGGGGGGTGACATATGTAAGACTATCAACAATAAAAATTATTATTTAAAAAAAAAAAAGGAATAGCCACACAGAAAAAGTTGAGAAAGATGAACAAAGTGTTTGGATGACCACACTATCTGATTCAAAACTAAATAATTAGTACAATATAGGTGAATGCATAGACACATGGATTAGTGGAACAAAGTAGAGAGTTCAGAAATATTTGGCCTATAGATTTTCAGTATCTATGAAAGAGCTAGTCAATGGCAAAGGAATGAAGGTTTAGGTTACCCAATCAAAAAAAAACTAACAACACAGAAGGATAGGCTTTTCAACACATGGTCCTGAGTAACTAAAGACCCATATAAAAACAGTCTTGACACATACCTCATGCCATATACAAAAATTAACTCCAAATGAGCTTAAAAACTAAAATTGATTTGTGACGCCTTTTAAAGTTATGTATTAAATTTATACATACATACACAAAGATTTGTTTGGGGGTCTTTTATTTGAGTTTTTTGTACATGCTTTTTATAGTAATTTCATACTGAAGTAACAATTACTTTATCATGATTCAGCCTTCAGACTGAAGGGTCCCCAGGTTCGATTCCCATCAAGGGCATATGCTCAAGGTTTGGGCTAGATCCCCAATAGGGGGCATTCAAAAGGCAGCCAATCAATGATTCTCTCTCATCATTGATCTTTCTCTCTCCCCCTTCCTCTCTGAAATCAATGAAAATATATTTTTTAAAATAAAAAGGAAAGGTTCCTCAAATCTATCTCTTCTCTGACTCCATCTTGCCCTTCCTCATTTTTCAGATTGTTTTTAATTGCCTGTTAATGGGATTACTGGTTTCCAGAGTTTCTCCCATCCAACTCATTCTTTACTTTGCTGCTGGATTGGCCTTTCTACTAGTAAATGCTGTCTGATCGTGTCACTCTTTTTTAGTATCTCCCACAGCTTACGACTAATATCTAAATGTTTTGTGCTGGCAGAGTCCTTGTGATATGTCCCCTGCCTATTTTATTATTCTCATCTTTCACAACTTCCCAATGTATTCCTTGTGCTCCGGCCTTACTAGTTAACTTTTAATTTTTTTATTTTAAAAAAATACATATTTTATTGATTTTTTAGAGAGGAAGGGAGAGAGATAGAGAGCCAGAGACGGCGATGAGAGAGAAACATCGACCAGCCGCCTCCTGCACACCCCCTACCGGGGATGTGCCCGCAACCAATGTACATGCCCTTGACTGGAATCGAACCTGGGACCTTTCAGTCCGCAGACTGACGCTCTACCACTGAGCCAAACCGGTTTTGGCTAACTTTTAATTTTTAAAATACATAATCACATTCCCTGCATTAACATATATCCTTCCCTCTTGGAATGCCCTTTTAGACTTCTCTATCTGATGACTTCTTACACACTTTATGGGGCCTTCTGACCTCTTCCAGGTGGAATTAACCACTTCATCTTGTGCAGTTTGCACAAGTCTGATTTCAGTGTAATTATTTATGTCCATATTTGTCATCCATACTAGATTGTAAACTCTTTGAGGTCAGAGACCACATATGGTTGATTCTATATTTTCCAAATTTAGCACATGGTATGTGTACAATAAATGTTTGTTGAATGAATGAATGAATGAATCAATCGATCAATAATAGACTTTAGTGATTTAAGTGAATGTTTTAGGTGCTGTTGTCCAAGGAGCACCATGGCATATAGTTTTAATAATTGGCATTCTTTGGAGAAAAATTCTGAAAACTGTGATTACTACGCAGAGTGAATATTCCCTTGTATTCCTCTGTATTCTTCCCTCACAGTCTCCTTTATTTAAAACCCCTGTGGCTGCCAGTTTGAATGGGACCAATGTCTAGAAAAAGTTAAGAAAATATATGTAGATGGAATTTCAGGACAGATTTTTAAATTTTTATTAATCCTCACCTGAGGATATATTTTTCCCTTTTTTTTTTTTTAGAGTGGAAGAGAGGGGAAAAGAGAAAGAGAGACAGACAGGCAGAGGCATTGATGTGAGAGACACACATCAATCAGTTGTCTCTCACACATTCACTGACCAGAGCAGGGATCCAACCTGAAACCCAGGTATGTGCCCTTGACCAAAATCGAACTCATGCCCCTTTGTTGTGCCAGCTAATGCTCTGAACACTGATCAACACCAGCTAGGGCACTGGACAGATTTTAATGACAGTTTATTATTTTATGGTTTTTATGATAAAAGTTTCTGATTGGTCTTTACTCCTGTTCTCTTAATTTTTTATTTTAAAAAAATATATTTTTATTGGTTTCAGAGAGGAAAGGAGAGGGAGAGAGAGACAGAAACATCAATGATGAGAGAGAATCATTGATCACCTGCCTCCTGCACACCCCCTACTGGGGATCAAGCCTGCAATCAAGGCATGCGCCCTTAACTGGAATTGAACCTGGGACACTTCAGTCCTCAGGCCAACACTCTATCCAACAAAAGCCAACCCAGCTAGGGCTCTTCCTGTTCTCTTAAAGTCATAATCACAAGTACTCATTAATAAAAAGTTTCCAGTCCTGGTTGGTGTGGGTCAATTGGTTGAAGCGTCATTGTACCTCAGAAGGTTGTGGGTTCTATTTCCAGTCAGGGCACATACCCAGTTCATTCTGGTCAGGGAACCTACCAGTGTTTCTCTTTCACATTGATATTTCTCTCTCCCTCTACCCTCTAAAATCAAATTTTTAAAATTCTAAAAAAAAAAACCACAGTACAAATTTATTTTAAAACTAAATAAAAATTTTACGTAAGTACCTATACAAAGGGTAGAGACAAGATGTGGATCAAGAGAACTGAGTTTAAAACCATGGGCCAGCACATATAGATCCTTTGTAGCTAAGGGATAAGGTACTGGAAGCATGAGGCTCCTTGCTTCTTAGACTGGAAGCATGAGGTTTCCTTGGCATCTGAGTTTCTAAGATTATTTTGCTCCTATGGTTCCTGTTCCTATTCATTTTCATTTCATGAATTGCATTAACATTCTCCAAAACTTAAGTGCTGGCAGTGACTGCAGCTCCTGCTGTGTCCACTCTGCCCTAGCGGAAATGTTGCTGGGCTCTGGCCTTTTTGACTCTTCACAACAATCAGAACAGATGCTATTTCCCTGCTAGAAATGCCTAGAATGGGTAAGAAACGATGGTCTTGGTATAGTTTCCATATTCAAAGCACTTCTTTGTGGCCCTAGTGCTGGCTTCCTGTGGGGCACACCCTGTGGACTTGGTGTTTGGCAAGGGTGTGAAAAGAAAAGTGTTCTGTGACCTCAGGCAGCTTCCTCCTTCTGGGACATTAAAAAAAAATTATCTTTATTATTGAAAGTTTTACAATGTTCCCTTTTTCCCCCTATGGAATGCCCTCCCTGACCTGTCTTTCATTTGTTGTCTGTCCATGGTTATGCATACGTGCATAGAAATTCTTTGGTTAGCCGGGACTGGTTTGGCTCAATGGATAGAGCGTCGGCTTGGGGATTGAAAGGTCCCGGGTTCGATTCTGGTCAAGGGCATGTACCCTGGTTGCGGGCATATCCCCAGTAGGGGGTGTGCAAGAGGCAGCTGATCGATGACTCTCTCTCATCGATGTTTCTGACTCTCTATCTCTCTCCCTTCCTCTCTGTACAAAATCAATAAAATATATTTTAAAAAAAAGAAAGAAAGAAATTCTTTGGTTAATCTCTTCTCCACCCCCCTGCTGCCATCCTGGGACATTTAAAAAAAAAAAAAAAAAAAAAAAAAAAAACTGGAAATGAGGGGTGGTTGGGTGCAAGTTGAATGTTCTGACCAGTCTCTCTGATTGCAGCCTTGCCTCACTCACAGAGCTCTCCAACTGTCAGCAGCACCTGCACGAAAGTGCTCTATTTCACTGACCGCTCACTTACACCCTTCATGGTCAATATACCAAAGAGGTAAGAGTCTTGGATCTATTTCTCTTTTTAAAAGGGCAGGAAGGCAGAATCATTAGTTTCTGCCCGTCCATCTAACCAGTTTGAGAAGCTGTATGGTGTAGTGAGAAGAGCACAGGGCATAGAGCTTCTAGTTTCAGCTTTACCAGGGGCATTACAAGGGACAAGTCATGATCTGCTAGGCACAGATACAACAAATATGCTTCCAATCTTGATATGCAAATAGGCTTCAAGTTAGGAAATAGTTTAAGTGCTCCTAATAGCTCCTGCTGATAGCCATGGATTGCTGTCATTGATCTTTGTTACTATTTGATGACTACAACTACTGTATTGAGAAATCATATTAAAAGAAACTTCAAACTCTGGGCCAATATACTTCCTTCTAAGGTTAAAGGCTCTGAAATAAATGTTTAAGCTGTGCAACCAACTACTGAGAAAAGTGACAGGATTTCTCTTTCTTAGAGAGTCTGCTTTTACTTGGTCTGGGTTAGAAGGGAGTTCAACAAATTAGATTTCAGAGACCTTATGTCTTTTATCCAGAGACAAGGAAAAGAGTGATTTGGCTGTTGCTGAATAAATCTATTTTAAATTCTCAGATCACTCCATTTGTAATGCCATTTTTATTCCATAATGGTGACTGGCTCACTAACCTTTGCTTTGTAGAATCATCTGGGTTATAAGGGGCAGTGACCTAACAAAACCAAGCTATTTCTGCCACAGGAGACCTTGGCAGGGGCCTGGGTTTAAAGCTAGCCTTATCTTTCCAACCTGTTGATAAACAGTCTATTTTAGAACTCTATTTGTTGCAGGCTGGGGGAGGTGACACTAAAGGATTTCAAAGCAGCTATTGACCGAGAAGGGAATCACCGGTATCACTTCAAAGCGCTGGATCCTGAGTTTGGCACTGTTAAAGAGGAGGTACAGTCTTCTTGGGGAGTCTGGGTGGTATTATTGGTCATTCCTGAACCCTAACGCCTTCTACTTAAGGACTAGTATCCATAAGTACCTGAGTCCTCTAACCAGGTCAGAGGAACTTCCCAAAGCCTCAGTCAGACCAGTCTGACTACTGTAGACTGAGAAGGTCAAGGAGTGGCCCAAGAAGTCTTTACTTCAAGGACTTAATTATTTTGACCAAACTTGTATAGAATTTTTTTTTTATTGATTTTCACAGAGAGGAAGGGAGAGGGATAAAGAGCTAGAAACATCAATGAGAGAGATACATCGACCAGCTGTCTCTTGCTCACCCCCCACCAGGGATGTGCCCACAACCAATATACAATGACCGGAATTGAACCTGGGAATTTTCAGTCCGCAGACTGACGTTTTATCCACTGAGCCAAACTGGTTTTGGCTAGAATTTTTATTTTAAGAAAAATAAAGGACCTGTGATTGAACAAAAGCTTGGTTTTGGGGTTCCTTTTGTATCTATAGTCAAATCTTAGAAAACGTTCAGCTTCCTATGTAGAGCAAAATAAAGAAATAGGTAGGAATATAAAGCTGTAAATAGTGGTGGTATTTTCTCAGATGTGAAAGTGAGGAACTTCTGAAAAGTCAACTGTACTTATTCTTAACTCCTTGATTATTTTTTTAGCCTATGCTTTTCTTTATAGTCCCTCTGCTAAAAATAGACTTTCTTATGGAAAAGAGTTCTAGGTTATGGGGCATTCTAAGTGCTTTCATTGTAGTTATAGAATGAAGAGGGTTGGGAAAGCCAGTATTTTATTTTGTAAATAGTTCCTCAATGAAAATTTTTAAAAATATATATTTTTATTGATTTCTGATTGGAATGGAGAGGGAGATAGAAACATCATTGATCAGCTGCCTTCTGCATGCACCCTACTGGGGATTGAGCCTACAACCAGGGCATCTTTGTTTCTATTTGATGACTATAACTTACTGTATTGAGAAATCATATTAAAAGAAACATGCGTCCTTGACTGGAATCCAACCTGGGACCCTTCAGTCTGCAGGCCAGTGCTTTATCCACTGAGCCAAACTTGCTGGAGCCTCACTGAAGTGCTTTAATAACCCTGTCCTATTAGTCACTCAGTAAATGAATTGAATGAATGAGTGAAAAGAACTGCATGCAAACAAGTTAAGATTTTTCTTTCTGACCAATTTTTTCCCCATTCTTGTTTTAATGTTTATACTGCTGCTTTCTCCTAAGAAGCCTAATGTACTATATGGTTCCTAATTTATGAATTCTTACCGTATATATTTCTGTGAGCAAAGTAGTGTTAGGGATGCTCTTATCATTTTATACATGTGGAACTAAATAATTATATATATAATTTTTTTTATCCGTTATAACTTTAGGGACAAAACCAAAGGGTCATAAACTCTAACTCTCAAACTCAAAGCTTTCCTCTACACTTTTTCTTTTGCTATTCCTCACCTGAGGATATTTTTTCCATTAATTTTTAGAGTTGGGGAGAGAAGAGAGACATTCTCATAAGAGAGACATCGATTCGTTGCCTCCTGCATACACCCCAACCAATCTTGGGATCAAACCTCCAACCCAGGTACATGCCCTTGACTGAGAATCAAAGCCACGATCCTTTGGTGTGCAGGTCAACACTCTAACTACTGAGAAATGCTGGCCAGGGGTCCTCTATGCTTTCTTATCCTCCATATTTGAGGTCTTGTTTTTATCAGCAGCAGTTTTTTAGTGAGACTTCCTATCTTACTGTTCTTTTTTCATGATGACTTTCTTTTCTTTCTCTAGGTTTTCCATGATGATGATGCCATCCCTGGATGGGAAGGGAAAATTGTAGCCTGGGTAGAAGAAGACCGCGGGGAGAATTAATTCTTAAATTAATTCTTAAATTCTTTAATTAAGGATTAGATTTGGACCGGCGGAACTTGGCATGCCCTGGCTGCTTCACTCAGGAACGAGAACAGAAACTGGGATACCCTACAAAGTTTCTAGTTCTTGCTGCCAAAAGAGAAGCTTGTCCAAGTGTGACAGCCACAGGCCAGTCGTTTCTGTGCCCGGTGTATGTGGTACTTCAAATCCCTGTCCAAATGTAGACCATGAATTCATCTGTAGTTCCTTGTCCGTGGGAACACAGTGTTTTATTCTACTCTGAGGACAACAAACCGAAGGCCTTAACCAATAGGATGGACGATTTTGCTCCCGTAGGGGCATGGCTGCTACTATCTGGAACCTGGGAATTGGATGCCTCACTCTGCTGTTATTTCAATTGGTCTCAGTGGTTGCAGCAATCAGAGTCTAGCAATTGAACTCACAGACAAGGCCAAGATACCAGCTTTTTTGCTTCTTTGCAGCTATTACAAACCAAGAATAACTCATGGAGTGGTACCAAAGACGAAAGCCACTCTTCAGGAACCTTTTGGACTGGACATGGATGGTACTGAATTGTTAGATGGAAAAAGGGCTGCCCATATTTGTGCTATATTGTGCTAAAACCAGAATTAAGTAAGACCTCGGGCTGCCTCTTGTGTCTTAACTGGATCTGCAACTTGTCCTTTAGCCCACAGGGCATAGTCCATGTACTGCTAGTTTTCTCTGGGGACTCTTCAACTTTAGAGCCATTTTTCCCCCTTCCAACTGATGAATTTTATATTTGAAAGGAATAAGGAGTAAAAGGCTCCTTAAAAATCCAGGCGGGTATGGAAAGGTGCTGCTACCCATGTCTTCTTGACTTTCTTTCTCTCATGACTTTCTTTAACTCATGGCATCTCTTTTGCAAAAGGAGACAGACCATTAATTTCAGTATTTGTGGTTTATGAAGTATTGAGCATGAGTTACTGATCTGCCCTTCTTTAGTTCAAGGCCGGAGTTATTTTCTCATATATTTAGTCCAGGCTGATCCTTTATGGCACAATAGAAACAATGGGGCATGGAGCATGAGTTGTAAATGGCAGGGCTGATTCTGTGTGAAAAAACCTAGAATCCTTTCTCATGTGTAACACTGTCAAGTGTAAAGTTAAAAAAATTGTTAAATTTCTAGAGATTACCCAATAACTTGGGTTTTTCTCATTCATTCATCAAACACTATCTACCAGCCATCGAGAGAGAGAGAGAGAGAGAGAGAGAGAGAGAGAGAGAGAGAGAGAGAGAGAGAGAGAGATATGTTTGCCTTCCAAAAGCAGTCTGCCTGTGACCACCAATGAACACTGCCAACCAGGAGAGTTGGGCAGGTCAGTTCTGGGTTCTTGACCTGTCTGCCTCTAGTTCATCTTCCCTTTTCTGCCATTTCAACAGACTACTCACTCATTGGAGTTCTGAGGTGACATTTTGTTGTTTTATAAGGATGTGTTTGGAGAATTCTTTTGTACTCACTTCCTTTTTTGTCTGAGAACCATGTCTATTTTTATAATGAGTGTGATTTCTGTATATTCTCACGTTCTGTATACTGTGTCCATTGTCTGGAGAACCCAGTGGCTTTTATATGGGCTCTTCTTATCAGCCCATCTGGTTTCTGAATGAGCTTTATTTTATTACAGGCATACTGATGATAACTCACTCCTGTTCCAGTTCTACCTGTCATAGTTGTGGAGATGGTTTTACATAATCTATTTGATAGTTCTTCTAGCAGACAGGAGATCAAAAGACACCTGATGTCTTCATATAAGTTTACCTGGTCTTCTATTTGAAGGATAATTTTTCATCAGAAATGACTGAAAACTTGGGAAAATCAGTCATAAGTAAGAGTAATTCATTATGAAAGCACCCCGGTATATTGTTTATTTTTCCCAGAAAGTCTGGAGAAAAAGTCCTAATGTCACTAATTTGTCTGTTGCATGGATCTTAGTGTTTGCTATAAGACAGCATGAGGGTTATCAGGCCAAAATTCATTACTGTATTTCCGGTACAATTTACCTTGAGTGTCTGTCTCTTAAATCAGTTTGTACTTGTCAGTTTTCTTTCAGCAAACATTCTTTACCATCATGTAGAATCTACCTTTTCAGAGAAAATTAAATCAGAGCAAAATTTCAAAGTTCTCTAGCTTTCTTGTTTTTTTTGTTTGTTTGTTTGTTTTTAATCTCTATGTCCTTTGGAAAAGACGCTGCATGGCCTTAGTGCCTCCATAGAAAGCAGACGTTGAGTTCAGAGGAGAAAATGAGATAATTTTTTCCCTTTAGCTCATTGATTTCTTATGCACTAAGCACCTCCGTTACAGGATGCCACGCCAATAATTCTTGTGTAAGATGTGTTGGGGCGGGGTGTGCATTGATTCATGCTGGTGTGAATAGCCTCCTTTTGGATACGTTGTGGCTGTTCTCTAGGAGGTCTCTTGACTTTCACAAGTATCATCCCCTCTCCGTGTGGGGCAGTCCATCCTGCGACTGCTAAAGTTCTTTCTTTGAGAAATCTAAGGAACTAGAATGTTTAGAGTTCATAAAATAATCTCTATACCCTGTGAGATATTTTAAAATGATCCTTAGACAAACTAGTCTATTCAAAAGCTCAATTCCTTTAAAAGTTTTCATTTAAAAACGGAATACCATGCTTAGTTCCCTAAATTAGCTGAAAGTGGAACACTTTACAATTTGTACCTAAATAATTCAAATTAAATTCACTGGGAAATGACAGTCCTACTTAAAGACCAACTTTTCAGCTTTTTTTGTCCAGGATGATTATAAATTAGGGAAAACATCGTATGCTCTATATCCAATCCAAGAGGACTCTAAATTACTTAAAAAGCATTTAGGTCACAATCATTTTCAATTTTTTCCTATAAAATAAGCATTATGATTGCACATTTCTTTTATTGTTTAAATTTATGTAAGAGGAATAGCTTGCTTAAAATATATATGTAAAATTATATTTTCTTAGAAACATGGATGTTTGCAACCATTGCTTTCAAAGAGATTACCATGTATTCCCTCGGTTTTACAATGTTTTCATAAAGACCGTGGTTATAACAGAGGCTTCTGATTATCAAAGTGATAACCAGTTTTAACTGCCTGTTTATACAAGATCTGTGAATAAAAAATAAAAAAAATAAAACACAAAACACACACCAAGCTATGAATAAAATGGAATTTGCAAACCAAATACTATTAATCATTTTCACTTGTGTTTATTGACTGAAAGCAATCAATAAGCAATTTACATTTAGTGAAAGTAAACCTCCTCAAGAGATCTCCCTGGTAGCATGTTTACTCATTACTTGAGGAGTGGAGATAAGGACTACTTTATGACTACAGATAATTTTACTATTGGTATTTCCAATGTAAGCACAAAACAGATTATTATAAAGGAGAATTTATTGATTTAGCACTTATTTTGAAACTATAAATATGCAAACAAGAATGCAAACCATTTTAGAGTTTTGAGTTTTCCTTATCTTTAAATTCCTTTACCAATCTGTTTAGGGAAATTCAGACCTATTCTCTCAGGACTGATTTGAGGAATGTAAGAATTCCTAGCCTATCTCTGGGGTCAACTTATTATCCCAGATCTGTTTGACCTGTACCCTCCTCTGATTTAGCTAAACCTGTCAAAAGTAAATTCAGCCCTAACCAGTTTGGCTCAGTGGATAGAGCGTCGGCCTGTGGACTGAAGGGTCCCGGGTTCGATTCCGGTCAGCGGCATGTTCACTGGTTTTGGGCACGTCCCCAGTGAAGGGGTGTGCAGGAGGCTGCTGATCGATGATTCTCTCTCATCGATGTTTCTTCTACCTCTGTCCCTCTCTCTTCCTCTCTGTAAAAAATCAATACATTAAAACAACAACAAAAACCAGCCATGGCTGACATCAGGACCAGATGCATGGAATAATGATCCCCTGCCCTGGCGCTGGCCACAACGCTGAGCGGACAAACCTGGAAAGCTACTATTTCATTGAAATCCTCTCGTGGGACCTCCTCTAAGATTCTTGGGATGGAGAACCCAGGAGTGCTCTTCCTATCTGGAGCACGCCCAAGCTTTTCCCTTCCCCATTCTCCGCCCGGCCCAGGCACATTGCCCAGGCAGTTTGGCTTTGTATTATAATAGAACATTTATTGGGTAAATCACAGATGTAGGAGTGATTCCTAGAATAAATGGGCTTAGAAGACAACTTGTAGAGGTAAAGGAAGGGCCCTGAGAGCTTGGGAGTGAGGAAGCTAAAGGTAGCATGCCTAGGGCAGGGACGGGGAAGGGTTAGGGAAAGGCATGGGGGTATTCCCAGGAGGGAGAGTGCAGTGGTTCCTCTGTCCTAGGGGTTTTATGAGTGGAGATTTCAGGGGAGGTCCCAAGAGATCTTAAAATATTTTTGTTTTTTCTTGTTTTTGTTAATATTAAGCAGTTTTCTGCTTGTGTCCTTTTAGGATTGTGGTATTCACTGACTGACTGATGGGCACCAGGGCATTGGCTCAGTGGATAGAGTGTCGGCCCTTTGATTGAAAGGTTGGAAGTTTGATTCCAGTCAAGGGCACATACCTCAGCTGCAGGCTCCCTGGCCATGGTCCCTGATTGGGGTGTGTACAGGAGGCAACCAATCAATGGGTCTCTCTCACATCAATGTTTCTCTCTGTCTCTCCTCCCTTCCATTCTTAAGAAAATCAATGGAAAAATATCCCTGACTGAGGATTAATAAAAAAAAAAAAAAAAAAAAAAAAACCCACAAAATCAAAGCAGTTGATTCTAGATCAGCGATGGCTCGTTTAACTTATTGCTGGAGCTAAAGTATTACTGAAGCCTCAATGTCATCTCTAGGAAGGAAAGGTAGGGAGCGGGTGACTAGGGAGGAAAAGTCCCCCAGAACGAGGTCCCACCCTACAATTGATTGTCCTTTGCCAGGCACCTCTGGCTTTCCACCCTGGTGACCTTCTGTACCTGGCCCATCGTCCTAACTCTGCTTATGTCTAACTGCCTATCACAGAAGTATATATTTTAGGCAATTCAAAATCATTACTGTTAACGTAAAAAACAAACAAAAACTAAAACCTATAAGGAATTTTTCTGAGTTTATTTGAGCCAAACTGTCCACATATGCTGGGAAGCAGAACCTCAATGAATTGAGATAATGCTCCAGAGAATGGAGGGTTACATCTGTATTTATACACTGCCATCAAAGGAAAGGGATATAGTTGGGTTACATGAAATCCATAGAGAGGATGGAGAAAGCAAAGTAGGCAAACCCTTGGGATTGGATAAGAAAAAGCTAGACACGTACGAGTGCAGAGACAATTTACATAACAATGAAGGAATTTGTGGTATCTGTCCTGAAGTCCAGGTTGTGCCCCAGAAAAAGGGAAGTTACAAGTTACTCAGGCATTGCAAGGGTGTGTTATCAAAGTTGCAAAAAAGAGCCGAAACTGGTTTCGCTCAGTGGTAGAGCGTTGGTCTGCGGACTGAAAGGTCCCAGGTTCTATTCCGGGCATGTACCTTGGTTGCGGGCACATCCCCGGTAGGGGGTGTGCAAGAGGCGACTGGTCAATGTTACTCTCTCATCGACATTTCTAGCTCTCTATCTCTCTCCCTTCCTCTCCGTAAAAAATCAATAAAATATATATATAAAAAAAAAGATGCAAAAAGACAGATAGGCTCAGTTAAGGTCAAGGTTGACCTTGTCTGGGAAGATACCGGCTGAGGACGTGATGCTTTTGGTTAAACTTTAATTTCAGACCACCCTATGTGGTTACTTTAGGGTCTCTGAGTTTGCAGGCCTTCCCTGAGCTTGCCAGGTTAGCAAGTGGCACCTTTCGTCCACATTACATTTTTGTAATGATTTGTAAAATTATAAGCCCTTTCACCAATCACAATTCCACTGATTCTTCCAATTGTTATTTTTTACATAATTTAACAATATGATTACTCTACTCTAAATATTACTTCAAATATGCCTTTCCACTTAATCTGGACATTTTATACAGTATTTCTCAACTAGATTGCCTGCATATTATTTTGTTAGGCAGCTGTGCCTGCTTAGTCTTTCCCTCATTTTTGTATGTTTTTCCATTTCTTTTTGTTATAAAGATACTGAAACCTTTCCCCCTTGTTTTGAATGCCTCAAAGACACTAGAATAGGAATTTTTTTGAGAGATTATGTAAACATTTTTCCTATTATTTCAAATTACTATATTGCTATCTCTAAAGCAACCAATAGTGCTCCCAAAGGAAATCATCTGTCTGCAATCTCATTAATACTGTTTTTATGAAACAGTACCTCCTGGCTGCTTTAATTTTCCAAATGTTTAATCACCAGCAAGGGTGAACATGTTCATTTCAAATGTTGCGGTTTCCTCCTATTCGTTGTGTTCTTGGTGTTCTCTGACCATCTCCAGGGATTTAAAAGCGATATAAATAAATACTGCACTTGCTTCCTTCTAATCTAATGTCACTCTCAGCTCAGAAGTGAGATCTTTTCTAATTATAGGATGATATTCCGACAGTAGATTGTACCTACCAAATGCAGATAACTTTCTGTTCATTCAAGGCGTGCATTCAGCCTCCACTGTTTACCAGATCCTGAGCTATATGGGAAGACTCCCAAGAACAATATAGACATGTCTCCTACTCATGGCCTTAGAGGTTAGTTTTAGAACACTATAGTTCAAGCATCACGAATATTCTTTGCACTTTATTAGGGATTCTACGGTACAACAGCAATTTTGTATCGTCACACAGGGAATACGTTAGTCCTGCAACCGAGCACCTGAATGTGGGCATGTACCTTCTCCTTGGCTGCCCTTCACGCCCTTTGGCTGGAAAACTAGTCCACTCCAGTTTCCGGTTGGGCTACAAACCTGAAATGAAATGAAATCTGACACACACACACACACACACACACACACACACACACACACACGAAAAAAAGAAGAAAAAAAAAAAAAAAAGGGAGCGGCGCGGGCCCGCGGGGCACCCTCGGGCGGTGCCTGCCCCTCGGGGCGCGGCCCAAACCCCGCCCTGGGCCTGAGGCTCCGGCGCCCGTCGGTCCTCCCGCTTTTCGGCCTCTGGTCACTCCCCTCAGCCCACCTTCCCCGGACCACGCCGCGGTCAGCCCGGCTCCCGCCGCCGGACCAGGCCTCCCCCTTAGGGCGCGCCCTTCCTCTCGCCGGGCCCGTCCCGCCGGGAGACCCCTCGGACCCCGCCGCCTTCCGCTCCTCTCAGCGCCTTCCCTCTCGCGGCGCCGGCTCCGCTCGGCTCCCCGCCCCGTCTCCCCAACCCGCTTCGGACCACCCTCTCCCCGGCCCGGGGGAAGGGGGCGGAGCGCGGGCTCCGCGCCGGCCCGGGTGCGAGGGGCGGAGCGGCGCGGCTGCGGAGCCCGTTTACGACAACGTGCGGCGGCGGCGTGGCTGACGGCAGCGCCGCGCCGCTCTCGGGGAGGTCACTCCGGAGACGGCGTAGGGCTGGGGGCGTTAGGGTCGGTGGGACGATGTGGCGCGTCTGTGCGCGGCGGGCGCGGGATGCGGCTCCCGGGGCGGGGCTCGCGGCTCGGTGGGCCGCCCTGCGGGAGGGGCCGGGGGCCCCGATCGTCGCCCCGCGGGGCGGCCCGGGCCCGGCCCCGGCTCGGTGCCGCAGCGCGACCCCCGGGTCCGGCGGTGTCCGCTCCGTCTGCGGCTGGCGCTCCGGCCCGTGGACCGCGCCGCGGGGCCGCTTCCTGCAGGCGCTGTTGGGGCCGCCGGGCCGCCGCTGTTACAGCCTACCCCCGCACCAGAAGGTGAGCCCCAGACCCGCCTGCCCTTCGCGGGACCCCGGTGTCCTTCAGGGTCGGCTTCTTGGCCCGCGAGTCTCCCTCAGAGGCCTCACCCTCTCCCGGTGTCTGCCCTGCACCGGCCCGGTACCCAGCTCTGCAGCCTCCGCACCCGATCCGTCCCATTGAGAGGAGGGCGCCCAGCCCGGGGCTCTGGGTGGGAGTCTGCGGAGGTGGGAGTCGGACCCGCGGGGCTGGCAGCAGGAAGCTCGCCCCGGAGAGGATCTGGCGGCAGGAACTCGCCTGACATCCCCAAGTCCCCGGTGCCCAGCGGGTGACGGGACTCAAGCAAAGAGCATGAAATTGAATGGCATGAAACGTGAAACCAGACTGAGGGTTTGGTAGCCCGTTTAAATGTTAGTGTTTCTCCCTTTTCTCCTCCAGCTTGCGTTGCCTTCTCTTTCCCCCACCATGCAAGCAGGCACCATAGCCCGTTGGGAGAAAAAGGAAGGGGACAAGATCAAGGAGGGCGAACTCATTGCAGAGGTAAGTTGTTTTAAAAATACGGAAATAAGTTAAAAGGGGACTGAGGTAGCTAAACTGCGCATTAGATTCCTGGGTGGGTAGTGAGTTACTCCTTTTGCTTAAGAAACTTGGATGTTTATTTCCACTTGATGTTAGAGAAGCTTGGTTACGTTGTCAGCGGCTAGCAGAAATGAGCTTTTAGCTAGGTTTTAAAAAAAATAATCCCTTTTCCAGCTCTGTGGTAGAGGTTATATCTTCGCATAAACTGTAAAATCCTAAACACAAGCTAATAATCTTCGTACTTGGCAGCACAAGCCTAAGGTCCTACTTTTGTGTTAAAAGATTGAAACTGATAAAGCCACTGTGGGATTTGAGAGCATGGAGGAGTGTTACATGGCAAAGATTCTTGTTGCTGAAGGCACCAGAGATGTTCCAATTGGATCGGTCATCTGTATCACGGTTGAAAAGTGAGTAGTGCCCTGGTAATTTTGGGGCCTTAGGTGATTAGTGGGCTATTTTAACTCAGAATTGAGGAATTGGGAGTTAAAAGGCTCCTAAGACTCCTTTAGGAGCTAAATCAGCTTATAACCCCCCCTTGTACTTATGAATTCTTTCTCTTCCTTAGACCTGAGGATGTTGAGGCCTTTAAAAGTTATACATTGGACTCGGCAGCACCCGCCCCACAAGCAGCCCCAGCACCGTCCCCTGCTGTCGCTTCTGCGCCACCTACACCTTCTGCTCCACCTACACCTGCTGCTCAGGCTCCTGGTAGCTCGTATCCCACTCACATGCAGGTGATGCTCAGCCTCTGGGTGTTAATTCTAGAGAGTTTATTATCTATTCATTAGTTTGCATAGATGGCTGTCACATTCTGGAAACTGGCATTAAATATGGCTACCTCTTGTCCTGAAAGCAAATAGAAATTTAAACATGAAAATTGGTAACTTTTATTCCTAGTTCTTATTTCCAGGTGTGTTATCCTCAGCCACAATGCAATAGCAAGGTAATACTTGGCATTTTTCATTCACGACATCATGTTCTATTTTGAGGAAGATTTGTACTTATATGTATCTACTCCCTGTATAGAAGTTTTTAGTAGGCCTCAAGTACTGTCTGTTGAATGAAAGTCCTCAGTTGGTGTTTTCCTTTGCAGTGTGGTGTTTTGTTTTTTAAGAGAGGGTGAAGTAGTCCAGTAGTATTAATAAATGAGAGGATTAACAATAAAGAAATAAGTGTAGAATAGACATAAGTCATATCGTTGAAACAAAGCTGGAGGCAACAATCACTCTTGATTCTCTTAACTAAACCAGTTTATTAAATATTAGTGTAATCCCAGGATATTTGTGTGTTTCTGATACTACAAATGGTTAAAAACCAACTGCCTGTGTAAAGGATTAAGGTTAGGACTTTTCCTTCACTTAGTTTTTTTTTTTTTAGAAATTTCTATACAAGAGACTCTTTTGTGTGAACATAATGATCTACTCCATGATCTATAACAGTCACTCATGATGAAGTTTTGCCTGGTATTTATTTCACATATTTATTTCATCTTGTTCAGTAAATTCTGTCTCATTACATAACCCTGACTTCATTTCTCTCCATTTTATATCTGTGGCTTTATATACAAGGGTTAGGGTTATGTCTTAATTACAATATCCTAATTTTTGTTGTTGTTAATCCTCACCTGAGGATGAAGGGAGAGATAGAGAGGGAGAGATGATTGGTTGCCTCTCGCATGAGCCCCAACCAGGACCTGCGATCAGGCCTGCAATTGAGGTACATGCCCTTGACTGGAATTGAACCTGGGACCCTTAAGACCAGGGGCCAGTGCTCTATCCACTCAGCCAAAACAGCTAGAGCCCATATCCTAATTCTTTTTTAGTGAGAGTTTTTTTTTTTAAATATATATTTTATTGATTTTATACAGAGAGGAAGGGAGAGAGAGAGTTAGAAACATCGATGAGTCATCGATCAGCTGCCTCTTGCACACCCCTACCGGGGATATGCCCGCAACCAAGATACATGCCCTTGACCGGAATCGAACCCGGGACCTTTCAGTCCCCAAGCCGACGCTCTATCCATTGAGCCAAACCGGTTTTGGCTTATTGAGAGTTTTAATTAAAATTATTGGGATAGTATTAAAATTATTGGTTTAATAAGATTAGATAAATTTCAGGTGTACAACCTTATACTTCAATACATTTACTTTGTTACATGCTAACCATATGATCTTCTTCTGTCACCTTGTATTTGATCCCCTTTATCTTCCTGCTAACCCCCTTTCCTTCTGGTAACTGCCATTCTGTCGTATCTGTAAGTTTGTTTTTGTTTGTTGCTTTTTAAAAAAATATATTTTATTAATTTTTTATAGAGAGGAAGAGAGAGGGATAGAGAGTTAGAAACATCAATGAGAGAGAATCATCAATCAGCTGCCTCTTGCACACCCCCTACCGGGGATGTCCCCGCAACCAAGGTACATGCCCTTGACCAGAATCGAACCTGGGACCTTTCAGTCCGCAAGCCAACGCTCTATCCACTGAGTCTGTTTGTTGCTTTTTGTTTTATATCCCACATAAGTGAAATCATACAGTTCTTTTTCTGTCTCACTTATTTAGCACAATATTCCCAAGATCTATTCATGTTATCGCAATGGCAGTGTTTTGTTTTTTCATGGCTAAGTAGTATTGCGTTCTCTGTGTGTGTGTTTGTATGTGTGTATGGTCCTTCAAAAATGTATGAAAACACTTTAAATAATTTTAAAGATAGTGTCTATTAAAAATACATTTCATTTTCTTTTCTTTTTTTTTATATATATATTTTATTGATTTTTTTACAGAGAGGAAAGGAGAGGGATAGAGAGTTAGAAACAACGATGAGAGAGAGTCATCGATCAGCTGCCTCCTGCACACCCCCCACTGGGGATGTGCCCACAACCAATGTACATGCCCTTGACCGGAATCGAACCTGGGACCTTTCAGTCCGCAGACTGACGCTCTACCCATTGAGCCAAACCGGTTTCGGCAATACATTTCATTTTCAAAATTGAGCTATCAGCTGTTATAGTGTGTATACATTTTGGGGGATGCTCCTCTTTATCTCATCTCCACTAAGAATAAGTAGATGAAGATGGCAAATTCAGAACGAAAAAAACATTTAAAATTTCTTTCTAATCAGAATTCTAAGTTTTGTTTTACTTTTTTCCTTGCCTTCGTGAAACATCAATTGAAATGATTTTTCTCAAACACTACAAAGTCACCAAACAAAACCCATAATCAAGTAAGCATCCAAATTCAGTGGACACACAAGCCCTATAAATAGGAAGACAATTTTTAATTTAGATTAGCCAATCTACTGTTTAGATTTTATTGGGTTGGAAGTGACTTGTAAAGAAAAGTTCTTCTTTTTTTAATCCTTTTATATTTTGTTTTGTTTTCTCACCTGAGGACTGAGGATACTTTTCCCATTGATTTTCAGAGAATGGAAGGGAGTGGGGAGAAGGGAGAGAGACACGTATATCAATTGGTTGCCTCCCACAGATGCTCCAAATAGGGGCAGGGATGGAACCTGCAACCTAGGTATGTGCCCTTGACTGGGGACCCTCTGGTGTGCAAACTAATGCTCTAACCACTTAGCATGCTAGCCAGGACTGTTTTGTGTTTTTGTTTGTTTTTAATATATTTTTATTGATTTCAGCGAGGAAGGGTGGGGAGAGAGAGAGGGAGGGAGGGAGGGAGGGAGGGAGGGAGACCTCAATGAAGAGAGAAAATCATTGACCAACTGCCTCCTGCACACCCCACACTGGGGATTGAGCCCCCAATCCAGGTATGTGCCCTGACCAAGAATCAAACTATGACCTCGTTCATAGATCCATACTCAACCACTGAGCCAAGTTGGCCCAGTTGTTGTTGTGTTGGTTTTTAAAAAAAAATATTTTTATTGCCGAAACAGGTTTGGCTCAGTTGATAGAGCGTTGGCCTGTGGACTGAAAGGTCCCAGGTTCGATTCTGGTCAAGGGCGTGTATCTTGGTTGCTGGCATATCCTAGTAAGGGGTGTGCAAGAGGCAGCTGATCAGTGTTTCCCTCTCATCGATGTTTCTAACTCTCTGTCCCTCTCTCTTCCTCTCTGTAAAAAAAAATCAATAAAATATATATATAGATTTCAGAGAGGAAGGGAGGGGGAGAGAAAGAAGCATCAGTCGGCAGGACAATACTCTATCCATTGAGCAAAACTGGCCAAGGCTTAATTGATTTTTAGAGAGAGCAGAGAGGGGAAGGAGAGAGAAACATTGATCAGTTGCCTCCTATATATGCCCTGACAGGGACTCAAACCCAAAACCTTTTGGGGTACAGGATCACGTTCCAACCAACTGAGTCACCTGGCCAGGGCAAGAGCAGGTCTTAATATTAGTTGTTTTTTATCTTGGAAAGATGTCTGGGAAGTTTGGGAGAAATGCAGTTTTCTCTGAGTGAAAAATACAAAATTTTAATGTAATGGCCTGAACCAAGATCATTCTGTGAAAATGAAAAATTCTACCTTAATCTAAGTGTTAAAAAAGTTAAAAAGAGGATCTTTGTTTAGATATTGAGGACTTAATTTTGACTCTAGAAATCTTTCCCATCTGCTCATTGCTTTGAACTTTGGAGGGTGGGCCAGAGTATTATTGATAAAGCTTAAGAGTTGAAGGATTATTTTAACTGGCGGGACACTTTTGAACACTAAGCTTTCGCTGTTTGCGGGTATCCAGCAGATGGGAGTCTGGATTGTCATAGTCACTATCATTGTAAAACTGAGCTTGCCTGAATGCCATTGTGTCCAAGGCTTTCTAGTATTCGCAGTAATTGTTTGTTTCTACAGGTGCTGCTTCCTGCCCTCTCTCCCACCATGACCATGGGGACAGTTCAGAGATGGGAAAAAAAAGTGGGTGAGAAGCTAAGTGAAGGAGACTTATTGGCAGAGATAGAGACTGACAAGGCCACTATAGGTGAGATTTCTTCAACTGTTAATGGTTGAGACACTGAGTTTTCCAATGAGGGAAGAGGTTTGCCATCCTGTCCTATAATGAGTGAGTGATAACATGAAACATTTTAATTGTTGGGATTCATTTCCTGGAACAGGATATTTCATAACAGAAGTATATATTGTCAGATTTGTCAGTTTCAGACTGCACTTATATTGAATCAGGGATATGTCAAGTTGGATATATATATATTTTTTTATTAAAAAAATTTTTTTTAATGTATTTTATTGATTTTTTCACAGAGAGGAAGGGAGAGAGAAAGAGTTAGAAACATCGATGAGAGAGAAACACTGATCAGCTGCCTGCTACACACACCCCCACTGGGGATGTGCCCCCAACCAAGGTACATGCCCTTGACCAGAATCGAACCTGGGACCCTTCAGTTCGCAGGCTGATGCTCTATCCACTGAGCCAAACCAGTTTCGGCTTGGAGATTATTTTTAGGCCACAGTTTGCTTTTTAGCCTTATTTATGTTACTGAGAAGATACATCAGAACTGTGTTATCTAAAGTGGGCAAAGGGAACATAACTTCCAAGGCAGGAAATAGCAAAGGATGTAAGATGACTTTGAGGGAAAACTGAAACCAGGGTTTAGATTGTCCTCATAGTTTGAGAATGACTGGTAGAATGTATATACACCTGTTCAGGTATCATATTTTTATATGTTTTTCCTATTTTTATGCTCAGCAAAACTCATATAACCATATATTTATAATAATACTTATAGATAATTTGTAGATAAGTATATTTCTCTCCTGTCCCTAAAGATGCAGTTGGAGATCCTGGGCGTGCTTTGCAGTGGTGGTTTTCAGATTGTGTTCTGAAATCATGAAATCATTAGTCTTAAACCCCATGTTTCCTTGATGGCATCGTGGGGCAAAGGGGGACTTAACCAGCAGCAAGCACTCTACTGTGCCCTACTCCCCTCCCTCACCAGGGCAACTCCTTATCTTTTTGTATATTGTGTTTCCACCATAGATTTTATCAGGGGGATGGATTGTTTGTGATAGAGAGAGAACCAAACAAAAAACATTGGTAACAATAGATCTGCAGTATCTGCTTTGAATGCCAATGTTACTGTAGAGTCTGATATTCTAGAGACTAATCACTAGAGAAGTATATACCTTGGTTAACGTTTTTAAAAATATTTTTTTAATTGATTTCAGAGAGGAAGGGAGAGGGACAGAGAGAATGATGAGACAAAATCATGCCTCCAAGTGGAGATCAAGCCCAAAACCCGGGCATGTGCCCTTAATTTTAACTGGAATCAAATCTCGCACCCTTCAGTCCGCAGACCGACGCTTTATCCACTGAGCCAAACTGGCTAGGGCATGCTTGGTTAACTCTTTTTAAACTATTGTGGTCTTGGAGTCCTCTCTTTTTCTTTTTTTCAAATTTTATTGATTTCAGAGAGGAATGGAGAGGGAGAGAGTGATAGAAACATCAATGATGAGAGAGAATCATGGATCGGCTCTCTCCTGCATGCCCTCCACTGGGGATCGAGCTCACAACTTGGGCATGTGCCCTTGACTGGAATCAAACCCGGGACCTTTCAGTCAGCAGATTGGTGCTCTATCCATTGAGCCAAATCAGCTAGGGCCTTTATTATTATTATTTTTTTTTTATAAGAAAAGCAGCAGCTGAATAAAATGTCAGTTGCTGACACCATAAAAAACCTAATAATACTGTATTTCTTAATATTTGGTAATACCAAATATAAAGTCTTTGAAAAACTCCAAAGGTGCTTTTAGTAGCTCCCTTTGTTTAAGATCCATGTGGTTCTGATCTATACCAGTATGCTAATGCCATCTTAGAGTCCGTTTGTCTGCCTAGGGCCTGCCCTTGGAGAAGTTTTTAGGAAAATGTTTAGTACTAACTACTGTCTATAATCTCTCATAGTTATTTAATAGATACTAAATAAAGTGTTTACTTTGTACCAGATACTGTTTCTAAGTACTTGAAAATTTTAACTCATTTAATTAAATTAAATTAAATATTAACTCATTTAATTTTCATAGTATCCTATGAAGTAGATAATAATATCTCCATTTTGCAGGTAAAGAAGCTGAAACACCCAAGTTAAATAGCTTGCAAAGGGTTATATAGTTTGAAGGAGAAGAACCTTTTACTTAAAACTGTACTGTGAATTTGGAGGAGTAGTGGAATCCTTTAAGTTCCATAATAGTATTTCTTTCTGTTTAAGGTTTTGAAGTACAAGAAGAAGGTTACCTGGCAAAAATTCTGGTCCCAGAAGGCACAAGAGATGTTCCTTTAGGAACACCACTCTGTATCATTGTAGAAAAAGAGGCAGATATAGCAGCATTTGCTGACTATAGGCCAACTGGAGTACCTGATTTAAAGCCACAAGCACCACCACCTTCCCCTCCCTCGGTAGGTATGCTTCCAGAATGGAGGAAATACTTATTTAGCCCTTTCTAAATTTAGGGATTAGATTAGATGATATAGGTTCCTTCTAACTCTAAGAGTTTATGAATGAGAAAGGAAATGGTTAACATTTGTGGAGATCTACAAGTGGTGTGGCACTGCACCATTCACCTAATAGCCAATAATTTGATCCAGGTAGCTTTCCTTTTGTTCATGCTGTCTTGAGTCATGCTGAGAACAAAGCTGAGATGACAGGTTCCTTTTCTGCTTTAGATGTTGATGTGCATATGGAAGGTAATGCTTTGATCTCCATTTTCTATAGAATTTACTATGTAATCTTTATCACTGTCAGCCCTCTTGGTGGTTGCATGTTATAGTGGGTCAAGCTTATATTTATAATACATTGGAATCTTGATATAACATGACTTACTTTGCATAGAATTTAGTCTGGTGGTATATACTCTACATTGTATGCTATATACCTGTAACATGAGTTTGAACTCTAAGCATTGATAACACTGTCAGCAGGCTTCTGCAGATGCCAGAAGCATGATGATGTAGACTAGGTACACATTTATGTCAGAGAAAATTTGATTTCTTACTGCCATACATTCATGGGGAGCTGGCAGTAGTATTGTTTTATTTCTTAAGGTACTTTCAACATGAGACCTTCCAGCATAATTTATTATTTTGAAATTAGGTTTAGTGAAAACGAAAATCATGTTGATGATGTAAGAAAATGAAAATAAAGAAGTGGCAAGAGAGTAAATCTATAAGGATATAAGGAGAGAAAATCTATAAGGATATATATATATATTGGTCAGCGGTATTAAATTCCATGCTTCTATGTTATCATGGAGTAAGATGACTTTGTTCTGTCTTTGACATCAAGTATTATTCATATCCTATATTAAGTTTGCTATTATTCATATCCTTTATTAAGTTAAGTAGGGAAACTTACGATCTTTGGGGGGAAAATGAAAGTTATTCAATTAAAATATCTTTGACTTATAAAATGTAAGCTGTTGATCTTTCCGACCAATCTTTGCAGTGGTGAATTAACAATTTGTAACTTTTTTAAAAAGGTGACCCCTGTTCCTCCAACTCCCCAACCTGTAGCCTCCACACCATCAGCCCCCCGCCCGGCTGCTCCTGCTGGACCGAAGGGAAGGGTGTTTGTCAGCCCTCTTGCAAAGAAATTGGCAGCAGAGAAGGGGATTGACCTTACACAAGTGAAAGGTGAGTCTGTTTCTATGGAATGGAGTTGTAAGGCTAAAATTTGGTTGTGTTTCTTCCTTAAGACCAGTAAGTAGTACTATGTGTAGTCATTTTTTTCTGGGAGGGTGGGGAGAAGGGTGAGGGAGGGAAATAACTCCTTTCTGCTACCGCCGATTTGGGAAACTTCATTGTGCTTTATTTAGTCTCAGATCTACCTATATAATATAGATAGCTTTTTTTTTTTAATATATTTTTTAATTAAATTATTATTTTTGTACATATACCAATGCCCCCCCCTCCCATATATACTCTCCCTCCCCAGAGTTTTGTGTCCATTAGTTGTACTTATATGCATGTATACAAATCCTTCGGTTGATCTCTTATCTCCCCCAGATAGCTTTTTATTCATTATCTATTCATGGGAACTGCTTAATTGTTGGTAAAACTAGAATGTGCTTACTCAGCAAAGTTGGTTTATAGGACTTGATTATATAATAAGAATTAGTTCTAGGCTGACTAAATATAGCAATACACAAGCACAACATGAAGTTTGGGTGACTAGAAATGACTTAAAAACTGAAGTAATGCTCCCAGAGGGCAAAGAAAATGTTTACTCATCTTTTTCTCCCCAAAGAAAAAGTATAGCTTGGTGATAAGAGCATGGGGTCTTGAATCACTCCATCTAGGATTTAATTCTGGCTTTATCATTTTCTGTGTAATATTTTCTTTGGTGAATTAAAGTATATATGTCTTTAAAGGGATTACTTACTTCATCTGTTTTTGCATCTGTAAAACTGATATAATTGTGTGCATTAAAATAGGTGAAGTGCTTAGAATAGTATCTAGAATATATAAATAGTCAAAACATACTTGTTTTGTTCATATTGTTATTATTGCCTAGCATTTAAATAAATGTTTTTAAACTAAAATTAAGCTAAAGTTTAATGTAAGGCAATTAAGATTCTTATTGAGATAAAGGGGGAAATTACTATTTGTGGTACCTGGTTTGATGGCTAGTACTTGTACTAGTCATTTTGTACTACATTTATTTTATATAACACTTTTTGAAGTAAGAATTATCATTCCCTTTTTTTTTGGATTAAAAAAATAGACTCTTAAGGGAGCTCCCTTTCTGTTAGATTACAATTTGAATCAAGATTTGTTTAATTCTAAAGCTTGTATTACCACTATTCTTAGGTTCTGCCTTCCTTAATTACTCAAGAAAATAATAACTGGTTATTTTCCCAGTTGTCCAGCTATGGGCACTCAGTGCTGGTTATCATCTTCGCATTCAGTTGTTTTGTGGTTAGAAGACAAGCCAGTCTCCAAAGATACAAGCATAAGATACTGTAAATTTTTGTAATATTGAATTCTTGTAATATTGTAAGACCTGTTTTCCCATCTTTATATATATAACTAGTATATTGTCATTCTTTATATGTTATTAGAACTAGGGACAATATAAGTTGGAATAAATTAAAAAAATATATATATTTTATTGATTTTGTACAGAGAGGAAGTAAGAGAGATAGAGAGTTAGAAACATCGATGAGAGAGAGTCATCGATCAGCTGCCTCTTGCACACCCCCTACTGGGGATATGCCCACAACTAAGGTACATGCCCTTGACCGGAATTGAACCCGGGTCCCTTCAGTCCCCAAGCTGACGCTCTATCCATTGAGCCCAACCGGTCTTGGCAGTTGGAATAAATTTTAAGACTGGGTTAATAAGTATATCTGAAGAATTTAGACAAGTAAGATGATTCATTTATTATTTAAACAAATATTCCTTGAGTATTGCCTGTACATCCAACATTTGCTCATAAGACAGACAGGATTTCTGTGTCAGATGGTTATATTATCAACAATAAATAATTAAATGAACAGAAAGGGAATATGGCATAGTAGTTAAGAGTGTAGATTCTGGAGCTGTAATGCTTGGGGTTGAACCCCAACTCTGCCATACATTATCTGTATGACCTTTTGTGTCTTTGTTTCTTCATTTGTATCTGAAAATAATAATTAAATAAATAAGTTAAACACTATCTATACATAGGTATTAGCTATAATAACAATAACATGATTATTAAATAAGATGATTTATATGCTAACAAAGAAACCAGATGATATATGAGTGAGTAACAGGGTCAATATATGTGCGGTTATAATTTCTTTTAGATAAAAAGCAATCATAACTGCACATATATTGCAGTGGTTGGGAAAGATCTTTCAAATGTGACATTAGATCTGCCATGGAAGATGAGTCAGCTATGAGTCAACTATGTGGAAACTGGGGAAGAAGCATTTTGGGCAGAGAGATCAGTTTGAAAGTGGAAAAGATCTTAGCATATTTGAGAGTTTAAAAGTGGCCTGTATTAATGGAGCATAGTGTCTTTGCTGTGTGTATCTCCACATCCTCCCACCCCCCAAACACACATAACAAAGAAAAGGTCTAATGATAGATGAGGTTGGAAGAAACATGAGTGAGAACATAAAGGACTTTATAACTTACTAGAGGCCTGGTGCATGAAATTTGTGCATGGGAGTGGGTCCCCCTCAGCCCAGCCTGCACCCTCTAATCCGGGACCCCTCTGACATCCCTCTCACAATCTGGGACTGCTGGCTCCTAACTGCTCACCTGCCTGCCTGCCTAATCGCCCCTCACTGTCTCCACTGTCAGTCTGATCACCCCTAACCACCTCTGCCTGATCACCCCTAACTGCCCCTCCTGCTGGCCTGGTTGCCCCCAATTGCATGCACCCCCACCCTCTCAGCCTGGTCACCCCCAACTGCCTCCCCCCCTGGACTGATCGCCTCTTACTGCCCCCCCCCCCCATCTCCTCCGCCAGTCTAGTTGCCCCATGCTGTTTGGTCGTTACTATGACAGCATCCCAGGCAATTTACATATTCCTCTACTAGTACAGATGATAGAATTCGAATTTTATTTTAAAGTACAGTAGAAAGTCACTGAAAGATTAAAACAAAGAACTTACATTTTTAAAGGATCATTTTGGCTACTCTTTAATAATGGATTAAATGAAATGGATTAAAAGAGTAATTAAGAAATGTTGTTTCTGGAATTGATGGTGGTGGCTTAGCCCAGGGCTGGGGAACATCTGGTCCTCCGGCTGTATAAGGCCCACAAAAATCACTTGGTCTGGGCATTCGGGGTGAGTTATTTAAATGTTTGACCAAATACAGTGGGGTAATTTTTAAGTTTATAATTTTGTGTGGCCCTTGTCAGAAATAAGGTTCCCCACCCCTGGCTTAGACTATGGTGGTGATAGTGGAAGTGGAAAGGATATATTTTTTGACATAGAATGAACAGAACTTAGTTAGAGATTGGGTATGGGCACTCAACAGCAGTAATTTCAAAAGAAATATGTGGTGGAAGCCAGTTTAGATAGGTTGAAAAGTATCTCTTACATTCTGAGAGAGTAAGAGGTGTTGGGATTGTAGGTTTGGTGGTGGAGGATGGGTAGAATACCTTTCTGGTTGCTGCTATTTGAAGTGAGGATATCAGCTGGAGAATGAGTGTGGCTAGGTTTGAGGTTAGGTTGTGTAGTATTCTCAGAGATTGGGAAAGTGAGTTCAAGGAATATGGGAACCCCTTTCACATCCCGCATGGTTCAGGGTTCTGGTTCAGGGTTCAGGGTTCGGGTTCTGGAGAAGGGCCACACGCAAATTAAAGAGAGACTAGAAGAAATTAAATTTGGCGATGTGGGGGGCCAGGCGGGAGGCCACCTTTAGTGGGAGGACTGCCACTAGGCTCTGGCCTTGCTATCTCTTTTATTGAGACTATGAGATACACCCATTACCCTTAAGCAGGTTTGGGATACACCCATAGCTCTTAGGCAGGTAATAAGCAGATTATCATATCAGTAAGGATTTACATGATTATTTGAAGGGGAAGTTTCCTCAGTTACTTTGTCTCAATTAGATTTGGCTCTGACCTTCAGAGCTTCAAGGTTGACCAGCCTTTTACATCTTTCTATTAGTGAGACAATGATCGGTTTCCGTCAAAGGAACACATAATTTCAATGTATAATAGTTTTGTGTGTCTATTTTGGGTTTGTGGTATAGTCAGTCAGCTAAGTATGTATCACCCCCCCACCCCCACCCCACCCACACACACACACACAGCATTAGCAACTTTAGTGCTGGCATTGAGAAGGCTGACATTTTGGAGTTTGATCAGGAAGTGATTATAACAGCGAGCCATAGAATGTAAGTTGGGTAAGGAGGAACTGAAGACAAGAGGAAATAAAGGTCTTGATGAGGTCAAATAAATTTTACAGTAGTGGAAGGGAGTGATTTAGAATAAGTGAGCTGAGAGGATCATTGATTGTGTGGTGTTTTCTGACATCATATGTGTTTTTTTCCACACTAACAATCAGTTCTACAACACCAACTCAGTTTCCAATAATTCAATCCTATCATGACACTAACTATCCAGAGTAAGTGTCAGACTCCACAGGATTAAGGGCTCAGTCCCATGAGATACTCCTACTTCAGATGCCAGTTGCAAGTCCAGGGACCACCACATTCCTGACCTACATGGCTATAAATCGGGAGTTCTTTTAAAAAAATATATATATTTTATTGATTTTTTTACAGAGAGGAAGGGCGAGGGATAGAGAGCTAGAAACATCAATGAGAGAGAAACATCGATCAGCTGCCTCCTGCACACCCCCCACTGAGATGTACTCGAAACCAATGTACATGCCCTTGACTGGAATCAAACCTGGAACCTTTCAGTCCACAGACCGACGCTCTATCCACTGAGCCAAACCGGTTTTGGCAAATCGGGTGTTCTTAACACCACTCTCCCCTGGTGCAATAATGTACTAGAATTATTCACTGAACTCAGGAAAGCACTTTACTTACTGTTACCATTTTATTATAAAGGATGCGACTCAGAAACAGTCAAATAGGAGAGATATATAGGACCAAGTGTGGGGTGGGGTGAGTTGCAGAGCTTCCATGCCCTCTCTGGGAATACCACCCTCCCAGCAATAAGTTGGGATGTATTCACCAATTTAGAAAATCACCAGGTCTCATTATTCAAGAATATTGTTTTAATTTTTATTTATTGGAGAGACATCGATTTGTTGTTCCACCTATTTTTTGCATTCTTTGGTTGTTTCTTGTATGTGCCCTGACTGAGGATCAAACCTAAAACCTTGGCATATGGGACCATGTTCTAACCAACTGAGGTACCCACCCAGGGCTCGGGGGTCTTAGTAAGAAGGCGTGGTTGATTAAATCATTGGCCATCGGTTATTGGGCTCAATCTCTCTGGAAGGACAGATTACTTAGCAAATTTGGCCAAAATGTAATTATTTGGGGAGAAACTTTTAAATCTTAAACCCTGATGTTCAAAGTTTGATTTGTCTCAAAGCTAGCCATATTGTTTTTTGTTGTTGTTGTTGTTTTTAATGCAAAGCACTTTCACATCACTATCCCACTTGAAAAAAAGTTTTTTTTTTTTCAATTGCTGTTGACATACAATATTAGTTTTTGGTATTCAACATAGTGGTTAGACATTTATATACCTTACAAAGTGATCATCCTGGAAAGTCTAATACCCATCTGACATCATACATAGTTATTACAATACTAGTGATCCGGTGCATGAAATTCATGCACATTAAAAGGGGATTAATTAGAGGAAATAATTTAATATTGCTACTTGCCCTTTCTCTATAATAGAGTGTCAGAGGTGAAAGAAAATTAGTAAAATGTATATGAAAACCTTTCTCCTGTCAGAATCTGTGGCTCACCACAGGACCCAGAGTCCAGTCCCCGCCCACCCACATGCACCTTAAAATGGCATGAGACCCAGACCCTGCCACACGGCCTCCGCCCCACCCCTATTGTCAATCCCTGCCTGGCAGGGGGCATGGCCTGAGGTCCCCAGCCCAGACCAAGGCAGGGGGCATGCCTTGAGGTCCTCTGTTAAGCCCTGTCAGGTGAGGGACATGGCAGGAGATTCCCCTGTCGACCCCTGTGGAGTGGGTCCCCCGGCTCAGCACCAGGAGGGGGCACAGCCTCAGGTCCCCCATCAAGCCCTGCTGGGCAGGAGTGTGGCCTGAGTTCCTCCGACCCAGTACTGGGGGTGCACCTTGAGGTCCCCCGTCAAGCCTTGTTGGGTGGGGTCGTGGCCTCAGGTCCCCTGGCTTGGTATTGGGGCGGGGAGAGCAGCCTGAGGTGCCCCAGCCCAGCACCAGGAAGGGAAGTCACCTTGAGGTCCCCTGTCAAGTCCTGCCGGGTGGGGGGCACGGCCTGAGGTCCCCCAGCCTGGCACTGGGGTGGGGGGAGCAGCCCGAGGTCCCCTAGCCCAGCACCAGGACGAGAAGTGCACTTGAAGTCCCTGGTCAAACCCTGCCGGGTTGGGGACATGGCCTGTCAAGTTCCATGGAGCAGGGAAGAGCATAGCCTCATATCCCTTCTGATTGCTCATTAAGGCTCCTTACAGGAATTTGGCTGCAGCCATGTTTGTGATGAAGTGATGGTCAATTAGCATATTCCCTCTTTATTAGATAGGATTATTGACTATATTCCTTATGCTGTACTTTACATAACCAGATATTTTGTCACTATCCATTTTATCCTGTGAGCAGGAACTAGTTATTAGAGTTTCCTACAGATGAGACTAAAGTGACTATAGCTATTTGTTTAGTTTTATTTGACAACAACCATACATTTTTGTCCTAGTCTAGTTTTCTTCCTTTTGCCAGTATTGCTTTATGATGGTCTGTTGCGCCTTCCTGGGGAGATAGGCAGAAGAATTTAACTCCTAAGAGTTAGGTGGCTGAAGGTTAGCATAGACAAGGCAGTCTTACAGCTTTCCTTTTTTTTTTTTTTTTCCAGCTTTCCTTCTTTTGAGGGGTTGCAGTGTCTGATTGGCCTTGGTTTTAAGGGGCGGTTATGGTTTCTGTCTTTAAAAGGAGGGAAATCTAATAGGGGTACTGCTACCTCTGTTCTAGAGCGCCTGGTGAGGATAAACACAATCCTAGCCAACTCAATTTTCATAATGAAGGAAAGGAGTTGGGACGAACTTCATACAACGAGAATCCTTTTAAAAGTCTGCCTTGGGGGAAGATGAATCAATTTGACCAAATTTTTTCTAGAAGTGGGCCATTGTAAAAGGTATTTTAATAACTAAATTCTGAATCTCCTTAGAATTAAGGTTCAGGATTATTTACCATTTGGGTCTGAAGTTAAACCTAAAGAGGTTTGTGGATGGGAGGAGGAAGGAAATTGAAAATAAACTCTAGTAAGAGAACTTTGAAGATGTTTCTTATGTGACATTACACCTGTTTCCTTCAGGGTCTCCAGCACAGGCCAGTGTAGACTTAAACCCTTGGGAAAGTTGTGAAAAATGGAGACCACATAAGGAATGAATGGTTCTATAAATAAGATCATTATGACTTACAGTAATTCGTGGTTTTGGAGTAAAAACATTAACTTGCCTGATATATCTAACACAATTGTTACCATAACTGTAGACTCTGTACAAATGGAGCTCTTTTCTTTTTTTCTTTTTTCTTTTTTTATTGATTTCACAGAGAAAGAGAGAGAGAGAGTGAGAGAGACATCAGTCATTAATTGACTATCTCCTGCACATTCCCTATTGGGGATCTAGCCCACAACCCAGGCATGTGCCCTGACCCGGAATCAAACTCATACTCAACCATTGAGCACATCACCCGGGCTCTTTATGCTCACATGAATCTAGAACCCAAATGAGATCTGTTTAATGGTTCAGAAAGAAGTTGTTTTTTGAGCTAATCAGGAGGAGGCACCTAGACTTCCTTTTGGAGATATAAATTGTACTCAGCATTACTCTTATGCTGGAATTTGAAAGTAAAAGAGATGAAAAAAAGAACAACTTAATTAGATAAAACTTCAGAAGAGGAATACTTGCAATAGTTAAACTTCTGCCCAGCAGGTGTGGCTCAGTGGTTGAGCGTCTACCTATGCACCAGGAGGTCATGGTTTGATTCCTGGTCGGGGCCTGTGCTTTTGTTGCGGGTTTGATCCCCAGTGTGGGGTGTGCAGGAGGTAGCTCATCAGTGATTCTCTCTCATCATTAATATTTCTCTCCCTTTCTCTCCCTTCATCTCTGAAATCAATTATATATATCAATGATGAGAGAGAATCATTAATTGGCTGCCTTCTGCACGCCCCCTACTGGGGATCGAGTCTGCAACACGGACATGTGCCCTTGACCATATTGGAACTTGGGGCCCTTTGGTCCTCGGGCTGATGCTCTATCCACTGAGCAAAACCGGCTAGGACATCATCATTGATATCTCTATCTCTCTCCCCCTCTTCCTTCTCCTTTGAAATAAGTAAAAATATATTTAAAAAAATAATAATAAACCACTGCAGATCAAGCAAGAGCACTCTGTGAATTAAAAGTAATAATCGACAAAAGCTGGTATTTACAGGAACTTGCAAGGTCAGGATTAAGGCTGTGATCCCTTCAGCCTTTGGTAGAGAACCTTAGGAACTTGCACTCAGAATCACAGTATTGGTCTCCTTGAGGAACCAGCAGTAGGCTGTGGTCTGTGGGATTGATATTTAGGTATCTCTTCCAGGGACGGGACCAGAAGGCAGAATCATCAAGAAGGACATCGACTCTTTTGTGCCTACGAAAGCTGCCCCTGTGAGTTACATTGGCTTCCCCCCTCCCCAGTTTGTCCCCTAAAAAGTGCTTTGTCCAGCTTGTTAGACCTTTCATACATTATATGTGAATGAAATAGCTTAACCAGAATTGTGTTTTCTTTTGCCTGATGTCAGGGGCTAGCAATATATGGATATGAATGTGATGTCATTCATCTATAAAAGCAAAAAATGAGACACTACATTGACATATATTCGAAATTTGTTTTTTGGGTTTTTTAATAATGACACTACATTTTTTTCCAGCACATTCTCTTTTTTCCATTCAGGCCCTAATTTTATTTAATTTTTAAAATATATTTTTATTGATTTCAGAGAGGAAGGGAGAAGAGAGATAGAAACATCAATGATGAGATGTTTTCTGCATGCCCCTTACTGGGATTGTGTCTGCAACCCAGGCACATGCCCTACCAGGAATCAAACTGTGAACTCCCAGTTACGGGCTCAATTCCTCAGAGTGGGGCATGCAAGAGGCAGCCAGCCAACGATTCTCTCATCACTGATGTTCTATCTCTCTTCTCCTCTCTCTTCCTCTCTGAAATCAATGAAAATATATTTTAAAAAATTAGTTTGACATAAACTAACCGTTATACTTAGATTACAGAATTCTAAGTATAAAAATTAAAGTCAAAACTCTTAAGCATGTCCAGATCTGAATCCCTTTTACACTTGGGATAGAAATAGCTACTTTTCTATTAGCCTTTTAATTTGTATTTTGTCATCTGTTCCAGAGTCAGTAGTAGTTGTTCCCATTTGCTTATGCTCAGGTCGAGCCACAGTTACTAAGAGCTTTTTACTTCCCCCTAGGCTCCAGCAGCTGCCCCGCCTCCCCCAGCTCCAGGAGTGGCACCAGTACCGACAGGTGTCTTCACAGATATCCCAGTCAGCAACATTCGCCGAGTAAGAGTATTATCATAAATCTGGAACTGAGGCGTGGGAGCATCTTCATTGCATCCATAGTTTGAAACGGACTTTTTTAACTTGGCAATCTTAGATGATTAGTTTAAGAAATATTTGGTTTGGCCAGTTATATGCTTGGGATAAACACTGTCCTGATTAAACAATGTTAGAAGGGGTTAAGGTATGGTATAGTCCAAATCTAAGAATGCTTTTAAGATAAACACTACCAGGAAAAGGGTAAAGATCCTGAATTAGGGAAAGTCTCACCCTCAATTCAAGATAATTGACTTTTGATTCTCTTTGGTTTCAGGTTATTGCACAGCGGTTAATGCAATCTAAGCAAACCATACCTCATTATTACCTTTCTATTGATGTCAATATGGGAGAAGTTTTGTTGGTACGGAAAGAGCTTAATAAGGTAAAAGGTCTGGAAATTCCAACTCTATAAACCACTAAACATTGACATTTTTGCCCATATCTTTTGTAACAGTATCGCAGTTGATGATAGAAAATGGGTGTCATCTTAATTTTAACTTGTAAAATCTGTCTTGGAGAAATTTCATTTTCTTACCCTTGATTAAAGCCTGTCATTTATTTTTTTTTATTTATTTATTTTTTTTTAAATCAATCTTTATTGTTCATATTATTACAAAGGTTCCTCATTTCTTCCCCCCTCCACCAGGTTCCCACCCCACCCTCCGTCCCCCCCCCCCAATCCCCCATTGTCCTCATCCATAGGTGCAGTTTATGTTCAGTCTCTTCTTCCCTCAATTTCCCCAATAGTAAATCCCTTTTCAGATAGTAAATCAGTTACTTAGCATTTTCTCATATCAATAATACCTCCACATGCCCAATGATACACTTCACACAAAAGACATTTCCCACTAGGTCAACCAGCCTCATCCAGGCCCCACCCAAGGCACTCACAGATCAACACCCCAGTCCTAAACTAACTCAACACATCCAGATCTAAGCCTTCATCCCTTGATTCAGCAGACCCTCAAGTTCCCACGAAAGTTTCCAGCCATGTCTGAGAAGCAGCCGTGGGGCAGGGGCAGGCAAGGAGCGAGCTGTTCTGGGCCTGGCTGCTCAGGGCCTGGCCTCTGTTGCTCTGGTTCATTCCACAACCAGCTGCTCCGGGTCTGGTCACTGTCGCTCCCAACCCAGTTGCTCCGGACTTGGCTGCTGCTGCTCCGGGCCTGGCCGCTCCCAGCCTGGCAGCCTAAAGCCTGTCATTTAAAGTTGACTTTACCATGGATCCATTTTAGCCTAGCAGAGTCACTATGATTCTATGAGACTACTGAGTCCTTTGATAGATAAGATGTAGTGTGTTTGTGTTTATAGTTAAGTACTAAACACTTAACATAGTGTTTAGCATAAGGCACTTTTCAGAACACAACATAAGGCATAATCCTTTTCTATGTGTGTGAAAAAGAGGAAGCAATTTTTTTTTTTAAAATATATTTTATTGATTTTTGGACAGAGAGGAAGGGAGAGAGATAGAGAGCCAGAAACATCGATGAGAGAGAATCATCCATCAGCCGCCTCTTGCACACCCCCTACTGGGGATATGCCCGCAACCAAGGTACATGCCCTTGACCGGAATCGAACCCGGGACCTTTCAGTCCCCAAGCCGACGCTCTATCCATTGAGCCAAACCGGTCTCGGTAGGAAGCAATTTTTTTAAAGTATATTTATTTATTTCTTAGAGGAAGGAAGAGGGAGAGAGAGATAGAAATGATGAGAGAGAGTGAGAATCATTGTTGGCTGCCTCCTGCAAGTTCCCCACTGGGGAATCGAGCCCATAATGTGGGCATGTGCCCTTGACCAGAATTGAATCTGGGACCTTTTATTTATTTATTTTTTAAATTTATTTTAAAAAAAATATATTTTATTGATTTTTCACAGAGAGGAAGGTAGAGGGATAGAGAGTTAGAAACATCAATGAGAGAGAAACATCGACCAGCTGCCTCCTGCACACCCCCTACTGGAGATGTGCCCGCAACCAACGTACATGCCCTTGACCGGAATCGAACCTGGGACCCTTCAGTCCACAGATCGACGCTCTATCCACTGAGCCAAACCGGTTTCGGCAAGTCTGGGACCTTTTAGTTCGCAGGCTCTATCCACTGAGCCAAACTGGCTAGGGCAGGAGGCAATTTTTATTAAAGTAAGAATGTTCATTTGTAGATCAGTCTCTGTGGTAATGCCCTGGTCGACTAGATTACATTGTAAAGTGTTACAGGAGTTCTTAGAATGGGCAGACCAGTGAAAGCAGTTGGGGAATTCAGAATGGTGTATGCAATACTTGGTTGAACTGTGGAGAATAGGAAGTGTTTGCAATACTTGGTGTATGCAATACTTGGTTGAACTGTGGAGAATAGGCAAAAAAATTGAAGAAAGTTTTCTCTCCCACACCCCCCCCCCAAAAAAAAAATCAATAAATTTTTTTTAGTCCTCACCTAAGGATGTTTTTACATTGATTTTTGGAGTATTGCCATCTTAATAATATTCAGATGAGCACAGGATATCTTTCCATTTATTTAGTTCTTTAATTTCAATGATTTTTGTAGTTTTAGAGTACAAGTTTTTGCACTTTTTTTGCTAATTTTTTCCTAGGTATTTTTTTTTTAATAGTGTTATAAATTTTATTTTCAGATAGTTTGTTGCTATTGTATAGAAATACAAATTGACATAGTATTATAAATTTTATTTTCAGATAGTTTGTTGCTATTGTATAGAAATACAAATTGACTTTTGTATATCGATCTTGGTTTTTAGTGTTTTCCTTAGGATTTTCTGTATACAAAGTCATGTCATCTGCAAATATAGTTTTGCTTTTTCCTTTCTAATCTGGATGCCTTTTATTTCCTTTTACTGGCTCACTTCTCTGGCTTGCACATCTAGTGCAATGTTAAATGGCATGAGTGGACACCTAGTCTTATTCTTGATCTTAAGGGGAAGTAAGTCTTTCCCCACTGAACTATGATGATAATTGTGGAGTGTTTGTAGATCTCTTATCAAGAAGTTATCTTCTATTTCTAGTTTGTTGAATGTTCTTAATAAAGAGTTGTTGAATTTTGTCAAATGCTTTTCTGTGTCTCTTGAATGGTCATGTGATTTTTGTCCTATACCATATTAAGACATTATTACATTAATTGATTTTTTAATGTTAAAGCAACCTTGCATTCCTGGAAAAAATCCAATTATATCATGGTGAATAATCTTTTATTTTTTTATAATATATTTTTATTGATTTTTTTACAGTGGATAGGCCAACGCTCTATCCACTGAGCCAAACCGGTTTCGGCCTGGTGAATAATTTTATTTATTTATTTGTTTGTTTGTTTGTTTGCTTACTTATTATCATTATTATTTTTTAATCCTCACCCAAGGATATTTTTCTATGATTTTTAGAGAGAGTGGAAGAGAAAGGGAAAGACAGAGAAAAATATTGATGTGAGAGAAACACATCAATTGGTTGCCTCCTGCACACACCCCACCCAGGGCCCAGGCCTGCAACCAAGGTACGTGCTTTTGACTGGAATTGAACCCAGGATCGGAAGGCTGACCTCTATACATTGAGCCAAACTGGCTAGGGCCACACTTTACTTTCTTTAGTAATTATAGATCTATTTAAAGATTCTGTTTCTTTTTTTATTTAACTTTGGTAGTTTGTATTTTTCTAGGAATCTGTCCATTTCATCCAGCTTATCCAATTTGTTGGCATATGGGTGTTCATAGTATTAACTATAATTCTTTTTATTTCTGTTCGTCAGGTAGTAATGTCCCCTTCATTTCAGGTCTTAGGAATTTGAATCTTTTTCTTTGTCATGCAACTAAACATTTGTTGTTTTATTGATCTTTTCAAAGAAACAACTTTTGGTTTTGAGATAAGTGAAAATGAAGACACAACATATCATAACTTATGGGATGCAGCTAAAGCAGTGCTTAGCAGGAAACTTAAAAGCTGTAGACACATACATTAAAAAGACAAAAGACTCAATTTTGGCTTCATTTCATCCTTTCCCCTTCGGGACATTTGTATATTCCTCTCCCATCCCCTTTCCCAAGATTATATAATTTCAGTATTTGGGAAGCTGATTTAAGAAACTACAATGGTTTCTTGTCTTTGCAGATGTTAGAAGGGAAAAGCAAAATTTCTGTCAATGACTTCCTCATAAAAGCTTCAGCTTTGGCATGTTTAAAAGTTCCTGAAGCAAATTCTTCTTGGCTGGACACAGTTATAAGACAGTAAGTATAATACTGCTGGGGAAGGTATATATCCGTCAGCAGTTTTGTTGTGTTACCTAATGTATATCTAGGAGTGTAGGGTAAGGAGATGGAATACAGAGAGAACTATAACCGCCACTGGTAAAATACTTTGTAAACAGCATAGAACTATTTATGAGACAGTCCTAAAGTTTACGTAGTAAAGACTACAGATTCTTTGTATGAGCTCAGGAAAGGGAGATGATTGTTTATATATCTACAGTTAAATTGATAATGATTATTATAAGGGAAAGTTGAAATATTTTTTGCTCACTAGTTCTGCTGAACTTTAGAGGAAGGAGAAATTTGAAAACAAACCAAAAAAAATACCACAGTTTTATTTATGTTATGGTAACATGTGACTAGTGGTGGCACCTGTCTTTCACATATTGTCTCATTTAATCCTGTCACCACCTTATAAGCTAGGCGCTTCACTCCCATTTTCTAGATGAAAAATGAAGCTTAGTGAGTTAAATAATTATCCTTGAGTTAATATGGTAATAGTAGAACTGTGATCGGAAACCAGGAATCTGATTTTTAAGCCTATGCTTTTCCTATTATGTATGCTTTTAAATATTATTAATTTAATTTTTATTAAAGTTATAGTATATATGTTAAAATATTGCTGCATGGCTTACAGTGACCTGCTCAGCCTTTAATCTGAAGTCCACTCCCAAGAGGCAAACACAGCTTTTAAACTATTATTTCTTCTGGTATTTACCTTCATGAAGGGTTATTTTCATTTCTTTTACTTTACTGAATTCTTCCTATTAAAGAAGAATTAAGATTTATTGTACTCTCCCTAAATACTCCCACCCACCCAACATCCCATGAAATGGATTATAGCACAAATTGTATGACTAACATGTTTAAGTATGTTTTGAATACTAACCTACTTTTATTTTATTTATAATCCTATTTTCCCCCATTAATTTTTTCAGAATCTTGTAGAAGGTATTACGGGTCCTCTTCTTCCCCCATTAACCACCTCCAGCTATCTATCCCCTGCCCCACACCCAGGCTTTTACCACCTTCACTGTCTGTGTCCATGTGCCATGCATACATACATACATACAAGGTCTTTGGCTGATTACCTCCCCACCTACCTTCCCCCTGCCTTCCCCCTGAGATTTTACATTCTGTTCCATGCTTCCATGTCATTGGATCCTCTCTTTTCATCAGTTTATTTTGTTCATTAGATTCCACATTAGTGAGACCATATGATACTTGTCTTTGACTGACTGACTTCACTTAGCATAATATACTTTAAGTCCCTCCTTGCTCTTTAAAGGTGCAAATGTCCCACAGCTTTTTATTTATTTTTTAATTGGGAGAAATATCAATGATGAAAGGGAATCATTGATTGGCTGCCTCCCACACGCCCCCTTCTGGGGCTCGAGCCCACAACCTGTATGTGCCCTTGTCCGGAATCGAACCCGGGACCATTCAGTCTGCAGGCCTGTGCTCTATCCACTGAGCCAAACTGGCTAGGGCTGTACCGCAGCATTTTTTTTTTTATCCGCCCTTCTAGTGATGGGCATTTGGGGTGTTTCCAAACCTTAGCTGTTATAAATTGTGCTGCTATGAACATAGGGATGCATATATTCTTTCTGATTGGTGTTTTGAGTTTCTTAGGAAATATTTCTAGAAATGGGCTCACTGGATCGAATGGCAGTTCCATATTTAATTTTTTCAGGAAACTCCGTACTGTTTTCCATAATGGCTGCATTGTCACCAGCCGTGCGCTAGGGTTCCTTTTTCTCCGCATCTTCACCAACACTTGTCATTTGTTGATTTATTGATGGTAGCTATTTTGACAGGTGTGAGGTGGTACCTCGTTGTTGTGATTTTTAAAAATATATTTTTATTGATTCTAGAGAGAAAGGGAGAGGGAGAGAGATGGAAACATCAATGATGAGAGAGAATCGTTGATTTGTTGCCTCCTGCACACCCCACACTAGGGATGGAACCCGAAACTCAGGCATGTGTCCTGACTGGAGATCAAATGGTGACCTCCTGGGTCATAGGTTGACATTCAACCACTGAGTCATGCTGGCTGGCCGGGCTCTCATTGTTGTTTTAATTTGCATCTCTTATGATCAGTGACTTTGAGCATTTTTTTCAGATGTCATTGGCCGTGTGTGTGTTCACTTTGGAGATGTGCCTATTTGGGCCTTTGCCCATTTTTTAATTGGATTGTTTGTCTTCCTTTATTGTGTGTTGGAGTGATGGTCAATTTGCATATTACTCTTTTATTAGGATATATTGAGAGATATGATAATTAACCAGGACACTATAATGGGTCAATGGACAGGAGGAGGTTGCACACCCAGCTTTGGGGGCGGGGTGGCAGGGGCCTCCATGCATCTGCGCTGGGGGAGGACCTGATCAGCAGCAGCTGCGGCTGCTTCAAAAGCTGGAGAGGGAGGCAGGGCCGGATTGGCCTGTTCATGGCCAGCACAGAACGCTTGCCTTGTTGCCACAGCAATGAAGCAAGCATTTTGCCAGGCTGCTCATGCTGCCCATTCTCAGCAGCCACCCCTCTGGGATTGGGGGAATCCATCTTGTGGCTACTGGTGCCACCATCTTTGTGATGGTTAATTTGCAAATTACCCTTTTATTAGATAGGATAGGTACTTATTTATTGCCATTTTAATTCTGTATGCCTAGGTTTCTCTCTTTTCTCATTACAGCAATCCCTTTATCGTTTCTTGTAATGCTGGTTTAGTGGTGGTAAACACCTTTAGCCTTTTTTGTTTGTTTGGGAAGTTCTTTATTTCACTGTCTATTTTTGAATGATAGTCTTGCTGGATATAGTAATCTTGGTTTCAGATCCTTGCTTTCCATGAGTACTTCATGCCATTCCCGTCTGGCTTGTAGACTTGCAATCTCTATGCAATCTTCACTTTCCGTCTTCAGTTATCAGGGTTCTCTCCAGCAAGTCTTCAGTTGATTATTCAGGTAGTTTTTTCTGTATTTTAGTTGTAATTCCAGTTTGGTCCTGGGAGTGTGACCACCCAGCATCCACTTACTCTCACTCTCCCCAGTTGACTATTTAGAGAGTGGAGAAGTGGGAGTTGGGGGGATACAATTGACATGAGAAAGACATATTGATTGGTTGCCTCCCTCTCACAACCAGGTTGGGAATCAAACCTGCAAACGAGGTACACACTCTTGACTGATAAATGAACCCATGACCCTTCAGTTCTCGGGCTGATGCTTTAACCATTGAACAAAACAGGTGAGGGCCTAACCTAACTGCTTTTTTTTTTTTTTTTTAATATATTTTATTGATTTTTTTACAGAGAGAAAGGGAGAGAGATAGAGAGCTAGAAACGTCGATGAGAGAGAAACATCGACCAGCTGCCTCTTGCACACCCCCTACCGGAGATGTGCCCACAACCAAGGTACATGCCCCTGACCGGAATTGAACCCGGGACTTTTCAGTCTGACGCTCTACCACTGAGCCAAACCGGTTTCGGCCTAACTGCTTTTTAAAAAATGTTCCCACCTTTTTTTTTTTTTTTTTTTTTTTTTAACTTCATTGCTTTCTAAAACTGTAATGTTGAAAAGTCACAGAGCCTGTTCTGCTGCCACTTCCTGGTCCTGGTGATCCCTGATGGCCACACACCAACTCACATATATAGTACCCCAAACACGGTGCTGTTGACTCCCATCATTTCTCCTTCCAGCCTCTGAATAATACCTGTGCTGGTGACCAGTAAAACTCAGTTATTTTCATATCACAACCTATAGTTGTTGCAAGTGTGTTAAAATATCATTTTGCTTATCACTACTTTAAAATTGTAGCCATTATTAGACCTGCTGCAACATCTTGTTAATGAGTTAATATAAAAGCACATATATCACATTTTGTTTTTTGAATAATTACATAACTAAATTTCAGTATACTTGTGAGGGGTTTTTTGTTGTTGGTTAGTTTTTTTGGTGACTTATTTTACTTTCTTGGTTAAAAATCTATATGTATTCTGAGATGAGACCCAAATGCAAAAATGCTCATGGTGTAGAAAAGATTGGGAATCTCAGTAGTCTGGCGCACCACCACCCTACATCCTGAACACTCCTCTTTCTCCCCCAACGCAGTCCTTTCCCTTCATTCTTCCTTTCCTCTGCTCAGGCCCTGCTTGCAGACTCAACTCCAGCAATCCACTTCATCTCAGAATCCAAGGAGGGTCTTTTTTTGTTTGTTTAATTCCTAACCGAATGCTAAGCCTTTTTCTCCAACTATACCCATGTGTTAGTTGAGGCAGATGGGAAAGTTAGATAATACATGTGAAACCAACCTGCTGACACATTAAAAGTGTAAGGAGGTTGGGGAGAAGGAACAGCAGAATGTAAAAAATCAGAAAAGATATCTTTCTGGCTGGACAGTAGCACAAACTGAAGTAAATATCAGTAATCTTTTTTTTTTAAAATATATATTTTATTGATTTTTGTAAAGAGAGGAAGGGAGAGAGATAGAGAGTTAGAAACATCAATGAGAGAGAGTCATTGATCAGCTGCCTCTTGCACACCCCCTACTGGGGATATGCCCGCAACCAAGGTACATGCCCTTGACCGGAATCGAACCCGGGATCCTTCAGTCCCCAAGCTGACGCTCTATCTATTGAGCCAAACCGGTCCCAGCAAATATCAGTAATCTTGCTTAACGTGACACAGAAGCTCTTAATAAACAATGGTGATGATCATTGAGCTTTTCTTTTTTTTTCTTTTTCTTTTTTATTTTTTTAATTGGTTTATTTTTTTAATAAGTTTTTATTGTTCATATTATTACAAATGTTCCTTCCCCCCCCCCCCCACCATTGCTCTCCTCCACCAGGTTCCCACCCCACCCTCTGCCCTTTCCCCACTCCCCATTGTCCTCATCCATAGGTGCACAGTTTATGTTCAGTCTCTTCCCACATCCTTCTCTCCCCTTTTCCCCAAGAATCGTCATTTCACTCCCCTTCCATACCTCTGATTCTATTATATTCAACAGTTAATATTGTTCATCAGATTTTTTTTTTAATTTCCTTGGTTTTTAGATTCACTTATTAATAGTTACATATTTGTTGTTCATACTTTTTATCTTTAATTACTTTCTCTTCTGAAAGAACCCCCTTCAGCAATTCATATAATTCTGGTTTGGTGGTGATGAACTCCTTTAGCCTTTTTTTTATTAGTGAAGCTCTTTATCTGACCTTCGATTCTGAGTGATAGCTTTACTGGATAGATTATCTTTGGCTGTAGGTTCTTACTCTTCATCACCTTGAATATTTCTTGCCATTCCCGTCTGGCCTGCATGGTTTCTGTTGAGAAGTCAGCTGACAATCGTATAGGTGCTCCTTTATAGGTAACTACCTTCTTTGCTCTTGCTGCTTTTAATATTCTCTCTTTGTCTTTTGCTCTTGGAATTTTAATTATGATTTGTCTTGGTGTGGTCCTCTTTGGATTCCTTTTGTTTGGAGTTCTGTGCGCTTCCTGGACTTGTAAGTCTAATTCTTTCCCCAGGTGGAGGAAGTTTTCTGTCACTATTTCTTTCAGTATGTTTTCGATATCTTGCTCTCTCTCATCTTCTGGGACTCCCATAATTCTGATGTTGGTTCACTTGAAGTTGTCCCAGAGGTTTCTTACATTATCTTCAATTTTCTGGATTCTCTTGCCTTCTAGCTTCTGTGGAGGAGTGTCTTCTGGCTCTTTATGTTCCAAATCTTTGACTTGATTCTTGCGATCTTCCCTTCTGTTTTTAGGACTCTGTAAAATATTTTTTATTTCAGACAATGTATTCTTTATTTCTTGTTGTTCCCTTATCATTTCTTTTCTTTTTTTTTTTTTTTTAAATCAATCTTTATTGTTCATATTATTACAAAGGTTCCTCATTTCTTCCCCCCTCCACCAGGTTCCCACCCCACCCTCAGTCCCCCCCCCCCCCATCCACAATTGTCCTCTTCCATAGGTGCAGTTTATGTTCAGTCTCTTCTTCCCTCAATTTCCCCAATAGTAAATCCCTTTTCAGATAGTAAATCAGTTACTTAGCATTTTCTCATATCAATAATACCTCCACATGCCCAATGATACACTTCACACAAAAGACATTTCCCACTAGGTCAACCAGCCTCTTCCAGGCCCCACCCAAGGCACTCACAGATCAACACCCCAGTCCTAAACTAACTCAACACATCCAGATCTAAGCCTTCATCACTTGATTCAGCAGACCCTCAAGTTCCCACGAAAGTTTCCAGCCATGTCTGAGAAGCAGCCGTGGGGCAGGGGCAGGCAAGGAGCGAGCTGTTCTGGGCCTGGCTGCTCAGGGCCTGGCCTCTGTTGCTCTGGTTCATTCCACAACCAGCTGCTCCGGGTCTGGTCACTGCCGCTCCCGACCTAGTTGCTCTGGACTTGGCTGCTGCTGCTCCGGGCCTGGCCGCTCCCAGCCTGGCAGCCGCTGCTCCGGGCCTGGCCGCACCCGACCCGGCTGCTCCCCCGGGCCTGGCCGCTCCCAGCCTGGCAGCCGCTGCTCCGGGCCTGACCGCACCCGACCCGCCTGCTCCCCCGGGCCTGGCCGCTCCCAGCCTGGCAGCCGCTGCTCCGGGCCTGGCCGGACCAGCCCCGCCTGCTCCCCCGGGCCTGGCCGCTCCCAGCCTGGCAGCCGCTGCTCCGGGCCTGGCCGCACCCGACCCGGCTGCTCCCCCGGGCCTGGCCGCTCCCAGCCTGGCAGCCGCTGCTCCGGGCCTGGCCGCACCCGACCCGGCTGCTCCCCCGGGCCTGGCCGCTCCCAGCCTGGCAGCCGCTGCTCCGGGCCTGACCGCACCCGACCCGCCTGCTCCCCCGGGCCTGGCCGCTCCCAGCCTGGCAGCCGCTGCTCCGGGCCTGGCCGGACCAGCCCCGCCTGCTCCCCCGGGCCTGGCCGCTCCCAGCCTGGCAGCCGCTGCTCCGGGCCTGGCCGCACCCGACCCGGCTGCTCCCCCGGGCCTGGCCGCTCCCAGCCTGGCAGCCGCTGCTCCGGGCCTGGCCGCACCCGACCCGGCTGCTCCCCCGGGCCTGGCCGCTCCCAGCCTGGCAGCCGCTGCTCCGGGCCTGGCCGCACCCGCCCCGCCTGCTCCCCCGGGCCTGGCCACTCCCAGCCTGGCAGCTGCTGCTCCGGGCCTGGCCGCACCTGACCCGGTTGCTCTGGGCCCGGCTGCCCCGGGCCTGGCCGCTCCGAGCCTGGCCACTCCCGACCTGGATGCTCTGGGCTTGGCTACTGCTGTTCTGGGTCTGGCTGTCCCACCCCGGCTGCTCTGGGCCCAGCTTCTCCGGGCCCGGCCACTCCGGGTCTGGGTGTTCCTGGACTGGCCACCCTGGGCTTGGCCGCCTCCGCCTCATGCCTGGCTGCCACTGCCCCAGGTCTGGCTACTCCAGTGCTTGCTGTTGATGCTCTGGTTCTGGCTGCTGTCGTTCTGGGGCCTGGCCGTTGCTGCTCCGGGTCTGGCTGCCACTGCCTTGTGCCTGGCCACTCTAGGCCTGGCCGTCGCTGTTCCAACATTCTGTCCTTTTTTTTTCTTTTTAAAACGCATTTATGTTTCAATGTTGACTGGTGAGTTGAGTTCTGACTTAGTCTTTGATTTTTCAAGATCTTCTTTGTATTCTTTCTTAAGTAATTTTACTATTTTTTGCTCTCACTTGATTTCTTCACATTGAGAACTTCTTTGGTTTCTTCCTCCTTGTCCTGGGAGCTCAGCAGGTTGGCCTGTGGCACCCCTTTGTTCTCCGCGGGCTCCTGTGCTGCTTCAGCCTGTTGCTGGGACGGCGCCGCCCAGGAAGCAGCCCCCGGCCTTGGCTCCATTGCCCGAGCTCAGTGGTCAAAGGCTCAGGGGCACCCACGCCCCCAGGGGCCCCGTGGCCCGCCTCCTTGCTGGTGCCCGGTTGGCTGGAGTCCGGCAGGGGCTTCCGCTCCCCTCCGCGTTCCCCCAGCCTAGAGCTTTTTTTTTTCTCCTTCCCGCTAGGGAAGTCCAGCATCAGAGTCAACAGACTGTCCTCTGCGCGCAGTTTGCGCGAGTCCCACAGACTGTCCTCTGCGCGCAGTTTGCGCGAGTCCCGGGGGCCCGGCCTTTCGCCGCTCTCCCCGGACTCCACCTCACAGCCCCGTCTCCCTCTGCCTGAGCCTGGGTCCCCAGGGATTGGCCCAGAACTGGGGTTCGGAGCAGTCCGGACTGAGGCTCAGCGCCGCCGGAGGCTTTGTTTCTTCCGGCTAGGGTAACCCAGCAACAGAGTCAACATTCAGTCCTTTGCGGCGCATTGCGCGCGACTCCCGGGGCCCTGCCTTTCGCCGTTTTTCCGCCTCACGGCCCTGTCTCCTCCCGCCGGAGCCTGGGTCCCCAGGGTCTGGCCCATAACTGGAGCTCAGCGCTGTCGGTTCGGGGGGCTCAGCGCTGCAGGTTCGGGGGTTCAGCCCAGGCTGGAGGTTTTATTTCCTTCCTGCTAGGGAAGGAAAGGCGGCTCCCCGCCCTCTCCTCCTCTCCAGCTGCGACCTCTCCGTGCGCGCATGCGGGCGGGCAGGCGCGCGCAGCATGTCTCCGTACCTTAGGCTTTTTTTCAGCTCCTCTGATTTTCTTTCTGGTTTTCTCTTTCCTTCTTGTTGTAGAAATTTCAGTCAGTCGACTACCTGTAGCTCTGGGCAATGTCCACTCTACATTTTAGTTGTATTCCATTGAAATTGTTGTGTGCTGCCGCGGCTAGATGTCTACCCGAGCAGCCATCTTGGATCCTCCGATAATGGTGTCCCCTTATCATTTCTTGATGACTCCTTATTAATTCTAGTTGATTTCTTTTCATGTCCTCATAGGTCTTATCCATCTTTTCTAGGAAATTCTTGAAAAACCTTATAAGCGTAGATTTGAACTCTATATCCAGTCGCTTTTTGTCCTCCATTTCTTTCTTTTGTCAGGACTCTATATAATATTTTTTCAGACAATTTATTCTTTATTTCTTGTTGATCCCTTATCATTTCTTATTGATTCCTTATTATTTCTAGTTGATCTCTTTTTATATCCTCATAGGTCTTATCCATCTTTTCTAGGAAATTCTTGAAAAACCTTATAAGCGTAGATTTGAACTCTATATCCAGTTGCTTTTTGTCCTCCATTTCTTTTGTTTGTGATCTATTTCGTTGTCACATTTCGCAGTTATAGATGGGACGGGATTTCAGGGTGGACCTATGCGGGTCCTTCAGTACTCGCTGAAAAGTGCCTCTGAGAGAAAGGTGCCCTCGATTTTCGCTTGCTGTCAAACAGTCTATGCTCTCCCCCAATGAGCCCAGTATTGGGGTTCAGTTCAGTTGGAAGTGGAGTTGGAGGTGGCATTCAGAGCAGACTGGAACCCCTGTCTCCTTCCCGCCAGTCAATCAATCCCGCGGCACAGTCGGCCGTCCCTTCTCTGCACTCAATGTTTGCGCCACCAGGACTGCCTTTCGCCACTCCCCCGGGGTTCCGCCTCGCAGCCCAGCTCCCTCTGGATGAGCCTGGGTTCCCGAGGTCTGGCCTAGGACTGGGGTTCAGAGCAGTCAGAACTGGGGCCCAACACAGTCGGAGTTTTATCTCCTTCCGGCTAGGGAACGCCAACCAGGCACTCGGCCTCCCTCCTCTCTGGCTCTGTCCTCTCCGAGCGCACCGCGTGTCTCCGTACCTTAGGCTTTTCCAGCTCCTCCGCGCTTCCTTCTGGTTTTCTCCTTGCTTCTCGTTGTAGAATTTCCAGTCAGTCGACTTTCCTGTAGTTCTGGGTAATGTCCATTTTATATTTTAGTTGTATTTTATTGAAATTGTTGTGTGTGGCTGCGGCTAGGTGTTTACCTGGGCGTAGCCATCTTGGATCTCCTCTTTTTTTCTTTTTAAATAGAAATCATGTTGTCGATGTCAGTGTTGCAGTCAGTACCCAAGCAGGACTCATCACACCAATTGTATTTAATGCACACATAAAGGGCCTGGAAACCATTGCTAATGATGTTGCTTCTTTAGCAACCAAAGCTCGAGAGGGTAAACTACAGCCACATGAATTCCAGGTAAAGTATTATTTATTCTCCTTTTGAATGTTAAGAAGTATGTTATTTTTAAGGCCCGTATTATGTTTTTATTGCATTTTCCACCATTTTTTTCTGCCTTGTATTCCCATTGACACAAAGGCCTAAAAATAAAGAAAAACTGAGTAGCCTTTCAAAGGCTAAAAATAATGTTTTCCAACTAGTGTGCAAAAGCCACACACCTACTTTAACTGTATTGTAAAGGGTGCATATTTAAAAAAGAGTATTTCATTTAGGCCCCCTTTTTTTTCCTTTTAGTTCTAATGACATAATTATAGTTTTAATGACATAATTAGCAATATTTAAGATTTGCAACTTAATGTTTTGATATATATATATATTATGGAATGATCACCACAATCAAGCTAATTAATGTCTGCCACTTTATATACTTCTATTTTCTTCTTCTTTTTTTTTAATGATAGTTTTGAAGCTTTTCTTAAAAGATTACCTTAAAGGCAAAACCAGTTTGGCTCAGTGGATAGAGTGTCTGCCTGCAGACTCAAGGGTCCCAGGTTCGATTCCGGTCAAGGGCATGTACCTTGGTTGCGGGCATATCCCCAGTAGGAGGTGTGCAGGAGGCAGCTGATCAGTGTTTCTCTCATCGATATTTTCTAACTCTCTATCCCTCTCTCTTCCTCTCTGTAAAAAATCAATAAAATATATTTTCTAAATTACCTTAAGGATTTTTTTATATGTTGACAAGCAATTAACATGATATTTTTTTCCTCTAGGGTGGAACTTTTACGATTTCCAATTTAGGAATGTTTGGAATTAAGAACTTCTCTGCTATTATTAACCCACCTCAGGCCTGTATTTTGGCCATTGGTGCTTCAGAAGAGAGACTGGTTCCAGCAGATAATGAAAAGGGGTAAGTGCCAAAATGGAGAGGGAGCTATAAGTTCATTTTCATTCCATTATATCTGTTTTTAAGTTTAGTTTTAGACTTATTGGCATGCCTTACTGGAACGTTAGGTAGAGTCAGACATAAGTATAGAATGAAGTTTCTCAGGGCAGCAACTCTTCTTATTTTACTTAATGTAGTTAATCTTTTTTGAGATGGAAAGCCTTATTCACTCTGACTACATAAGTTCAGGGTCACCATGCTTTTTTCTTAAAGAGGCATATAGTAAATATTTAGGCTTTGTGGGCCATATGGTCTCTGTTGCAAATACTCTGTCACTGTAGTGTGAAAGCAGCCTTACGTGCTATGTAAATGAATTCCAGTAAGCTCCATTTGTTGGGATTTGACCTGTGGGCTTCTAGTTTGCCAGTCCATGCTCCAGATGGCTGTTTGGTCTGTTTCTTCAAGCTATTTGGTCTGGAAATATATAGGACATGAACAATAGGTCGAAAATCATTTACGTGGTTGGGATTATAGGGTCAGAGGTGGCATTTGGGCTGGTTACTAGCTACAATCAGTGATTGCTTCTAGAATCCCTAATAATGTTTTTATCTTTTTCTAGATTTGATGTGGCTAGCATGATGTCTGTTACACTCAGTTGTGATCATCGGGTTGTGGATGGAGCAGTTGGAGCCCAGTGGCTTGCTGAGTTTAGAAAGTACATTGAAAAACCTGTCACCATGTTGTTATAATTAACCCAAGAATTTCTATAGACTTTCCCGAGTCACTTTGGTTCATTCTTACCAAGATATAAATGTTATTAAACAGGCGTTTCTCTTTATTTTAAAGATAACCAGTTATTTTCTAGTCTGTCCAGTTAAGTTATTTGTAATGGTCATTACTTTTATCTTTTAAAATGCCAGTTACACCCAAATATTGTGCACATTCAGTAAATACCAGCTTTTAAGCTGTGTACTCCCAGGCAAGGGATATGTGGCATAGCCATTTGGTGTTAAGTACTTCCACTGGGAAATGTAGAGGTAGAATTGTGGTTCCCTGTTGAGGCAGGTATATACAAGTAACCTGGATGAAACTATGAGGTTTTGAGATTTAATTGCCTCAAATGTTTTTCTTATATTTAAAGAAAAGAGGAATCAGGAAAATTTATTCTTTTGGAGAAAAGGTTTGAATCGAAGTGGGATGTTGTAACTTAACCCTAATTAAAAATTTTCTATTACATGATCTTGTTTTTATCATGGATGGGAAAAGTAGAAAACTTCAAAGAAGATAAGTGAAATTTTAAAAGTCAACATTCTCTTAGATTTCTTCAGCCACTGTTCTTTATTTTTTTTATGTATCCTGAAATGGTTGTTCCCCCTTCTTGAAATGAGACAGGAATATAAACCACCTGCTTGGCATAAATGAGAATTTATGAATATTTAAAACAACTTAAATGTATAATTCTGAGCAGAATTCTACAGTTACCTCCAAATAAAAGAATATGCTTATAGAGTTTAACAGAGAAGTTGTGAAAAGAGAATTTTTCTTCCAATGTCAACTGGAGGTTATTTGCAAATGAACTTAGTTACCAGAATTTGGAAAACTATATTAAGTAACAATCGAATACATATACATATATAAAAATTGGTTTCCAGCAAGATATGTGCCAAAGTCTGAATGTATATCAACAAGTTCTCTCTGAAGAGGGAGAGAGATACATTGGTGAACAGTTTAGAATGTAAAAGATGATGACCACTACAAAATGGTCATTTCTCTTTGGAAAAAGGAAAAACTGTTAAATGTGTGTTAAAGTGTCCTTTGTTTTCCCACCACAGTGTTGACTCTGTAAAATAAAAAAGCCCTAAAATCCTATTGAAGGGAAAAAAATTATTCAGGTTGCATTCTATCTTATCAGCATAAATATTTTTTCCCATTTTGCCTTTCTACTGAGCAGGGGCTGGGGTGAAATTCAAGATAATAAAAACAAATTGGGAACATTATCACAATCTAGGCTTCTACTGAATTGATGTGCTTTAATAAATATCTGAAATAGTTTGACTATTTAAAATTAATCTGACTAGTACTTCCTTGTATATAGTATGTGGAGCTATCTCTTGAAATTAAGTTCTTTTGTTGTTGAATCTATTTCTAAATGTTCATTATTACCTGGTGCACAGTGACACTCCATATATTCCATAAATATTTCCCTTGTACTGTTATGAAAACATTAATACAGTGATTAGCAATTATAGCTTGAACTGAAGATTATTCAAAAGGAACAAGCTTCTCACAGGGACCATCATCAGTATGAGTCATATCTGGTTCAAACACACGAAACTTCAGAAATAATTCATTATTTGCTAATGTTTATGACTCTTTTGTTCCCTTTAAAGAAAAAATTAAAAGTTGCCTTCTAATAAAAATTGTTCTGAATTAAAAATCTGGCCTGTAATCTAAATCTGGATTCAGTCTATTTATCTTACCAAAATTGGAAGAATAAAAGTTAGAAATAGTGGTTTGGTTCAAATTAGATAGTTTAAAAGTGAAACTATGTTTTCAATGTGTCTGATCTAATTTTTATGTGTAGGTAATTGATTTTCACATTAAGTGGTTAAGTGCAGGGACAGCTAATGCATGTATAAGCTCTTAATACAGATACAGTTTGATTTTATAAAATTGATGAAATCAGTACTGAGTTCAGAAGGGTATAATCTAATGCTTTAAGCTCAAGGAGTTCCTGAAGACCTTGTGTTGGGATATGGCACATAGCAAGATGAAAGTGTGGCCTGGCTCTCTTAGACATTTACCTCCAATCCTAGGTTTGTGTGAATGTAGTTATGGTCTCAGGCAGGGCATGGTCTACCAGAGGGGTTGACATGATAGGAATGTGCTGCAGGGAGTACTCATCACCTGTGCAGAAGCCCTGGAATACATGTGAAATGATCACTACTGACAGCTGGTCTAAAACCAAGTTTATAGAAAAATGAAGTCCTAACCGAGGATAATTAACGTCCATCTCAAATAATTTCCAGTTTTGAGGGAAAAAGATTTTGGCAAGATTTAAATTTAAACACTGTTCATTTTAAGTTAATGCTCTTCCTGGGCCAAGTTTTGCTTTTTTGCAGGGAGGAGAAAGAGGTAATGTTTTTATGAATATAAAATTCATTGAAGGCCTGACCAGTGTGGCTGAGTGGCTAAGCATTGACCCATGAACCAGGAGGTCACAGTTTGATTCCTGGTCATTACGTATGCCCAGGTTTTAGGCTGTATCCCCAGTAGGAGATGTGTAGGAGGCAACCAATGGATGATTGATTTTCCCTCATCGATGTTTATACCTCTCCTCCCTCTCTGAAATCAGTAAAAACATTTCTAAAAATTTTAAAAGAAAAACCCCTTCAAATAATATGTGAAAATATTTTGTGATAACTATATCACTAATAACACTAAGTTTAATTTTATTAGTGAGTACACAAATCCATAGCTGCTGACATGAGTACAAGAGTAGAGATTAAACCTACTATGTGGTTAGTTATGGGAGTTTCTAGGAAATAAGTTTTGACTGATTTTGCAGAAGAAAAGGCTACACTCCCAAGTGTTTTGAGGGATGAGAGTGTAATAGGTTTATTAATTTTAGGACATATACAATTTTAGGACTTCTTTAGATGATAAATTATCATATTGCTAGAAGGTTTCAAATCCAGGTCAGGTTTAAGAAAATTATGTTTTGCCCTAGCTGGTTTGGCTTAGTGGCTGGAGTGTTGCCCTGTGACTGAAGGGTTTGAGGTTTGATTCTGGTCAAGGGCGCATTGCCAGGCTTGCAGGCTGGAGCCCCAGTTGGAGGTGTGCAGGAGGCTGCCGAGCAATGATTCTCATCATTGATGTTTCTATCTTTTCTCCTTTCTGAAGTCAATAAAAATATATTTTAAAAAAGAAAACTATGTTTTTAAATGTGACATCTATTATTTCCAATACAACTATGACATCAGTTTCTAAGTTAAGTCTTAAAATAATTTATTTAAAGACTTCATACTGAGCCCTGGCCAGTTTGGCTAGTGCAGTGGTTGGCAAACTCATTAGTTAACAGAACCAAATATAAACAGTACAACGATGGAAATTTCTTTTGAAAGCCAAATTTTTAAAAATTTCTAACGCCACTCCTTCAAAATAGACTTGCCCAGGTTGTGGTATTTTGTGGAAGAGTCACATTCAAGGGGCCAAAGAGCCGCATGTGGCTCCCAAGCCGCAGTTTGCCGACCATGGGGCTAGTGGATAGAACACTAACCTGTGGTCTGAAGGGTCTCCATTTATTCTAGTCAAGGACACATCTCAGTTGCAGACTTGATCCCTGGGGCCATGTAGGGGAGGCAGTCAATTTATGTGACATTGATGTTTGTCTCTCCCACTCCCTAAAATTCAATGGAGCCTACCTGGTTTAGCTAAGTGGATAGAACATTGGCCTGTGGACTGAAGGGTCCCAGTCAAGGGCTCAATCCCCAATGGAGGGCGTGCAGGATACAACCAATCAGTGATTCATCGATGTTTCTTTTTTAAAAATATATATATTTTATTGATTTTTTACAGAGAGAAACATCAATGAGAGAGAAATATCAATCAGCTGCCTCCTGCACATCTCCTACTGGGGATGTGCCCGCAACCAAGGTACATGCCTTTGACTGGAATCGAACCTGGGACCTTTCAATCCGCAGGCCAACACTCTATCCACTGAGCCAAACTGGTTAGGGCTCATCAATGTTTCTATCTTTATTCCTCTCTGAAATTAAAAAAAAAAAAAAAAAAAAACTTAAAAAAAATCAATGGAAAAGTTCCCTTGGATGAGGATTAATGACAACAAAAAAAGACTGTGTTGAACTAGAAACTAATCACAAGGAAGTTTTGTATCTAGAAAAGATAAGGGATGTTTATAATTTGATGTGAGCATTGCTTTGGATATAAGTTGGAAAGTTGATATATTTGTATTGAACAACTATCTTCCAACTTAGATGAATGGGGTTGAAAAGTATATCACCTCTGTATTTTTTAAAAGTTAATCTCTTAGGCCAGGACCGGTTTGGCTCAGTGGATAGAGCGTCAGCTTGCGTACTGAAAGGTCCCGGGTTCGATTCCGGTCAAGAACATGTACCTTGGTTGCGGGAACATCCCCAGTAGGGGGTGTGCAAGAGGCAGCTGGTCGATGTTTCTCTCTCATCGACGTTTCTAACTCTCTGTCCTTCTCAATTCCTCTCTGTGTAAAATCAATAAAATATATTTTAAAAAATAAATAAATAAAAGTTAATCTCTTAGGCCTGCTTAGTATAGCTCAGTGGTTGAGTATCACCATGAACCAGGAGGTCACAGTTCGATTCCTGGTCTGGGTACATTCCTGGGTTTCTGGGCTCGATCCCCAGTAGGGACCATGCAGGAGGCAGCCAAACAATGATAATCATTGATATTTCTCTCCCTCTCTAAAATCAACAAAAACATGTTTTTAAATGTTATTTTCCTAAGAGAAAGGTACTTGTCCCCAAAGACACTTGTCCTTTTTCTTAAAATAGAGTTGGACGTATTTTGCATCTTATATGCAATAATATCCAATTACAAATCCAAAGTCCATATGTGCTATTAAAAGTCCTGCCTAGGTTAGAGCTGTTTTATGGGAGTACAGAGGTTCACAGAACCATAGGTTTGCATATTCTTACATTGACCTTGTATCGTTATCGCTGGAGGAAACTTGACTGCTATACCTCTCTTAATAATAAAAACACGCATAGTCTGGGATTTGTTTCTGATGTAAAAATTTACTAGAAACAATTTTTTTTTTTTTTTACCAGTAAACTGGGAATTCTCACATGTTATTGGAAACAAAATTTTCCCAAATGGTATTACTTAAGATATCTTCAAAACAAGTATATCATGACAATACTATTTTTAGTAATTTTTGCTTGATGCCAAGTTATTTTTGAGGAGAAATTTCTTTTTAAGAATAGTTGAGAAAATCTCATTCCATTAAAAGGAACTCTTAGGGGGAAAAAAAAAAGAACTCTTATAAAATTTGAAACTAGTGTGTAAGATATACCAATACCTCTTCACTCATAATAAAGGTCCTATAATTCACATAACTTCAGCACTGAAAACCTAAAACAATGCTCTTGACTTACACCAATGGCATTGTGACGATCAATGTAGCTTTCTCTTTGATAAATTTTGCTGTAGTCATTTCAGTATTCACAGATTCTGGAAGATTCAGATGCAATCTGTACTTCTCAGAGACCTCAATCAGTAAATCATCCTAAGAATAAACCAAGAGAGATTTTAAAAATATTTTTTATTGATTTTGTACAGAGAGGAAGGGAGAGAGATAAAGAGTTAGAAACACCAATGAAAGAGAGTCATCGATCAGCTGCCTTTTGCACACCCCCTACTGGAGATATGCCCTTGACCAGAATCGAACCCGGGACCTTTCAGTCCCCAAGCCAACGCTCCATCCATTGAGCCAAACCGGTTTTGGCCCAAGAGAGATTTTAAAAGATAAACATAAGAAAGCATTTATTGCCGAAGCCAGTTTGGCTCAATGGTAGAGCGTTGGTCTGCGGACTGAAGGGTCCCAGGTTCGATTCCGGGCAAGGGCATGTACATTGGTTGTGGGCACATCCCCGGTGGGGGTTGTGCAAGAGGCAGCTGGTCGATGTTTCTCTCTCATCGACGTTTCTAGCTCTCTATCTCCCTTCCTCTCTGTAAAAAATCAATAAAATATATTTAAAAAACAAAAAAGAAAGCATTTACTGGTTAAAATGAGTGTTGTTGAATTTTTGTTCCGTTATTGACTCCTTTTCCATAAGAAGAGGATCCTAACTTATTGCCATGTGACTTGCAGTGAGCAGTAACGTTCCTGTTGTAAATTCCCGAGCTTTTGAGATTTGTTATTGCTGTTGAATACCTCAAAAGTTTACTGAGCAGTAGCATAAGATGGGTGTTGTCATCTCAAATTACACAAATTTACTTTGGGGCAGACAAAGCAAACAGCAAGGAAACTTACCGGAGGCTAGGAAGATGGTTAACCTATATTAACCTATATTAAAATATCACTATATTTTATAGTGATAAAGCCCCTAGTTAAAACTATCACAATTATTTGGAAGACAGATTACCTAGTAAATTTGTGGCGTTAGGTACAGAAGTGGTAAAATAAAATGTTGGTGGCATGCATTGGTTTTATGGGCTATGTTTAACAAGATATGACATAAAGAGATGAACTTAAAGACTAGAATACCTTGACAGAAATGCAACTAATTTTTTTTTCAACTAGTAAAGGATAAAATTGAGGTTATTTTATTTTATTTTTACCAATGAAGGCTGTTTAAGACAGCTGAGAGGCAAAGACTAAATCACAAATATTTTACTTTTATTAAAATGTCTACCTCGGTTAAGGTGGACCTCAATAAATCCTTCCATTTGACTTAAATGACAGCTATTAAGTAAAAAAGGACAAGCTGCTGAAACCGGTTTGGCTCAGTAGATAGAGCGTTGGCTTGCGGACTGGAAGGTCCCAGGTTCAGTTCCGGTCAAGGGCATGTACATTGGTTGCAGGCACATCCCCAGTGATGGGTGTGCAGGAGGCAGCTGGTCAATGTATCTCTCTCATTGATGTTTCTAGCTCTCTACCCCTCTTCCTTCCTCTCTGTGAAAAATCAGTAAAATATATTTAAAAAAAAAAGAACTATATAAACTAAATGTGAAAAAGTACTCATTTAAAAAAAAAAAAAAAAAGGACAAGCCATTTAAAAAATGGACTTGTCTAAAAAAAAAAAACCTTATTGGGTATAGCACTTAGTGGAATTAAATAAAATATTACCAGCCTGGACTAAACCTAAATTAAAATAATCTTTGGACCCCAAACATTCTATGGGCATGACGCAGGCTGAGCTAATTGCTCAGCATCTAAGGATGGCATATCTACATGAACCTCCCAAAGAATGGAGCTGAAGGTAATGGGAAACAGTAGGGCTAGGCAATACAGGAATCTGTAATGGCTCTAAGTGAGAACATCCTCCACATGCAGGAAAAGGGACCCTCAAAATAGCTGTCTACCAGGATGTCAGCATTGCTGTGCACCAGTAACTGCTGTGGGATATATATATATATATATATATATATATATATATATATATATATATATTTTTTTTTTTTTTTAGGGCCTCATATTTTTACCTTTCCTGAATTGAGACTGTTAACAGTGACTATCTTCTCCCCATTTAACATTGTATGGTGTATGGGATTATGGGAATAGATAACTTGTGCTTGCAATTCATAGATCTGGTTCAAGAGGCGCAAAATGCAAACTATGAGGGCAAAATGCTGTACTTTGGAGTCTGATACTAGAACTGGAGGTGTCTTTTTTTTTTTAAGTATATTTTATTGATTTTTTACAGAGAGGAAGGGAGAAAGAAATATAGAAACATCGATTAGCTGCCTCCTGCACACCCCTTACTGAGGATGTGCCTGCAATCAAGGTATATGCCCTTGACCAGAATCGAACCTGGGACCCTTCAGTCCACAGGCTGATGTCCACTGAGCCAAACCGGTTTCTGCTGGAGGTGTCTTTCTTGGGGAATGATACAAATATTTGTGATGAAGTGGATGGACTGTGGTAGACTATAGGATTGTTGCCAATTGTTTGAACTCTGAAAAAGGATTAATGTATATCCCTATGACTGCTCTTGAGAATAGTCTTCCCTACCCTATCAATGTAGGGCTTGGCCTAGTGACTTACTTTAGCCAATAGGATGTGAATAAAAGTGACATATGCCATGTCTCTGAGGAAGTTTTAGGATCCATTGCATGGTTTGGCCATTTTCCCTCTAGCAGGAGAATGAAATAGGTCAGATAGGAATTTATTCTTCATCTGTTTCTTAAAATGCGTATTATCAAGCAGAGCCCTAGCCAGTTTCACTGAATGGATAGAGCATTAGCCCAAGGATTGAAGGATCCCAGGTTCCATTCTGGCTAAGGGCACCTATTGCTGTTGCAGGCTGCATCCCCAACCCTGGTTAGGATGGGTGCATACGGGAGAAACATGTCTCTCTCTTTCATCGATGTTTCTCCCCTCCTTCTCATTCTCTCTAAAAAAATCAATGGAAAGATATCCTTGGGTGAGGGTTAACAAAAAATAAAATAAAAAATTTAAAAAAAAGATTTGTTGAACAGATCAGGCCCAACTGACATATAACTTGAGCAAATTACTGTAAACTACTGAGATTGTGGAGTTAGTCACTACAGCAAACATAGGGCCTGTTGACTGATACACATTTACAGTAGCATCTATTCTACCTACCTCAGAAACACTAAGGTCACAGAGAGATACTGAATTAATACCAGGTAATTCAACTTTTAATTCAATTTTCAGTGGTTTCTCATTCTCATCTGCCACCATTTTTAATTCATAGGCTGGTCTCTTCATCTCCACCTGGATCTCTGTACTGGAAATCTCTTCTATCAGGCACCCCTTTTTGCTTGAAACTTGGTCCTTTGGCAGTAAAAGTTGAGGGGAGTGATCTGAATTACTCAGAGTGCTGCTGCTCATCTGTTCAAGGGTTAGTTCTTTATGGAAAAAAAAAGGGGGGGGGATAAAAATCAGAAAATTAATCAACATAAACTACTATCAGTGCTATCAGGCTACTAGCTGCAATATATGTAGTGCTAGCCAAGATGGCAGATAAAGCTGCAGCTAATTGAATTTGGGAATCTTTTTTTTTTTTTTTTTTTATAATATATTTTATTGATTTTTTACAGAGCGGAAGGGAGAGAGATAGAGAGCTAGAAACATCGATGAGAGAGAAACACCAACCAGCTGCCTCCTGCACACCCCCCACCGGGAATGTGCCCGCAGCCAACGTACATGCCCCTGACCGGAATCGAACCCAGGACCCCTCAGTCCACAGACCGACGCTCTACCACTGAGCCAAACCGGCTTCAGCTGAATTTGGGAATCTTAAAAGAATCTTAAATCAAAAAGATTTCAAAGTTTAAAAGTTTGCAGGATTTAAAAATCTATAAGGATATGCTAATATTTCTAATATCTAATCTTTTTATATATATATTTTTTGTTTTATTTTTTTAAAAATAAATTTTTATTGTTCATATTATTACAAATGTTCCTTTCTCCCCTCCCCCCCTCACCCACCATTGCTCTCCTCCACCAAGTTCCCACCCCACCCTCTGCCCTTTCCCCATTCCCCATTGTCCTCATCCATAGGTGCACAGTTTATGTTCAGTCTCTTCCCACATCCCCCTCTCCTCTTTTCCCCAAGAATCGTCATTTCACTCCCCTTCCATACCTCTGATTCTATTATATTCAACAGTTAATATTGTTCATCAGATTTCTTTAATTTCCTTGGTTTTTAGATTCACTTGTTTTTTCTTTGTTTTGTTTTTTTTTTAATTTTTTAAATCAATCTTTATTGTTCATATTATTACAAAGGTTCCTCATTTCTTCCCCCCTCCACCAGGTTCCCACCCCACCCTCTGGCCCCTCCCCATCCCCCATTGTCCTCATCCATAGGTGCACAGTTTATGTTCAGTCTCTTCTTCCCTCCCTTTCCCCAATAGTAAATCCCTTTTCAGATAGTAAATCAGTTACTTAGCATTTTCTCATATCAATAATACCTCCACATGCCCAATGATACACTTCACACAAAAGACATTTCCCAATAGGTCCACCAGCCTCATCCAGGCCCCACCCAAGGCACTCACAGATCAACACCCCAGTCCTAAACTAACTCAACACATCCAGATCTAAGCCTTCATCACTTGATTCAGCAGACCCTCAAGTTCCCACGAAAGTTTCCAGCCATGTCTGAGAAGCAGCCGTGGGGCAGGGGCAGGCAAGGAGCGAGCTGTTCTGGGCCTGGCTGTTCAGGGCCTGGCCTCTGTTGCTCTGGTTCATTCCACAACCAGCTGCTCCGGGTCTGGTCACTGCCGCTCCCGACCTAGTTGCTCTGGACTTGGCTGCTGCTGCTCTGGGCCTGGCCGCTCCCAGCCTGGCAGCCGCTGCTCCGGGCCTGGCCGCACCCGACCCGGCTGCTCCCCCGGGCCTGGCCGCTCCCAGCCTGGCAGCCGCTGCTCCGGGCCTGGCCGCACCCGACCCGGCTGCTCCCCCGGGCCTGGCCGCTCCCAGCCTGGCAGCCGCTGCTCCGGGCCTGGCCGCACCCGACCCGGCTGCTCCCCCGGGCCTGGCCGCTCCCAGCCTGGCAGCCGCTGCTCCGGGCCTGGCCGCACCCGACCCGCCTGCTCCCCCGGGCCTGGCCGCTCCCAGCCTGGCAGCCGCTGCTCCGGGCCTGGCCGCACCCGACCCGCCTGCTCCCCCGGGCCTGGCCGCTCCCAGCCTGTCAGCCTCTGCTCCGGGCCTGGCCGCACCAGCCCCGCCTGCTCCCCCGGGCCTGGCCGCTCCCAGCCTGGCAGCCGCTGCTCCGGGCCTGGCCGCACCAGCCCCGCCTGCTCCCCCGGGCCTGGCCGCTCCCAGCCTGGCAGCCGCTGCTCCGGGCCTGGCCGCACCAGCCCCGGCTGCTCCCCCGGGCCTGGCCGCTCCCAGCCTGGCAGCCGCTGCTCCGGGCCTGGCCGCACCCAACCCGGCTGCTCCCCCGGGCCTGGCCGCTCCCAGCCTGTCAGCCGCTGCTCCGGGCCTGGCCGCACCAGCCCCGGCTGCTCCCCCGGGCCTGGCCGCTCCCAGCCTGGCAGCCGCTGCTCCGGGCCTGGCCGCACCCGACCCGGCTGCTCCCCCGGGCCTGGCCGCTCCCAGCCTGGCAGCCGCTGCTCCGGGCCTGGCCGCACCAGCCCCGGCTGCTCCCCCGGGCCTGGCCGCTCCCAGCCTGGCAGCTGCTGCTCCGGGCCTGGCCGCACCTGACCCAGCTGCTCCCCCGGGCCTGGCCGCTCCCAGCCTGGCAGCCGCTGCTCCTGGCTTGGCCGCACCTGACCCGGCTGCTCTGGGCCCAGCTGCTCCGAGCCTGGCCACTCCCGACCTGGATGCTCTGGGCTTGGCTACTGCTGTTCTGGGTCTGGCTGCTCCCACCCCGGCTGCTCTGGGCCCGGCTTCTCCGGGCCCGGCCACTCCAGGTCTGGGTGTTCCTGGATTGGCCACCCTGGGCTTGGCCGCCTCCGCCTCATGCCTGGCTGCCACTGCCCCAGGTCTGACTACTCCAGTGCTGGCTGTTGATGCTCTGGTTCTGGCTGCTGTTGTTCTGGGGCCTGGCTGTTGCTGCTCCGGGTCTGGCTGCCACTGCCTTGTGCCTGGCCACTCTAGGCCTGGCCGCCGCTGTTCCAACATTCTGTCTTTTTTTTTTTTCTTTTTTTTTTTTTAAACGCATTTCTGTTGCAATGTTGGCTGGTGAGTTGAGTTCTGACTTAGTCTTTGATTTTTCAAGATCTTCTTTGTATTCTTTCTTAAGTAATTTTACTATTTTTTGCTCTCACTTGATTTCTTCACATTGAGAACTTCTTTGGTTTCTTCCTCCTTGTCCTGGGAGCTCAGCAGGTTGGCCTGTGGCGCCCCTTTGTTCTCCGCGGGCTCCTGCGCTGCTTCAGCCTGTTGCCGCTGCTTCAGCCCCCGGCCTTGGCTCCATTGCCCGAGCTCAGTGGTCAAAGGCTCAGGGGCACCCACGCCCCCAGGGGCCCCGTGGCCCACCTCCTTGCTGGTGCCCGGTTGGCTGGAGTCCGGCAGGGGCTTCCGCTCCCCTCCGCGTTCCCCCAGCCTAGGGTTTTTTTTTCTCCTTTCCGCTAGAGAAGTCCCGCATCAGAGTCAACAGACTGTCCTCTGCGCGCAGTTTGCGCGAGTCCCACAGACTGTCCTCTGCGCGCAGTTTGCAGGAGTCCCGGGGGCCCGGCCTTTCGCCAATCTCCCCAGACTCCACCTCACAGCCCCGTCTCCCTCTGCCTGAGTCTGGGTCTCCAGGGATTAGCCCAGAACTGGGGTTCGGAGCAGTCCGGACTGAGGCTCAGCGCCGCCGGAGGCCTTGTTTCTTCCAGCTAGGGTAACCCAGCATCAGAGTCAGCATTCAGTCCTCTGCGCGCATTGCGCGCGACTCCCGGGGCCCTGCTTTTCGCCGTTTTTCCGCCTCACGGCCCCTTCTCCTCCCACCGGAGCCTGGGTCCCCAGGGTCTGGCCCATAACTGGGGCTCAGCGCTGTCGGTTCGGGGGGGGGGGGGGGGGGGGGGCTCAGCGCTGCCGGTTCGGGGGTTCAGCCCAGGCTGCTGGTTTTATTTCCTTCCTGCTAGGGAAGGAAAGGCAGCTCCCCGCCCTCTCCTCCTCTCCAGCTGCGACCTCTCCGCGCGCGTGCGGGCGGGCGCGCAGCATGTCTCCGTACCTTAGGCTTTTTTTCCAGCTTCTCTGATTTTCCTTCTGGTTTTCTCTTTCCTTCTTGTTGTAGAAATTTCAGTCAGTCGACTACCTGTAGCTCTGGGCAATGTCCACTCTACATTTTAGTTGTATTCCATTGAAATTGTTGTGTGCTGCCGCGGCTAGATGTCTACCCGAGCAGCCATCTTGGATCCTCCTAAACAGTAGATTCACTTGTTGATAGTAACGTATTTGTTGTTCATAATTTTTATCTTTATTTACTTTCTCTTCTGAAAGAACACCCTTCAGCAATTCATATAATTCTGGTTTGGTGGTGATGAACTCCTTTAGCTTTTTTTTATTAGTGAAGCTCTTTATTTGACCTTCGATTCTGAGTGATAGCTTTGCTGAATAGATTATCTTTGTCTGTAGGTTCTTACTCTTCATCACCTTGAATATTTCTTGCCATTCCTGTCTGGCCTGCATGGTTTCTGTTGAGAAATCAGCTGACAATCATATGGGTGATCCTTTATAAATAACTACTTTCTTTGCTCTTGCTGCTTTTAATATTCTCTCTTTGTCTTTTGCTCTTGGAATTTTAATTATGATGTGTCTTGGTGTGGTCCTCTTTGGATTCCTTTTGTCTGGAGTTCTGTGCGCTTCCTGGACTTGTAAGTCTAATTCTTTCACCAGGTGGGGGAAGTTTTCTGTCACTATTTCTTTCAGTATGTTTTCAATATCTTGCTCTCTCACATCTTCTGGGACCCCCATAATTCTGATGTTGGTTCGCTTGAAGTTGTCCCAGAGGTTTCTTACATTATCTTCAATTTTCTGGATTCTCTTGCCTTCTAGCTTCTGTGGAGGAGTGTCTTCTGGCTCTTTATGTTCCAAATCTTTGACTTGATTCTTGCGATCTTCCATTGTTTTTAGGACTCTGTATAATACGTTTTACTTCAGACAATGTATTCTTTATTTCTTGTTGATCCCTTATCATTTCTTATTGATCCCTTATTAATTCTAGTTGATCCCTTTTCATATCCTCATAGGTCTTATTGATCTTTTCTAAGAAATTCTTGAAAAACCTTATAAGCGTAGATTTGAACTCTATATCCAGTTGCTTTTTTGTCCTCCATGTCTTTTGTTTGTAATCTATTTTGTTGTTGCATTTCGCAGTTACAGATGGGGTGGGGTTTCAAGGTGGAGCCTACAGCCTTGGCTTCAGTCAGCCCCGCCCTATGCGGCTCCTGCGTCTCAGGGTCCTTCAGTATTCATTGCAAGCTCCTCTGAGAGAAAGGCACCCTCGATTTTCGCCTGCTACAAAACAGTCTAGGCTCTCCCCCAATGTGCCCGGAATTGGGGTTCAGATCAGTTGGAAGTGGAGTTGGAGGTGGCGTTCAGAGCAGTCCGTAGCTTTTGTATCCTTCCCGCCAGGGCAATCCCTACGCACAGCCAACCGTCCATTCTCTGCGCACAATGTGGGCGCCTCCAGGACCTCCTTTCGCCGCTCCCCCGGGGTTCCGCCTTACAGCCCAGCTCCCGGTGGATGAGCCTGGGTCCCCGGGGTCTGGCCTAGAACTGGGGTTCAGAGCAGTCGGAACTGGGGCCCAGCACAGTCGGAGCTTTTATCTCCTTCCCGCTAGGGAATGCCAGCCAGGCACTCCGTCTCCCTCCTCTCCGCGCGTGCTGTGTGTCTCCGTACCTTAGGCTTTTACAGATCCTCCGCACTTCCTTCTGATTTTCTCCTTGCTTCTCGTTGTAGAATTTCCAGTCAGTCAACTTTCCTGTAGTTCTGGGTAATGTCCATTTTATATTTTATTGAAATTGTTGTGTGCGGCTGTGGCTAGGTGTTTACCTAGGCACCCATCTTGGATTCTCTAATCTTTTTATATTTTAAGTTATTCATCTTTTTAAAATATATTTTATTGATTTTGCCAAAACCGGTTTGGCTCAATGGATAGAGCATCGGCTTGAGGACTGAAGGGTCCCGGGTTCGATTCCGGTCAAGGGCATGTACCTTGGTTGCAGGCATATCCCCAGTAGGGGGTGTGCAAGAGGCAGCTAATCGATAACACTCTCATCGATGTTTCTAACTCTCTCTCTTGCTTCCTCTCTGTACAAAATCAATAAAATATTAAAATATATATATATATATATATATATATATATATATATATATATTATTGATTTTGTACAGAGAGGAAGAGAGAGATAGTTAGAAACATCAACGAGAGAGAAAAATCAATCAGTCGCCTCCTGCACACCTCCCCTAGGGATGTGCCTAAAACCAAGGTAAATGCCCTTGACCAGAATAGAACCTGGGACCTTTCAGTCCGCAGGCCCATGCTCTATCCACTGAGCCAAACCAGTTTTGGCAAATTATTCATCCTTTACATTTGAGATTTCTAGTTTGCAAAATGCACACAGGATACAAAAATTTTAAATCAATATAATTTTACATCTACATACATTAACTTACCTTTTCTCATTTTCTCTCTTAAATCTGTGGGGCCAGTTTGGATTCCCATCAGATTTTGTTTCATCCTTTGAATGCTTCCTTTTATTTTAAATTTGGTAATATGGTAAATGTGTGAGAGTGTGAACTGGAGTTGTTCCTCAATGCATTTCATGGCCATATGTATTAATTGATCTTTTTTCACTTGGTCCTTTTCTGCTGCCTGGAGAACATCAGGATTGTAGGCAACATCTATGACTGTGTAGACATCTGCGTGTGTGAAAAAGAAAAGAAAAAAAAAAGATAGATATTTGTGCATGAGATTCAGAGGGTGTGAAATGAAGACAATTTGTTTCGCTAATGATATTGTCAGGTAATATATTAAGCCATAATCCTTATAAACCTGAAAGGATTAATTCTATTCCTATATTTTTCAGAAGCAATAATAAGGATGCTATGTACACAATTTCAATGAGGGCATTTCTTGGCATTTTATATAGGTTAAAAACAGTTTAGATTATTAGACAAACAGTAATAACAACTTTTAAAATGAGTAGCTTTGTTTTCTTCTAAATATATTTTTATTGATTTCAAAGAGGAAGTGGGAGACAGATATAAACATCAATGAGAGAATCATTGATCAGCCTCCTTCACACTCCACATTGGGAATTGAGCCTCAACCTGGGATCGAACCACTGAGCCACGCTGACCGGCCAACAGTATCCATTTTTATAAAGGTATATTTATTAGTCATTAGCTACATTATAACCAAATAAAACATTTTACATATAATGTCTTTAACCAAGTAAAATCTAGTTCATACTATTCCCAATAAAAAAAATCTAAATGTGTTTTCTATCCCATAATTCTCTGTACCTGATGTTTCAGACATATCTTCTGGCCTGCCAACACTCAGAGGTACTGGATCAGTGGTTGATTGGGGAGCTGGAATCCTTTTCCACTGACATAGGTTGATAAAAAGTGTTTTTTCTTTAGGTTTCTAGAAATCAAATATATTCAAAATAATATCCTAAAAGCAACACCTCACAGAATTTGAAGAGTGAGAATTTTAGGCTCCAAGTAAGTTATTACTTGTATTAAAATTATGTTTCAGAAATTATACTGTTAACCTGACTTTCCCAAAGCTCTTCATAAAGAATCCAGTTGCTATTCCCAGAGGAACTGGGAAGAGGAAGGGGGAATTGATCTAAGCAGCTGTTCCATTTTTTTTTTTTTTACCATCTTTCACCACTTTCTTATCCCCATAACCAAATAAATCCTCTTTATTTGAAAAAGCTCCAATTCTATGATTCTCTATTAAATCATTACATTACTTTTGTTTTCATTCTATCAGAAAAATGGCCCATTTTGAGATCTCCGAAATATATAAAATATGAATTTCCCATTTTTACTCCTTCAACGCAATCTTCACTACATTTCACTCTCCATTAGAGTGGCAGTTTCCCTCAGTGTTACAGTAACAACAGCTAAAGGTAAGCTATTCATTCAGAACCTCCCATCCAAGGGCACCAACTCTACGTACCAGGATTCTTGTTTGTAGACAGAGCTGAGGTTCTGGGGCAGCACAAAGCTGTTTGCCCTCTTTCAGTTGCTGTTGAATGAAGCTCTTATAGCTCTCAGGGTTACTTTCAGCCAAATCATCTAGTAGGTTCCAGAACTGAGTAACTTGGGTAAGCAGACCGTTTGAGGATGACTCCATGATTGAGGTGAATAGGCCCCTCAAGTCTGAGGAAAGACATGACTTAAGTAAAAATAATGTGTGTAACTATTGATTCATTTCTTCTTTTGGGAGAGGAGGACCAGGTCAGGAATAGTTTTGGTGAAGTTAGCTGTTTCTAAAACTCTGTAGATCGGCACCACTTTCTCTTCTCCTTATTCTTGAATTATCTAGTATCACTTCCTAAATTCTCAAGCTGTCCTCTCAGATAATAAGGCCTTGCCTCCCCTAGACCCTCACCTGGCCTGAGGGGCCAGAGTACTCATTTAAGTCTGTGTTTCCAGGTCGTTTCCTTTTTCCAACACCTAGCTTTTGGCTGACTGGTGCCCTAACCAGCCTGGAAATTGCCACACTTCCTAAATCCTCAGCATAGCTTAGTAGATAAAAGCATGGACTTGCGCTGGCTGGTGTGCCTCAGTTGGTTGAGCGGTGTTCCATGCACCAAAAGGTTGCAGGGTCATTGCTGGTTTGGCTCAGTGGATAGAGCCTCCGCCTTTGGAGTGAAGGATCCTGGGTTCAATTCCAGTCAAAGGCCACATGCCCGGGTTGCTGGCATGATCCCCAGTAGGGGGCGGGCAGGAGGCAGCCCATTAATGAATCTATCTCTCCTCCCAACCTCTCTGAAATAAATTAAAAAATACATTTTAAAAAATATATTTTATTGATTTTTACAGAGAGAAAGGGAGAGGGATAGAGAGTTAGAAACATTGATCAGCTGCCTCCTGCACACATTGAGGGGTGAGTGAGTGGTCGGGGCAATAAAAATATTTCTTAAAAAAAAACCTCTCAAAAAACCCCCCAAAAGGTTGCAGGTTCGATTCTCCATCAGTACACATGCAAGAGGCAGCTGATAAATATTTTTCTCTCACATCGATGGTTCTCTTCCCTCCTTCCTCCTTCCTGTCTCTCTGAAATCAATAAAAACATTAAAAAAAAAAAAAAAAAGCATGGACTCTGCTACATTTCAATCTTAGCTCTACCACTTACTGGCTGTGTGACCATGAGCAATTAATTTATGTTTGCGCCTCAGTTTATTCTCCTCAAAATGAAGACGGTAATACCAATCTCCTGGGGTTACGTGAGGATGGAGAGGCTGGGACACTCGGTCAACACCACATGGCAGTGATAACATCCTCTCGGCCTCCAGACAAGTTCCCTCGCACCTCCTCCCCCAACTGGAAGGAGCCCCAGGGCACCCACAGAATGAGAAAGAGGAGGTTTGGGTTCTTTGAAAGTTACATTAGGGTTAGAATCTAAGGGGGAAACTTAACTAATGGACAGCCATTCCAGAGGTCTGCGAACCCACCTCTTTTCGTTTTGGGACAAACCGCGACGCCTGTTACCAGGGCAACCAGCTTGGGTAGCACCTAACGGAGTCCGGAGAGCCCCGGGCAGAAAGTCTTCCCACTTCCAGTTCCGGGCTCTCCCCGCTCCGCGGCGGCCACGCTTCTCGGCTGAGCCCGACCCCCCTTTCCAGGAAGGCGCCCGCCGCCCTCCTGCACCGGGGGACCCCTGGAGGGTCCTGGAAACCCTCCCCGCGGACGTCGCCGAGCGCTCTGTTGGTGGGAAGGATTTCTCGGGAGCACGACTTCCGGCCCGGAAGGGAAGCTCGCTCCCCTTCCTCCCAGTCCGCTTCCTCCCCCACCCCCGCCACGCGAGGCCGCGGCGCACGGTATGGGTGTGTTTGTGTGTGTCTGTGCGGGGCGGGCGTGTGGCGGGCGGGCTGCCGGGGGCTTCTCGGCCGCCGGGGAGCGGGGGTCCCGGTGACAAAGATGGGGGTGTCGTCTCTGTCTTCCACTGGGAAGCCTCAGCTCCCCCTTCAGGCACTTTAGATACTTCTCGGGGCCCGGTCCAAAGTGTCCCTCCCGCCCCCATTGGGAGCGAAACCCGATCCCCGGGCCCATCCCCGAGGAGCGTGAGCGGGGGATGCCCGGCCAGCCCGGGCCCGGCCTCCTCGCCGGCGCGGCCGCGAGGCTCCGGCCGCACAGGCCCCGGCGCGGGTCCGGCCCGGGGCGAGGGCCGCCGGGGCCTGGGGCCCGGGCGAGGGCAGATTAACCGGTGGGAAGGCTGCGTTTTCACGAAGGACTCGGGTGAAGCTGCACAGCTGCCTTTGAGCACTGACTCCTTGGCTTCCTGGGTCGGAGGAGAGCTTGTAATGGAGTGGTTCCTCGCCTCACACTAACAAGATGCCCGATTTCCTCAGGATCGAGGGGTGAGTGAGCGGTGGGGTGGTTGCACAAAGCCCCTGCTAGCTAGCTACACGGTGACCAGCCCTGTCGTGTATTTTTTCTGGAGGCTTCTGTACAAAATAGAAAATAAGGTTCCCCCGAATAAAGAAATTTAGGGCAGCTCTGTGTTTGATGTTTTTGTTTCTGTTGTTATTCGTGGCCCCCGAAGCTCTCAAATGCAGATGATTGCTTCATCGCAAACTAACTTGGAGGTTGCAGAGTTGATTTTTAACCTGGACCTTGTTTGCCTTGGACTATGTGGCCTGAGATGAGTTACGGCTTTTAGGGAATTTTATCTACTAATTAGGAATGAAGATACCTCCTATACAACATAGAATTATTTTGAGGAGTAAATAGTGTCATTTCAAGGAATTCCATTGTACACTGTCTCCTTTCATCCTAATATTTCTGTGATCAGCAATTTCCCCTTTTAATGCTGAAGAAAAAACTATTACCCAAGACTTCTGAGTTCTAAGTGATCTTTTCTTTGCTTCATGCTTCTTTATACTATTGTAATAAAATATAAGGCAGTAAAGGACATTTTTATTTTTAAATATTTGTTGATTCATTTCAGATTGAAGAATGTCCCGGGTTCCACTGGGGAAAGTCCTCCTAAGGAATGTCATCCGGCATACAGATGCTCACAATAAGGTGAGAGGTACAAACTACTTATCGGAAAACACAGATATTTACATTGAGACTCATTAACAGTAGCAAAATTACAGTTATGAAGTCACAACAAAAATAATGTTATGGTTGGGTGTCACCACAACATGAGGAACTGTATTAAAGGGTCGAGGCATTAGCAAGGTTGAGAACCACTGCTGTACAGACAGAAAACCATGTACTAACATATGGCAATAAGAAAGTGCTTGAAGCACTGGGGACATGGCAAGAAATTGTGTGCAACCAGAAAGTAGTGAATGTGGGGGCTAGTGAAGATGAGGCCAGTGTGGATTATAATGTTAGGAGATTATATATTTTTTCTCTCTAGGCAATACCTAAACCATCAAGTATATATATTTTTAATTTTTAAAATATGTTTTTATTGATTTCAGAGAAAGGAAGGGAGAGGGAGAGCTAAAAACATTTATGGGAAACATGGATGGCCTGACTCTTGCACGTCTCCTACTGGAGATTGAGCCTGCAACTTGGGCATGTGCCCTGACTGGGAATTGAACAGGTGACCTGGTGCATGGGACAATGCTCAACTGAGTCATACTTGCTGGGAAACCAGTTAAAAATTAAAGTATTTTTAAGCTGAGTGTGACTTGATTATATTTTAGAAAGATGATTTTTTAATTGGATACGCGATAGATCAAATGGGGTGAGCAGTAGAGAGACCAGTTAGGAAGCAATTGCATTGGTCCAGGTGAGAGATGAGGGGGCAGGGGTTCACATGAAAGCAGTGGCAGGAGGGATGAAGATGAGGAATTTAGGAGGCAGGACCCAAAGAACTTGGTGACTGATTGGATGGTGGCGATAATTACGGAATCAAATATTACTATCTTGTGTGACTAGCTGAATGATGATGATAGGAATCAAAAGAAAGGGGCATAATTAGTTTGTTTTGAAGATGTTGATGGTGAAGAGTTTATAGGATGTCCAAACAGTTGGAAATTCCGACTTGGAGCAAAGGAGAAATGTTGAGACTTGGTTTGGGGATTGTTGGTATATAGGAAATGACAGAGGTCATGAGAGTAGATGAGGTCACCTAGGAGAACACATATAATGAAAGGAGGGCCACGGACCCTTGTTTGGTTTTCTTTGATGAACTGTATAGTTCCTAGTTTGGTCTTAAAAGGTATTACTGTAATGTAACCTGATAATTTGATTATGAGTGAGGTTATAACCGTTATCTAAGCAGCCTCTGCAATTGCATTAAACCACCCCTAGTTAAATGGTGAACTTAGATTTGTAAGTGGTGGCTAAAAAGATAATCTAGCACAGATTTAACAAAATATAGGAGGATTTATTTATCATTATTTTAAAAATATTTCAGGGTTTTTATTTATTTTAATATTATTGATTTTTTACAGAGAAGAAGGGAGAGGGATTGAGAGTTAGAAACATCGATGAGAATCATCAATCAGCTGCCTCTTGCACACCCCCTACTGGGCATGTGCCCGCAACCAAGGTACACGCCCTTGGCCAGAATCGAACCTGGGACCCTTCAGTCCACAGGCCAACACTCTATCCACTGAGCCAAACCAGTTAGGGCTTATTTATTATTATTATTATTATTATTTTATTTTATTTTTTTAATCCTCACCCGAGGATATATTCTATTGATTTTCAGAGAGAGTGGGAGAGAGAGAGAAAGAGAGAAATATCAATGTGAGAGAAATATATCTATTGGTTGCCTCCTGTATGTACCCTGACCAGGGTCTGAGCCAGGGAAGAGCTGCAGCCGAGGTACATGCCCTTGAATGAAATTAAACCTGGGACCCTTCGGTCCGAAGGCCATTGCTCTATCCATTGAGCCAAGCCAGCTAAGACAATAGGAGGATTTAGAAATAAAATGTACTCTTTATTTTTTGGTTATTTGTAATCTGATTCTCTAGAAATTCCCTAGCAATTCTCATGTCTTTTTATTTTGTTTTTAATAAAAATTAGAATGTTGTGAAAACCCTGAAAGTTTAAAGACCTGTCCTTACTAGCTTTTTGACTTTGGTAAAATCTGAGCTTTTGTTTTTTCTCAGGATATAATAATGGCATCTTGCTTTGCTTTCCTCATAAGATTGTTTAAGGTTCAATTGAGATTATACATTTAAAATGGTAAAACATTTTATTTTTTATTTTTTAATTTTTTTATTTTTTAAAATATATTTTATTGATTTTTTACAGAGAGGAAGAGAGAGAGATAGAGAGTTAGAAACATCGACGAGAGAGAATCATCAATCAGCTGCCTCATGCACACCTCCTACTGGGGATGTGCCCGCCACCAAGGTACATGCCCTTGACAGGAATCAAACCTGGGACCTTTCAGTCTGCAGGTTGATGCTCTATCCACTGTGCCAAACCTGTTTCATCTGATAAAACATTTTAGAAACATAAGAGATTATCATTTGGTAAATGCAACATAATTACATAATTGATAAGGTTCTAAGTATGTCTATGCAAGGGTTAAAAAGTTTGTTGCAGCCCTAACCAGTTTGGCTCAGTGGATAAAGCATTGGTCTGTGGACTGAAAGGTCCCAGGTTTGATTCTGATTAGGGTTATGTACCTTGGTTGTGGGCACATCCCCAGTAGGGGGTGTGCAGGAGGCAGCTGATTGATGTTTCTCTCTCATCCATTTTTCAAACTATCCTTCTCCCTTTCTCTATGTAAAAAAAATCAATAAAACATATATTAAAAAAAAAAAGAATCAACGAACTTTCTAAAAAAAAATTTTTTTTGTTTCTGCAGAATTCTTCATATTTGAGATTTACTGGGTCAGCTTGTTCAACCACATTGAGAAATCATAATGAATTTCCCAGGATCTTGATCATAACCCAGTCTGTAATCCCATAATTAGTGTAGACTGTATTTTTAGTTACTTTTTTGTGATGTAAAGTGTTATTTTCAGTAACTCATTTTGATTTCTTTCTTTTCTTTTTTAAAAAAAAATCTAGATTCAGGAGGAATCAGATATGTGGAAAATAAGAGAACTGGAGAAACAGATGGAAGATGCTTACCGGGGGAACAAAAGGAAAATGTTGCCCAGCAGTTCAAGGTGAAGTTGGAGCTCTGAGAACCAGAATAATACTCATCTTCTTCAAAATCATCAATATTGGTTTAAAATCATTTTGGTATGCTAAAGAGACATGGTTTAATTTTGTGAGTCCTTAAGCATTCATTCCCTCTTTCATAAACCTAGACCCAAGTATAAAGGTAATGGCTATAATGCATATGATCCTACTTTTTTATTTTATTTATTTATTTATTTTTTTTTTAAATATATTTTATTGATTTTGTACAGAGAGGAAGGGAGAGAGATAGAGAGTTAGAAACATCAATGAGAGAGTCATCGATCAGCTGCCTCTTGCACACCCCCTACTGGGGATATGCCCGCAACCAAGGTACATGCCCTTGACCGGAATCGAACCTGGGACCTTTCAGTCTCCAAGCCGACGCTCTATCCATTGAGCCAAACCGGTCCCGGCTGATCCTACTTTTTTAAAAAAAATATATTTTACTGAATTTTACAGAGAGCTAGAAACATTGATGAGAGAGAAACATCGATTAGCTGCCTCCTACACATCCCCTTCTGGGAATGTGCTCGCAACCAAGGTACATGCCCTTGACTGGAATCAAACCTGGGACCCTTCAGTCCCCAGGCTGACACTATCCACTGAGCCAAATCGGTTTTGGCCGATCCTACTCTTTGTACTTATTTGCAATAGAGAATTTTAAAAGTCTATCTTGAACAATTGTAAACATTAAGGATTCTGTGGATTCTGACCTTATCTGATGTCTTTTAATCTTAGATTTTTCTATTTGTATCTTATGGTTGCTTAGCTGATCATATATTTCTTTTTCTTTTTTCTTTTTTCTGGATGTGTTGAGTTATTATAGCGCTGGGGTGTTGATCTGTGAGTGCCTTGTGTGGGGTCTGGATGAGGTTGGTTGATCTATTTGGAAGTGTCTTTTGTTACGCCCAGACTTCGTGATCCCAAGGACCACCAGGGAGCCGAGTCCAATGCAATAAACAAAAGAGCCTCTTCCATGCTAGCATGGGCTTTGTCCCACTCACGCCAGCAGCATGGCGGAAGAGAGAGCGAATTTCGGCCAGTCCAGGGGTTTTACTCCCGTCAGTGGTGATGTCACTGCCTCGGCTAATCCTGATTGGTTGGGTGAGGGCTAGAGTTCAATTACAGAATGGAGAATGACTCCGCCCTGCCCCACAGTGGAGTCAGGAGCCCATCCTTGCCCCGCCCTGCCCTCTCATTCTCCCCTTGTCTAATGTGCCTGAGTCAAATCATTGACTCAGCCTACTTTCAGCATAAACAACAAATACAGTTACCAAGACCCTTAGTACCACAGTTCCCATCAGTATTGTCCTCACTGAAGTCCAGTTCCCTTCCTGTAGACATCAGTTCTCCTGGCCTGTAGTTGCCAGGATCCAGGCCGTGCAGGAGCTGGGAGTGGTGTAGCCAGGTCTTATTTCTTTTTCTTATTAATCTTTCATTCTCTCAGCCTTTTTTAATTTTAAAAATTTTTTCTCTCAGCCTCTTTTTAAAAATACATTTTATTGATTTTTTTTACAGAGAGGAAGGGAGAAGAATAGAGAGTTAGAAACATCAGTGAGAGAAACATCAATCAGCTGCCTACACCACCCCCCACCCCACTGGGGATGTGCCCGCAACCAAGGTACATGCCCTTGATCAGAATCGAACTTGGGACCTTTCAGTCCGCAGGCCGATGCTCTATCCACTGAGGCAAACTGGTTTTGGCACTCTCAGCCTCTTCTTTACCCCATCTACTCACTATCTTCACCAAATTATAGTCTTTTACATTACCTTTTTATTAATTTGAGTGTAAATATAAGGAATTACGCAGGCTTAGTTGTCATATCTATAGTGGTATAGGAATGTCTGAGTATTTCAAACATCTGTTAGGCCCTTTAGTATATAGCTATATGTATGAAAAATGACTCAAAGTAGTAATGCTGATTCTAAAGCCACCAGGGAATAGTTAACACATTGTGAATGGATCATGAGAATTCTCGTGTTTTCTGTTCTAAGGCTTGTGACCAGTGACGATATTAACCTGTTAACCGAGCGGGACCTATAAATACGTCAAACGTAAACAATATCGGGAACGGGTAGGACATATGAATATGTCCTTGAAATATATGTTGTGCCCTGAGAGGGACGGTATATATATATTTTTTGTAATCTTTATAATTGTTTGTAAAATTTATAATTTTTTATATTTTATTGATATTTTACAGAGGAAGAGAGAGAGGGATAGTTAGAAACATCGATGAGAAAGTATCATCAATCAGCTGCCTCTTGCACACCCCCTACTGGGGATGGGCCCGCAACCTAGGTACATGTCTCTGACTGGAATCGAACCCGGGACCTTTCAGTCCGCAGGCCGACGCTCTATCCACTGAGCCAAACCAGTTTTGGCTATAATTTTTTTAATTCGATGTTTTTATTTTTTTGTTGGTATTCTTTTTTATTTGTTTGTAATTTTGTATTTTCCTTTGTGCTTTATATATAAATAAATGAAAAAATATATATTTCATTTATTTTAATTAAGTATAAATAAAAAAATAATAATATAAAATTACATCTGCTGGGTGTGACGTACTGACACGTCCTAGTGAAAGTATGCGCCCGTTGTACATTGCGTAATTTAAAAGGGAACTCCCCGGTTAACAGGTTAAAAAGACATTAAATGTAAGAACATATAATTAATAACTTCAAAATGCAATGTGTTTAATTTTAAAGTATGCCTTTAACATTTATGTAAAACATTTTTTGTACTGGTTCAATAGAAACTTACCCTGGCCGCTGGGTAAACCTAGAAATAAAACTACTGGTCTGCAATGTATTAAAGTGAGATATTTCAGGAGAGAGTGTACCCGCAGAGTATGTGGACTTTGGTGTATGACTGGCTTTGTGTAAATGGCTTTAGACAAGGAATTATATAGAGTATCCGTGGTAAAGAAAGCAGTTTCAACAAAAATATATTTTCAGTCTGTTTTTTCTCTGATGTTTCTTTGAGAATTTAGAAGTACTGTTAGTACAGAATAAAATGTTGTTTTTTTTTTCATTAATCTTAACCCCAAGGATATTTTTCCATTGATTTTCATTGAGTGGGAGGGAAGGGGAGAGACACACAGAGAGAAATATCAATGTGAGAGAGACACATTGATTGGTTGCCTCCCCCACACGCCCCAACCAATCCTGAGGATCGAACCTGCAATTGAGGTACTTGCCTTTGACCAAAATCAAACCCGCCACCCTTGTCTGTGGGACAATGCTCTAACCAACCAGGGCCAAAATATTTTTAAAAAACTAAAAAAAAAAAAAAAAAAAAAAAATTGATTTCAGAGGAAGAGAGATTGGGGGGAGGGGGGGAGAGAGAGAGAGAGAAAGAAAGAGAAAGAAACAACTGTGATGAGAGAGAATCATTGATCAGCTTCCTCCTGCACGTCCACTGCTAGGGCTCGAGCCTACAACCTGGGCATGTGCCCTTGACTGGAATCGTACCTCGGACCCTCAATCTGCAGACTATCTTGGTGAATAAATCTTCAAAGATAATCTCTTTAAGGGCAGGGATTCTGATAGTCTCATTTGCATTATATTCTCAGTAGCTAGAACATACCTGACACATAGGAATCCTTAAACATTTTTGATAATCAATTAGCTAGCTTTAGTGACTGGTAGTGGATATTGTAAGTATGGGCTGAATCAGTGGTTTTCAACTGATTTTCTACCCCAATGTACTCATGGGTCAGGACTTATTCCCATTGTTACTATGACTTCACCACAGCAAGTTGCTGTATTCCCGAAGGGAGTGTATTTAGAATTTAGGATAGTTTGCAGTGTCCCCAGCTGTGGTTATGCTTTGTTTCCCACTTCGCTTGTCTTCCTAGTTGAGTGAGCTATAGCATGCCACAGTCCAGAAGGTGTTTCCTTTATATTCTTCAATAGGGTGGGTAATAACGGTCAGATTTTAATTGGACAACTGTACAAATTTACAGTGAGGAATAGATATGTCTTTTTTACATGATTTAATAAAACATTAAGTATTAGGTTGTTTTGTTCTCTCTCTTAGCTTGTTCAATGAGTTTTATGCATGATGTTCCATAAAGTAACTTTATATGTTGTTTCCAAATTTAAAAATCCTTCTGTTTTCTTATATAGCCGTATGCGTAGTGATGGTTTTGATGAAGAAAGTCAAAGAGACAATTGGAGGCCAAGAAATGAAATTTCTGAGGCACTGGAAGATGATTTTCTTAAGGCTAAATCCTGGAACAAGAAGTTATATGATTATGAAGCTAACATGCCAGACAGGTTTGTGACTCAATTCTTGTAGCCATTAGTAATATTTGGCATGAGAATGTGAACTTTTTAAAAAATATATATATTTTATTGATTTTACACAAAGAGGGATAGTTAGAAACGTCAATGAGAGAGAAACATCGACCAGCTGCCTCTTGCATACCCCCTACTGGGGATGTGCCCGCAACCAAGGTACATGCCCTTGACCGGAATTGAACCCAGGACCTTTCATTCCGAGGCAGACACTATCCACTGAGCCAAACCAGTCTCGGCGAGAATGTGAACTTTTAATACTTAATTATCTCTTCAAAAACTTGTACACAGCTGAGACTGGTTTGGCTCAGTGGATAAAGCGTTGGCCTGCGGACTGAGAGGTCCCGGGTTCGATTCCGGTCAAGGGCATGTACCTTGGTTGCGGGCACATCCCCGGTAGGGGGTGTGCAAGAGGCGGCTGATCGATGATTCTCCCTCATCGATGTTTCTAACTCTCTATCCCTCTCTCTTCCTCTCTGTAAAAAATCAATAAAATATATTAAAAAAAAAACAAAAAAAAAACTTGTACACAAATGTTCACAGCATAATTATTCAGTGTGGCCAAAAAAATGGAAACCCAAGTGTCTATTTGCTGATGAATGAATAAACCAATTGTGATATGTGGAATGGTAATGGAATGTTATCTGGCAGTAAAAGGCATAAAGTACTGATAGCATGTTATAATATGGATGAACCTTGAAAACATGGTAGGTGAAAAGAGCCAGGCATAAAAGGCCATTTGGCATATGATCCTGTTTATATATGTCTAGAATAGGCAAATCCATAGAGTCAGAAAGTAGATAAGTGGTTGCCATGAGATACAGGAGAGGGAGGAATGGAGAGTGACTGCTAATGCAATTTCTTTCTGGGGTGATGGAAATGTTCTGAAGTAAGATAGTGGTGGTGGTTGCACAACTCTGAATATACTAAAAGCCACTGACTCGGACACCTTAATAGGGTGATGTTTATGAATTATATTCCAGTTGCTATTATTTTAAAAAATATATGTTTCATTGATTTTTTACAGAGGAAGGGAGAGGAAGAGAGAGTTAGTAACATTGATGAGAGAGAAACATCAGTCAGCTGCCTCCTGCACACCTCCTACTTGGGATGTGCCCGAAATCAAGGTACATGCCCTTGGACTGGAATCGAACCTGGGACCTTTCAGTCCACAGGCCGATGGTCTATCCACTGAGCCAAACTGGTTAGGGCATTTTATTTATTTATTTATTTTTAAAATATATTTTATTGATTTTTTACAGAGAGGAAGAGAGAGGGATAGAGAGCTAGAAATATTGGTGAGAGAAAATCATCCATCAACTGCCTCCTGCACACCCCCCACTGGGGATGTGCCCGCAACCAAGGTACATGCCCTTGACCAGAATCGAACCTGGGACCTTTCAGTCTGCAGGCCAATGCTCTATCCACTGAGCCAAACCGGTTTCAGCAGCTTAGGGCATTTTAAAAATATATATTTTTATTTATTTCAGAGAGAAAGGGGGAGGGAGATAGAAGCATCAATGATGAGAATCATGGATCAGTTGCCTCCTGCACACCCCCTCCTGGGGATCGAGCCTGGACCCTTGGCATGTGCTGTTGACCAGAATGGAACCTGGGACCCTTCAGTCCACATGCCGACACTCTATCCACTGAGCCAAACCAGTTAGAACTTGGTATTTTTTTTTTTAAATTGTACCAATATAAACAACAATATGTTATGAAGTGTTTTTAGAGCAGCAGATTATAAGTTTTATAAAGGAAGAGAATGGCAGATTTTCTTACAAATGGACAGAGGAATTATTTGTGCAGCACAGAAAAATAGCCAACTAAGTTTACTGGGCCTTGTGGGGTTGGCTTTACCATATCTCTATTTTTGTTTTGTTTTATTCTGTGTGTATGTCTGTGTGTGCATACATTCCTAAGTCTGTCTAATTTGATTTTCAAAAACATGAACTGCTTTAACAATATGTTTAATAAAATGTCATCTTACAGATGGGGTCACAGTGGTTATAAAGAGTTATACCCTGAAGAATTTGAAACAGACAGGTAAGACAAATAGGTTTACTGGGGGAAAAAAGTTAGAAACTAAGCTTAGTAGTACAACGTCTGAACTGTAAATTGAGTTCAAGTGCAGTTTTTAGAAAACATGTAACATTTGCCATTAAAAATGTAACCAAAGAGCCGAAACCGGTTTGGCTCAGTGGTAGAGCGTCGGTCTGTGGACTGAAAAGTCCCGGGTTCGATTCCGGTCAAGGGCATGTACATTGGTTGCGGGCACATCCCTGGTATGGGGTGTGCAAGAGGCAGCTGGTCGATGTTTCTCTTTCATCGATGTTTCTAGCTCTCTATCTCTCTTCCTTCCTCTCTGTAAAAAATTAATAAAATATGTTTTTTTTTTAAAAATGTAACCAAAGAATAATCGGCAATTCAGATGGAAGGTGATAGGTATTTTGCCTTTCCCTGAATGATGTTTGACATATCTATAGCACTTGTTTTTTTCTTAATTTCTAGTTGATACTTTTTTTTTTTTTAAACATTTATTTTTTTTCTTTAATATATTTTATTGATTTTTCTTACAGAGAGGAAGGGCGAGAGATAGAGAGCTAGAAACGTCGATGAGAGAGAAATTTCGACCAGCTGCCTCCTGCACAGCCCCTACCGGGCATGTGCTGCAACCAATGTAGATGCCCTTGACCGGAATCAAACCTGGGACCCTTCCGCTGAGCCAAACCAGCTTCGGCGCACTTTTTTTTTTTTTTTTAAATATGTTTCTGTTGATTTGAGAGAGAGGAAGGGAAAGGAGAGAAATAACCATCAGCTGCCTCCTGCATGTCCTGTATTGGGGATCAAGCCTGCAACCCTAGGCACGTGCCTGACTGGGAATCTGGTAACCTCTTCCTACATGAGAGGGCCCCCAACCAATTGAGTCACACTGGCCAGGATTATAGCACTTAGGTCTTTATATTAGAAGTGTCCCATACAGTAATTCAGTATGGCAGATGAGAATTTTTTTCAAAATAAAAATTCTTTTAAAAAAATATATTGATTTTTTACAGAGAGGAAGGGAGAGGCATAGAAAGCTAGAAACATTGATGAGAGAGAAACATCGATCAGCTGCCTTCTGCACCCCCCCCAAGGGGAATGTGCTCGCAACCAAGGTACATGCTTTTGACCAGAATCGAACCTAGGACCTTTCAGTTCGCAGACTGATGTTCTATCCACTGAGCCAAACCAGTTTTGGCTCAAATTAAAAATTCTTATATAATTTTAAACCAAACAGTTTCCTATCTATCAGACTGGCAAAAATATATATATTTTTTATAATACCCAGTGTTGCTAACACAAGTGATAAGCAGATCTTAATATACTTTTTTTTCCTGAGTCTATTTCTTTTTAATGATTTTAGTGTTGTTTTACAGATTAGAATTTTTAGGTTCATTTTAAAGATGAGGAAATAAAAACTCAGTTATTAAGTCTCAGAATAATCTTATGTCAAAGCTGTTTTAAAGTTTAGATGTTAACCCTAACTTTCTATCTAGAATGCAGAATATTAAAATGGAAATATTTTTGTTTCTTTTTTATTAGTGATCATCAAGATATTACCAATGGAAAAAAAAGATCTCCCCAGGAAAAATCATCTACCCATGAATCTCACAAACACAAGAAATCAAAGAAATCCCACAAAAAAAAGCAGAAAAAGAAGTCACACAAAAAACAGAAGAAAAGCAAAAAAGAAGTCACAGATATAACAGCAGATTCCTCAAACGAGTTCTCAGAAGAAACTGGGGCTTCTAGTGCCAGGAAACAACCACATAAGCGTAAGAAAAAATCAAGGAAAAAGTCTCTCAAAAAGACTCCTCTAGTTTTAGAGGCAGAAAGTGACACTTCTCAGTCTGATGATTCAGCATCCAGCAGTTCTGAGGAAAGAGACACTAAGAAAACCAAAAGAGAAAAGAAAGATAAAGTCAGTGTTCCTGTAGTTAGCAATGAAATACAGGAGAGGACAAAAACAAACAAACGCACAAATTGGAAAGTGGCTACAGATGAAAGGTCTGCTGACAGTTCGGAGGATGACTAAATGAGAAACAGTCTTCAGTTCCCACCGACTTGGATTTTGTCAGCTCTTGCACCTTGGGGATTTGCTGATGACTCGTGTAGCACAGGGGGCCTGCGGGTGGAGTTGTCCTGTGCCATCTGTGTACATTCTGACAGACTTGTCTTCTATTTTGGCCTGTTAAACTTGATCCTTTTATTGTTAATAGGGAATCTGGTATTTTGTTATGAAGGTTTCTTGAAGAGATTATTTTTTGCAGTTAATTACATTTAGCCTAGAGTGTATATACAACAAATTAAAGGACCCAGGAAGCAGAATCCAGTAATGTCCTGGGTATGCCAATTAGGATGTTGAGTTTGGGGAAAGCGAAGGCTGGGATCACAAGGTAGATTGGAACCAGTGCTGTGCAGAATGTATATAAGGGAACATTGAGTTGCTCTTGTTTGGTTTATATCACAGGTGCCACTTGACTTTGTCTTAGCCTTGGTGCTTTGATCTTTCTGTATTTTGGCCTCGTTGGTCTGATCGTTCAGTGGGGAAATGAACATAACAAATATTTTATCTTTAAACACCCATAGACAGCTGTTATCAGCAGAGACTAGGGTTTTCTGTTAAATCTTCCTGCTGGACAGGGACTGTAGCTATACTCATATACCCATAAACATGGTAATTGGCTAGTAAAAATTTTTTTAAAATTCTTTATGGGTAGTAAATTGTTTTGTAGTTCCATTGCTGTATATTGCCTAAATGGACTTGGGTTCAAATATTTCCTTTAGGCAATCCTTAACAAATGGGGAAGAATTAGTTTTTTCATGCTAATGATGATCTGAACGGGCTTCAGGGCATCTGGCATTTAAATGTCTTCCTTGTTCATTTTGAAATCTGTTAATGAGCTTTAGATTTTCCCTGAAACTAGGCTGAATCAAATCCAAAATTTAAGACTTCTCAGGGACATATCTACTTCTTTTCCAGCCTGCCTTCGGATTAAAGCACCAAGCAGAGACCATGTTTTTTCCTTTTGCTATATGTGTAATTCCTACTATGTTAATTCATAAGAAATCAAAATAACACTGAAAGACAAGTTAATTTTTCATTATGGCAGAAGATCAAGTGACATTGTTTTTCTTGTTTGTCACTTCATGGGCTGAGTAAAAAGTTTGAAAACTCACTTGTCTTGGTTCTGCCTCTAATTGGTTCTGTGGCCTGGAATAGGTAAGTAAAATTCTCTGACCTTCCTTTGTACTATGTGTAATACGCAAATACTTCATGGTGATGTGACATTATAGGACACCAGCAATAGAATATAACTATGACATCACTCCATGAGGTGGTAAATTTTATAGTTCTGCTAAATTTCTTTAAGGAACAGATTTCTAACTGAATGTTTGATCATGAAGTACATGGTTGGCTAGAGGGTCCTGATCCCAATTACAAGCAGGTGCTACCTTTGCGGCTATTTATTTGAAATATTAACACTTTGGTATTCAACTGTCAATGTCCAATGGTATATATTTTTATCTTTGGGATTAGTGGGGACCCAAGGGAGGAAGAGCAGTCTATAATTACTACCTCTTTACCTAAAGCAGTTTTGTTCTTGGAGCAAGTGAAATCTCTGTTGGAGGAAGTGTTCACTTTTTTTCTCTTTTAAACATTGTTTCTGTGTTATAAAAGTACTGAGTCTCAGCACAGACTCAGGAGAATGGGTGAGTGGGACAAGGCATCTCCAGGAAGTTAGTTCTGTTTGGGTCTTGACCTTTCCCATAGTAGCAGACCTCTTTCCCAATGAATACACACCTTGCTTGGTTTGTTTTTTTTTTGCCATATTTACCTTTTCTTGGTCGTGTATAAGCAATAAAGCTGTTTTCTGTTCTTCACCTTTCTCAACCCTTAATTTTCTTCTATGCATAAGACTAAGGCTCTGATGTTTCTTCCAGCCGCCTGAAATACCATTTGCACTACTAGCCCTGAAACATTTAGTCCTAGTGTTTCTGCCAATCGGAGATCTTATTAAATCCTAAAATGGGATTTTAAAAATAGAGTCGGAGAACTCACATTTATTGAATAATTGTTGTGATACAATGTGGAGTTTCTGATTCCAAATAAATAAATTTCACTTGAATTTTCAATCTGTCACTTTTTAGCACCAACAGGGTATAGTAGCCTGAAGTTGACCCGACAGTGGGTTGAGAACTTTCCCTTACTGTCCCTTCAATCTGCTTACTAACAAGTCCTTTGCTGCTGCTGTCATCTCCTAGGGAATGGTCTACTGCCCTCCTTTCTGTACAATCTGGGCAAAACGGCTCGTGATGGCGAGAGTAGTGTCAATGAAGCGGTCCACACAGCTAGAGAGACAATTTTCAGTACGAGAGTCTAGGCGATTCCCTGGCTTCTCCACACATTTATCCCAACACAGCTCCATGAAGTGGTGTACCTAAGAGGACAGAAAAGTAGTAACAATTAGGGTCTGTTTATAGGCCTACCTGCCAATTTTCTTCCCATTTTCACTTTCTGTCACCTAATTATAACATTCTTTCAATCAACAAACCATGGGCTCTCCTCTTTCCTCCCTCCCTACTCTGTCCCCAGTATGGTCCAGACCCTCAGCCATACATTGCAACAATTCTTTTATCCTCTCCTCTTCTATTTCTCTCTTCAGTAATTACAAAATATTTTCCATCAAGTCACCTGTGTTTGCTTAATCATCAATTTCTGTTAGCTTCTCAGGGCATTCCCTTATTTAACCCCGACCCATACGGTTTCAAGGAGGCCCACACAGCATACTCAACTTGACTCTTTTTTTATAGTTAATCCTTACCCGACGGCTAGAAGTGGGGGTTGCCTCCCCACTACTCCCGACTGGGTTGGGGATCAAACTTACAACCCAGATACCAGGAATTAAACCTTCTGTGTGAGGGCTGAGGCTCTGAGCCACACTGGCTAGGGCTAAACTTGACTCTTAATATTCTGCAAGGCCCTCCCTACAGATTTTACCAATTCTTCAAAAACAGTTCGGCCGAAATCGGTTTGGCTCAGTGGATAGAGCGTCAGCCTGTGGACTCAAAAAAGTCCCAGGTTCGATTCCGGTCAGGGGCACGTACATTGGTTGCGGGCACATCCCCAGTAGGGGGTGTGCAGGAGGCGACTGGTCGATGTTTCTCTCTCATCAGACGTTTCTGACTATCTCTCTTCCTTCCTCTCTGTAAAAAAATCAATAAAATATTAAAAAAAATAAATAAATAAAAACAAAAACAGTTCGAATTCTTGCTTGAAGGTCATTGTCTATTATTTTCTACTTGTGTCAAGTTCTCAATCAGAATGTAAATTTTCAGGCAGGATTATCTTATAAAAACATGTATTTTATTTATTTTTTACAGAAAGGAATAGAGTTAGAAACATTGACGAAAGAGAAACATCTATCAGCTGCCTCCTGCATACCCCCTACTGGGGATGTGCCCACAACCAAGGTGTATGCCCTTGACCATAATCAAACCTGGGACCCTTCAGTCCACAGGTCGACGCTCTATCCACTGAGCCAAATTGGCTAGGGCAATTACCTTAAAAAAAAAAAAAATACAAACTCCACGCTAGCACCAGTGTAAGCTGAGAAAGTATTGTACCAATTAATTCCCCAAACCACTGTTCCCATATCATTCTAAACCTATCCCTTAAAGAATAGTTCTTAACCTTTTTGAGAATCCAATGAATCTTTGGATCCACTCTCCAGAGAAATGTACGCACTTTCATAATGTTCAGGGCTCAAAAGATTTCTAACCAGGGTTGGGGTGGGGTGAGGTGGTGGGGACACCGGGCAGGGAGGAGAGAAAAATACCATTTACCAAGGGTTCACTATTTGGGGAGGCTGAGAGCTAGGCACTCTCGATCCTTTTTGCGGTAATAAAAGATGACTTCGTTTAAGAGGCGCGGTAGGCTAGGGAACCAGCCCTACGTAACGCAGCTAAGGAGGCACCGTGCAGGGGGTTCCATGCCGAAAGAGCTCCAAAGCGCTTGTTGTAAACTGTCAACAGTCTAGGCTATTTCAACCCCCCAATAATGTTCTACCGCTCTATCGTTCTCAAGTACGTTATCCCACAAGGATTGTGAGGATCAGATAGGATAACGTACTTGAAAACATTAGAGAACATTATCCCTCCGGGCACTAAGGGGACGGGCGGGGGCGAAACAAGAAGCACAGTGGCTGGTGTCCCGCCTGGAGGCACGTGGCAGGCCAGCGGCAGGGGCACGATCCGAACCCAGAGCTCCCGACTGTCAGCCCAGAGGGCTCGCCACCCAACTCGGCTCCCGTCCCCTGGCACCACCCAGACCTTTCTTTCCTGCCTCACAGCTGGGCTTGCCAACGGCCCAGGAGCACCACCGCTCCCCAGCGGCAGGGCTGCCGCGGCTCGTTTCTTTTGTGAGGGAACCGGGCGGAGCAGGGACATCGGGGGACCTCCCCGCGGGGGCCTGGGCTCTGCACGGTAGCCTCCTTTCTCGTCACCCCGGTCCCGGCCCCGCACCTGCGCGGTGAACTGCGCCTTCTGCTGCTCGGCCGCCACCAGGCGCTGCAATTCGGCTTCGTCCGCCTCTCCCAGTTCCGCCATTGTCCGCGTCAGGACTTCCGGTCACGTGCGTGCGCAAGTGCGGCGGCCGCACGCCGACTCCCGACTTCCGACTCCCGGCTTCCGGTTCACCAAGCGGTTTCCTTTTCCTTGTTTTCCTTCGCGTCGCGGTAGGAGGTGCCCTGTGACTGTTTCCGGGTTGCTGGGTGACCTTGAACCTTCAGGAGCGAGATGGCGTGTGTGTGGAGGCTGAGTGCCCTCTGCGGGGCCCGAGGAGGCCGAGGTGAGGGTCCGGGGCCGCGGCTTCCCGCGGGGCAGGGATGCGGGAGGCTCCCCTGCGGGGTGGCCTGGCCTCTGCAGCGGGGAGGGCCTCCTCCTCCGCCTTGGCCACTCCGGCTCCTGTGGGAACCACAGCAACGACCACCGCGCCCGCGGGCCCAGCTCTCCCCGGAGCGCGTCCCTCTCCCGCCCTGGGCCGCCGTGCGGAGGGCACATGGGAAAGAACTGGCTCTGGGAGTCACAGGCCTGCCGAGGCCATTCACAGGAGGTCTCCCCTCCCGTCCCCTGCCCTGACCGCGCGCCCACCCTGGCTCGGAAAAGAGGATCTACACCCCAGCGCCTGGTCTTGCCCCTCGAGGGGGTGGGCGTACTGGATCAATTCGATAATCATTGGACTGGGCCTTTGTGTTGTATCAAGCACTATAGTAGTTAAGTTTGGGGGTCAGATGCGAATAAAACATAGTTCCTGCTCTCAAAAACTTTTCCTTTTCATAGGGAAAACCCATATAAGCATAATTTAACACCAAACAACTGTTGTGCTGTACGTACATTGTTATGCCGTCCCAGAGGGAGAATATATTTAGCGCTCGGTTTGGAAGGAGTACCTTTTTGTCTGATCCGCAAGGCCACAGGAATAAGGTCATTACAGTTAGGGCTACTGAGATGAGCAAATGCAGTGATGAAGGAAGGTGGAGAAACTGGTTGCTAGGAGAGGAAACAAAACAAATTGGATGAAGCTCAATATAAGGAATGAGCGCTGAGCCTGGAAAGGGGAACTGGGATTATATCATACAAGAACTTGTCTTGATAAGGAGTAAGCATTTTACCTGGCGTGCCGGGGAGCCATTGACAAATTTGACATAGATTTGCAGTTTAGATGGACCACTTTGGTAGCAGGGTGGTCGATGGCCATCGGGGAAATGGTCAGGCTAAGACACAAGTCGGGGAGAGGAGGTAGGGCGTTGGGGTAGCAGTACAGGCAAGAATGATGAGGTCCTGGCCTTGAAGAGAAGTCCAGAAAACCTTGTCTCAAGAGATGTTTGGGTACATCGGTGCGATTTGGCAATTGACTGAATTTAAGGAGGAAATCTACATGACTTAGAGATTTCTGGGTTAGGCTGAGATGTCCTTAAAGTGGGGAGCATATAAATGGCAGACAATTTTGGATGAGAAAAGTGACTTTAAGGATGATTTTAGTTTTTGGCATGATGAGTGTGAGGACCGTGTTGGATATGTCAGGCGAGAGGCCCAGCAGGCACTTAAACTTCTGAAACTGGAGAGATATCAGGGCTGGAGATACAGAATTTGGGTGTTATCAACTCTGTAGAAGCTGAGTAGACAGAATGGCCAGGGTTGGTAGAGGAAGGGAGGAGAGCAATGGGCAGATGATGGAAACCTGGGAGAACATTTAAGAGAATGCAGGAGGTCTTGGTGGTGTGGTTCATCGGTTGAGTGTGGACTCAGGAACTAAGAGGTCCTGGTTCGATTTCCAGTCAAGGCACAGGCCTGGGTGTTGGGCTCGATCCCCAGTAGGGAGTGTGCAGGAGGCAGCTGTCGATGATGTTCCTCTCACCGATGTTTCTATCTCTCTCCTTCTCTCTCTAAAAATCAATGAACATATTTTTTAAAAAGAGTGAATGCAGGAGGAGACTGATATAGGGTGATCAGAGAATCGAAGAGAGAATTAGAAGAGAGTTCTGTCAGAAAAGAAGGGAGGAAAGAGCACAACGCCAGGTGGTGACAAAAAGCCCAATAACACAATCTGAGCAGTACCTGGTGGATATGGCTACTTGAGACCATTGGCAACTTACTAAAGCAGCTTTGGTGGGGATAACAATAAGCCTCTGAGTTAGAGAATGATAGGGAAGCTGAGATGATTTATTTTGTTTTTAATTTTACTTTATTGATTTTAAAGAGAGGAAGAGAAACATCAATGAGAGAGAGAAACATCAATTGGTTGCCCCCTGTACGCGGCCCCACTGGGGATCAAACCTGAAACCTGGGTATGTGCTCTGACAGGGAATCAAACCTGCCACTTTTTGGTGTCTGGGATGATGCCTCAACCAATTGAGCCACACCAGCCAAGATGATTGAAATAACACTTTAAAGAAGCATGGTTGGAAGGAGGAGAAAGAGAACAAGGGAAGGGCATATGGGCATTGTAAGAATTAGTATCAAGGGAAGTATATTACATCAGTGGAGGGACAATGGCCAATTGGAAGGAGAGGTTAAAGACACAGGAGAGAAATGACCTTTCATTGAGTGCTAAAAGTTCTTGAAATTATACTGAACACTTTGCATATATTTAATTTTTAAATAAAAATATATTTTATTGATTTTTCACAGAGAGTAAGGGAGAGGGATAGAGAGTTAGAAACATTGATGAGAGAGAAACATTGACCAGGGGATGAGCCTGAAACCAATGTACATGCCCTTGACCAGAATCGAACCTGGGACCTTTCAGTCTGCAGACTGATGCTCTATCCACTGAGCCAAACCGGTTTCGGTATACACACACACACACACACACACACACACACACACACATATATATATATATATATATTTTTTTTTTTTAAATTTTTAACAGTATTATAAAATAAGTGCTATTATTTCCATTCTACAATTGAGGACATTGAGGTTAGGGGGCCTGTTTTACTTAATTGCTGATCGTCTCATAACTTGTAAGTAGTAGAGTTGGGTTAACTAAGGTCTGTCTGTTTGTTAACCAAGACACAGGATCCCAAACGGGACAGAAAGAGTTCAGGAGTACAAGTGGAGAAATTGATCTTGAAAAGAAGGATACTATTAAATGAACTTGCCAAACTAGACTGAATTCGTTGAGAACAAAGACTGTATCTTTATCTTTTACTCCACTGCCAAGCGAATGAGTAAATGGAAGGAGAAAACTACAATTTACTTTTAAAAATTAGTAAAAGTGAAGCCTTTTTACATAAAGGGTTTGTTAATTTTCAGTCTTCCAGTGGTTACTTAGTCTGACCTTACAGCAACCCAGTGAAATAGATGTTATCCTTTCATTTGTATTGATTTCAGAGAAGAAGGTAGAGGGAGAGATGGAAATATCATTGATGAGAGAGAATCATTGATCGGCTGCACGTCCTCATTGGAGATCAAGCCAAGACCTGGGTATGTGTCCTGACCAGGAATTGAAACATGACCTCTTGGTTCATAGGTTGATACTCTACCACTGAGCCAAGCTGGCCGGGCAAAATAGATGCTGTCTTTAATTTACAGATGAGATGTTATCCTCTGTTAGGGTTGAAGTAGTTTGCCTGTGGCCATTTAGAAAGTCTGTCAATCCTGTTACAAGAGAGATGCTTATGATCCTCCTAATGTCTCTTTCCTTAGCTCTCTTCCTCCGAACCCCAGTGGTCAGACCTGCTCAACTCTCGGCATTTCTCCAGGACCAACCTGCCCTAGGATGGTGTGGAATACAGCACATTCACCTGTCACCCAGCCACCATTGTATGTTTTCTCCATTGCTGCTGCTTTCTGGGCTCTGGCCATCTTTATCTGAGCTAGTTATCATGTCTTTGGGAGGACTTGTCTGTGGGGGTAACTTTTGTGTCCAACTCTGTCACATGAAGACCTAGCCTACACCTTTGGGCAGACCACACCAACATGGTTGAACGAAGCCATTTACACTCAGAGAATCTTCTGGTATAAGTCTTTTTAAATTTTTTTTATTTTTTAAACAAGAAAATAGCTCGAAGAAGAGTCTGTTCAGTAGTTTAGTTACTCTTACTTAGTTTATGGAGAGGATCCAAATATGAATAACTTAAAGTAGTGGACAATATTTAAAAAGTTATGCATATTTGTAGTTTCATTTAACTTGTTAGTTTTTATATAGGTTGATATTAAAATCATGGCATTCCTTGGATGAATACTGTTTTTAGATATTATTAAAGCTAGTCTTAAAGAGCCAGTACAGGTGAATAATGAATTGACTGTAATTCCATTTTTGAAGTCTGGAAAGATCAAATAAAGACTCTTGACTCTTAGATCAACCACTTAGATATAGTTGTATTTGAGTTATGAGAAATTATACAAATGTAATCTTTTGCTTTTTAGACTAATTTTATCTTTGAAAAGTTTTTGTTTCTGCATTTTATTGCTTAGTTTAGTTAGATTTATCAGAGTAGTTTATTTATTTATTTTTATTTTTTTATTTTTTGTGTGTGACTTACATGTCTCTTTATTTCTCTTTCTACATTGTTAGGGCTGCATACTCCTTGGTCTCCATATATTATAATATCAGTTTCATAATTTGTTTTCTGCGGAGAGAATGGGAAGAAGTCCAGGCTCCCCTCTAGTGTGTTAATTGAATTTTGGTCTTAATAACCATCATTTAGAAAAGTTCCATTGTCTGCAGTGTCTTCCTGGGACAGACCTACCCAGAATTCCAGCCTCTGTTCCGGTACCCAGGGCGGAGTCCCCCTCCCTCATGGCCGCCAGGAGGTGGCTCAGAGCCTGGGGGGGAAAAGGAGGGAGGAGAGGGGAGGGCGGTCCCAGGAGCACCTGGTGGAGAGGGAGCCCACGGGCCGGCGTTACCGCCTCCACCCAGCTGGTGGCGACAGAGGCCCTATCAGAGTAGTTTTAACTTGGAATGCATGGGACTGAAAACCCCTGAAGTTGTATACAGTTTTAATGTATGTGTTCATGTGCATTTTTCTGGAAAGTTGCTCCATCCTTTTATTAGATTCCCAAAAGGGTCTATAACAAAACAAAACAAAACAAAACAAAACAAAACAATAAGAGGCTCTCAAAGAAATGTTTATTGCCCATTTGGTTTTTCACTTATTGTTCCATTTCTGTTTATGAGCAATGGGACAGAATAAGGACCATGGTCCTAAAAGTTGACATCAGAACTTTGCTTCTCTCAGTTGGCTGTTTTTTTTTTTTGTGTGTGTTTTTTTTTTTTAATTAATGTTTTAAAGGAATTTCTCAGGTGTCCCTAACTTGTATTCATTAGGTATCTGTCTATTATACTGAAGTTCAAGGTTGGTAATTCTGCAAATATATTTTGTCCATTTCTTGCCTATAAGTAAAGTGGATCTGTCTTCTAATCAACATGTGTAGGTATTGAGACAACCTGTCCTAAAAAAAGGGGAGGGGGAAGCATCTCTTCAATTACCTCCTTTATCTTACCCACTTTATGCTCAGAGGTAAGTCTTATACGTGTATAGTTTGCTCTCTGTCAGTTTGAGTTATTTTGTGGCAGATACTGAATGTGAGAGATAGGTTTACCCCTTCAGCTCTTATGAACCTGGTCCCTCCTTTCTATAGCTGGTTCCAAGGCTGCGTCTCTCCACTGGACTGGAGAGAGGGTTGTCAGTGTTTTGCTCCTGGGCCTACTTCCAGCTGCATATTTGAATCCTTCTTCTGCGGTGGACTACTCCCTGGCTGCGGTCCTCTCTCTCCATAGTCATTGGCAAGTACAGCAGTGCTTTCGGTATTATGTTGTTAGTTCAGTTTGTTTGCTGTAAGCTTGTTTCATTATTGCATATAAGGGAGAAATTGATTGAGATACAACCTGTAGAAAACATAATATAAGGTATTTCTATGCCCAGATTTAAATGTCCACATGCTCATTCGATGTCTTCACTCCCATATCTAATAGACTTAAAAAATATATATATATATATAGATATATAGATATATAGATATATAGATATATAGATATTAGAGAAAAAGGGAGAGGGAGATAGGAACATCAGTGATGAGAGAGAATCACAGATTGGCTACCTCCACACTGTGGATCGAGCTCACAACCCAGGCATGTGCCCCAACTGGGAATTGAACCATAACCTCCTGGTTCAATGGTTGATGCTCAACCACTGAGCCACGTCGGCCGGGATCTAACAGACGTTTTTAATGTAGCATGCTATAGATCTGAGCTGCTGATGTCTCCCAGATCACTTCCTCTAGCACATCTGAATTAATAGCATTTCTGTTCTGTTAGTTCAAGCCCCAAACTTGGTCATGGTCTTCTATTCCGTTTGCAGTCTCTTAACTGGTCCTCCTTCTGTCTATTCCCAACACAGCTGCCCCTGATTCTGTTAAAATATTAAGTCAGGTCAAGACATTCCCCTTCTCAAAACCTTTTGTTGTCTCCTAATCACACTCAAACTAAAAGAATTCTTACAGTGGTCTAGACTCTGTTTGGCCTGTTTCTCCCTTATCCCCAGCTACTATCCCCACTGGCTTTCTTGACAATTCTCGACATGCAGGAACACTCCCGGCTTCAAGGCTTTAGTCTTACTATTCCTTCTGCCTGAAACTCTTTTCCTAGTTACATACTTGGATTATTCCCATTCCCTTCATGTCTTACATGTCACCTTCTTATTGAAGTATTCCCAACTTTTACTCAAAATTGCAGTGCCCTTCCCAACATTCCTTATCCCTTTTTCGTTTTAATTTTTCTCAGTAGCACTTATTAAATTCTTTTCTTTAAAAATTTTTTAATATATATTTATTAAAATATATATTTAATAAATATATATATTTATTACGGTAGCACTTACTAAATTCTAATATAACATCATTTTATGTTTTCCTAGTCTCCCCCCAACTAGAATAAAATCAGAAAAATAAAGTCTCTGGCTTTACAAGGGTAATACCACCCTGGTCAGGAGGTAGGACTTCGCTATCTACTCCAGAAGCTGTCTACACCGCATAGCTGTTCAGAATCCCTCATCAGGAGCCTGATTTTTACAGTGATCACTTCCTTATCTTTCATCATAATTTTATCACCAAAATATGTACCCTCCACACTCTATTTCAGTCTTTCCCTTTTAAAAAAAGAAATATGATACAGATTTTTGACAATTGTTGTTTGCTATTATAGTTTTAGTGCATAAGCAGTACCTAACACATAACACCAAGAAAACATTTGTTCAATGAATGCATTTCTAGTTTTCCTGTATTTTGTCCAGTGTAGTTTATTAGACTTTCTTAACCCATTTACAGATGCAAGCAGTGGACCTTTCCCACATGTCCCAGGCATCTATTAAAATAAAAAAATGTTTTCACTAAGTGGCTGCCCTGACCAACTTTTAAAATTTATTTTATTGATTTTTTTACAGAGAAGAAGGAAGGAAGGAAGAGGGATAGGGAGCCAGAAACATCGATGAGAGAGAAATATTGATCAGCTGCCTCCTGCACACCCCCTACTGGGGACGTGCCTGCAACCAAGGTACACGCCCTTGATGGGACCGTTGAGTCGGCAGGCAAATGCTCTATTCACTGAGCCAAACCAGTAAGGACCCTGGCCAACTTTCAGTTGAATATATTCAAGAATACCCGAATTGTAATATATTTATTTTTATAATATTCATTGCAAAGTAATTTAAAAAATATTTTTATTAATTTTAGAGAGGAAAAGAGAGGGGGAGAGAGGTAAAAACATCAATGATGAGAGAGAATCATTGATTGGCTGCCTCCTGCACACCCCTTACTGGGGATCGAGCCCATAGCCTGGGCGTGTGCCCTTGACTAGAACCAGGGACCCTTTAGTTTGCAGGCCAGTGCTCTATTCATTGAGCCAAACCAGCTAGGATGCAAAATAATTTTTAAAATTAAATTTAAAATATGGCGTGTGGGGATCATTTCTGTTTTGGATTCTTGGCAGTTAACTGATTAATTAATGACCCTCTATAAAGTTTGTAGGTAACAATTGGGTTCCTTGAGTTCATTTTATGTTGTTTTGTAAGGATAGTATATCATGGGAAGGTTTGGTAGAACTGAAAGGACTTGGGGAGTATTTTAATCAACTCTGTTATTTTACACATGTACCCAGGGAAGTTAAGTGACTTATCAAGTTGTTTTCTAGCTAGGGCTAAGGGGATTTTGCCTTCCTAGTTTTCTGGGGATGGTGAGGAAGAATTACCCTTTAACCACATGGACCTTTCAAAATAAAGGATTAGGAGCCGAAACCGGTTTGGCTCAGTGGATAGAGCGTCAGCCTGCAGACTGAAAGGTCCCGGGTTCGATTCCAGTCAAAATAAAGGATTATAGTTGCTATGAAATATTAGATTATAAGTACAGTAATATTTTTCTAATATGTTCCTTGGAAGGAGATGCATCTAAATTAATGAAAAATCAGAATAAGATGATTTTAAAGTAAAACATGAAAAAAAAATTACAATTGACATTTACCTTACTAATTCTTTTCACACACACAAAACTAGAAGGAACCTTCTATCATTATGTACTAATTCTTTAATATCCAATTTCGTTTAACCCACATTAATTGGGCTTTTATCCCAACTATTTAACTGAAGTAATTTTTTAAAATATAATATATTTTTATTAATTTCAGAGAGGCAGGGAGAGAGAGGGGGATAGAAACATCAATGATGAGAGAGAATCATTGATAGGCTACCTCCTGCATGCCCCACACTGAGGATTAAGCCCACAATTCTGACTTGTGCCTGGACTGGGATTTGAATTGTGTGATCTCCTGGTTGACACTCAACCACTGAGCCATATGGGCTGGGCTAACCTAAGTCATTCTTACCACACTCACCAAAAACCTTCATCTTTTCAAATCTGGTTGTTTGTTCCCTATTCACTTGAACTCTTAGTGGCATTCAACTTATTTGAATATTCCCTTCTTGAATAATTTTTCTTTGGCTTCCTAGATGCCATATCTGTTTAATTCCACCTCATCAGCTGTACCTTTTCATATCCTCTGCCAACTCCTTCTCCTCTTGGTTGATCTCTGAATACTAATGGTCTGAACTCTAAGCTCAGCCTCGGCCTTCTTAATTTCTCTACACACTTTTCCAAGGTTAGCTCAGACTTATATTATGCTAGATGCCCGGCGCACAAAATTCATGCAAGGTTAGGGTCCCTAGGTCTGGCCTGTGGTCAGGGCCGAATCAGGGCCTTCCAGCTGCTGGCTGAGGCCTCCCTTCCCCTGTTGCCAGCTGGGCCTTCCTTTTTTGCGCCTGTCGTGGTCAGCACATGTCCTGGTGAGGGACCAAACTCCTGGTCTGGTCGAACTTGGGACAGTTTGTGTATTAGGCATGCATAGGCATGCGTGTGTGTGTGTGTGTGTGTGTGTGTGTGTGTGTGTGTGTATTTTTTTTTTCCCCTGAACTATAGACTTTTATTTCCATTTGCTAACTGATCCAGCCACTTGGATATTTGTTATCCTAAATTTAACTTGGCTAAAATCACTCTTTTTTCCCCCAACATCTGCTTGATTTTCCCTTAAAAGCTCTCCTGTTCTTGCCAATTTAATTAAATCTAGTTGCTCAAGTCAAAAATCCTAGTAGACATTCTAGATATTCCTTTTCATCTTATCCTACATCTAGTCCATCAGCTCTTTCTGTTAACTCTGTCCTTTAAACATAACCTGAATTGTCCCTTCACACCATCTCCCTGGTCACCAGCATAGGTTAAGCCAAGAGTCTTGCCTAGAATACTTCCACTGCCTCCTAACTAGTTTTCTGTTTCTGTTCTCACCCCCCTTTTCCTGCCTGCACTGTACATTTGCTACACCATAGCCAGAGTGACCTTTTTAAAAAATAAAATTACATTTATCCAACGAAGATAGATAGATGGCCAATAGCACATGAAAAAATGCTCAATATCATTTGTTGGTAGAGAAATGGAAATCAGAACCACAATGAGATGCCACTTCACATCTAGTGGGATGGCTGTAATAAAGAAGATGGACAGTAACAAGTGTTTCAAGGATGTCAAAAACTTGGCGTCCTCATATAGCTCTGCTGGAAATGTAAAATGTGGCAGCCACTTTGGAAAACAGTTTGGAAGTTCCAACCAAAAAGCTATATACTATATGATTCAAAGATTCCCCCCCCCCCCCCACCAAATTGAAAACATGATTGCATACCAAATCAGGCAGTAATGTACATAGCAATGCTATTTTGCCAAAAAGTGAAACAATCCAAATGTCTATCAGTTGATGAATAGCTAAACAAAATGTGATATATGTGACTGAAGGCACACCTCGGAGATAGTGTGGGGTTCAGATCCAGACCACTGCAATAAAACAAGTATCGCAATAAAGCGAGTCACAGTGCATATAAAAGTTATTTACACTGTATATACTATAGTTTATTAAGTGTGCAACAGCATTATGTCTAAAAAAAGTATAGTGCTAGCTGTTTTGGTGCAGTGCATAGAGTGTTGGGGTCCCAGGTTTGATTCTAATCAAGGGCATGAACCTCAGTGGCCTGGGCCCTAGTCGGGGCATGTGCAGGAGCTAACCAGTCCACGTGTTTCTCTCACATTGATATTTCTCTCTGTCTTTCCCCTCTCTCTCCCACTCTCCCAAAAAATTAGTGGAAAAGTATGTCTTTTGATTATAAAGGTATAATTGATGATTAAAAATATATAGTGATGATTAAAAATTATATTAAAATATAAAAATTTTATCAATTATATAATTGATGATTTTAA